AAATTGGCTAAATCCTTTTTTCTACGTACAGCATGACCGCGTCACATTTCTCCTTACCGCTGGCAAAGTCGCGATGAGACTTGTCATTTAATGCGAGAGATACTCTGAATAGCAATATCCATTATCGCGGAATTACACTTGAACAGACACCTCGTTTCATCGTGATCGGATTAGGCTTTATAGGAAGGCGCGCGACGAAGGGAGGTACGGGTCGCGCGTGAAAAAGGAAGCGGGAGATTTCTCAAAAGAGAGATAGGAAGGGAAAGTATTGCGTCATGGGGAGTGGTATCGCTTTAATCTGCCACGAGGAAATCTAGTAAATAATCGAAGCAATTATCCGGCTCGGTGGCACGAAGACGACGACGATCTCGTAAAGAGACCGGCGCAACTTTTCCATCTTCACGGAAAGAAGAAAAAGAGGATACCTCTCTCATCTCGTCGAGCACGAATTGATTAGTAATACGTCATGTAGTTCGAGAGTGACTTTTCGCGAGCCTCAAGGAAGAGTTAGTAGAGGATTAAGATGTCGAAGGGACGCGATCGGGTAGCAACGATCGCAGTCGGCGATTAAAGACAACGTCAATTAAATCTGAAATTATTTGGATCATTATTGTGTCTGAACGCCGAAAAATATTCAGTGCGCAAAAGCGCTATTCGGTTCCGCGAAACATTAAACGACGCTACGCTCCGATTACGTCGCAAGGCGCATATCTCACAATTTACTTACATCAAATACTCGCGATCGCGAGTCGCGAATACTCCGGCCGCGCACACTCTACTCGCATTAACAATGTCTCTCCTGCCGGCTCTTTGCTGTTCTCGCAGCCGCTTCCCCAGACAGTGTCGCGTATTCACGTGCAACAATCCCGGATCCTGTAATGTGCCGACGAAAGCTTCCCCTGCATGAATACCCAAGTATGCAAATGTCTCCGTAGCGTTAGACGTTTCTCCTCGCCTTCGAGCGTCACTCGAGAGTTCTTGTTGTTCGGGATTTCCTCTCTTCCTCGCGCAGCATCGCTGCCGCGCACGAACCTGTTTACGATCCTGCGCTAACCACATTTAATTAGCAAAGAAAAAACAACGGTGCTCACAATCGCGCAAAAGGTCTTGTTTGAGAATAGCGGGATTTGATAAACGCCATGTAATCTCAGCAGTTATGATTAGATTCTTCCAGTTTTTATAGAAATAATTGCCAGCGTTTTGATTCTAACGTAGATGGCTTAAAATCCTAACTGACTTCTTTGTTTCTCACAATATATGATTAACTAAAGAATCATCTGCCTCTACTAATAAAGTTTAAGTCATTTTGAGACTTAATATATCCGCTGCTGCGATTCAATACATATTTGTCACATGACAAAAATTTTAATTTACAGACTTGGACGAATTTCAAACTTGCCATGAAAATAGGAGGCGCAACTACTGCAATGCTGAAGGTTTATGTTTTGATTTCGCGGTATTTATGTTGGCGAGGTGTTCTTCGGCCGTTCGGCGCTGAAAGAGAGGCACATACTTCTCGGGAGGCGCCGTTACGCGACGGCATCCCGGATGGTGCACACCGGGGAGAACGGAACCGGGTCTTGAAAATCGAGAGAGAGCGAGAGCGAGAGAGAGAGAGAGAGAGAGAGAGAGAGAGAGAGAGAGAGAGAGCCCACGATAGTAGTCAGGGCACGTCTCGCAGAATAGAGGGTTGCGCGCGAACTCCGTCGTCGGCGTGTGCGCTCGTGTGGACACGCGTCGCCGTCGTGTGCGACGCGTGTGCACACGCTGCACGTGGACCAAGCCGAAATCAACGACAATAGAGGAGAAACGCGCAGCATTCACGTTACGCTCTCGGGGAACGGGAAAAGCGGATAAGCAGCCATACTAACGAGACGATGCGCGCGGAGAGATCACGTCCGGCGCGCGCATTTCCGAAGAGACGAAGAAGGGTCGCGCTTCGGTCGGCGAGGGAGGCGGTGGCAGGGAGAAAGGGATGGAGGAAAAAAGGTCGGAGTATGGCTGGAACTTGGGGAACGGTCGGGGAGAAGAAACGTGGAAATCGTAACACACCAGAGGCGCCGCCCGCGCGACTCGCCTTCTCTCGATAAAGTAAATAAGAACGTACCGACACGTACGTCGCGTGGTACGTGCGAGGCAATAACAGGCGGGCCCGGACGAATATTTTCTATTGTATTCCCTCTTCTGTTACCTCTTCAACTTCCACGTCGCTTCTTTGTCCCGCGCGGCGTGTCACCGCCACCTTCATCAACGCCGAATCGCGATATCGGCGCGTGGATCAGTCATATTGCGAATCGAGGGAGGAGTTATAAGAAATTTCATGTCCTCATTTCTCCAGAATAGAAAGTTTAGAAATATTGTTTCACATAAAAAAAATGTTTACCATTATCGTTATTAATTTCTAAGACATAACTGAAATTAAGAATCGTCATATTTTTCGGATTTTTCATGGAAATTTTGTTAGGAGTCACTTTAAGGAGAGAAAAGCGGAGAAAAATATATTTCAATATACATTTTACATTAAAAATATACTTTATCTTTAATGATATAAAAGTCATAATGCGATTTATGATATATTTATGATATCGATTATACGTAATTTTTGTACTTTTATAGAATTTTTTTGTAGAATCCTCTTATTCTGCTCTGATTATTTTGGATAACTTTAAAATTTCGAAATAAAGACATAGGAAATAAGCTCGTAAGAGGATCGTAATTCGAGAGAGGGCTTACTTAGAAAAATCCGTCCCTAGCGTCCCTCCGGCAAAGATCCGCGTTCGACGGAGACGTCAAGGATGCGGAACAGCCCGCGATTCGGAACCGCTATCGAATTCCTGGCTTATGAAGACCCATGCTGATCCCGAGATCTTGAAGCCTAGAATTTCAAGGGTCCCGTTCCAAGGCTTTCGCTCACGGCCACGATCTCGCAGGGCATCGTAGTCCAAATTGGTACGAAGTGATCCGTGGCAGGTCGTACCGTTCGCGCTTCAACCGTTTCGGATTCCTCGGACGTCCGGGATCACGTTGACTATGCAATTTTGCGGCTTCATACCCGAGAAAGCGCGGGAACCAGAAGCACTCGTCGAAGTCTCCGGATATTCCTATATATATTTTACGTAAGGATTCCGCTGCGTAATAACGTCGGACCTCATTCAGTCCCGCGAAATATTTTAAATGCAAGTCAATAAATTATCTTGTTCTGCGCGCGATAAAATTATGACAATCCCACGCAATTGTTTTAAATAGATTTTATAGATATATACGAATATATAATTCTGTATTATATTATGTATCTATAACAGAAAAGTTAGTCGACATCAAATGATTCGCAAGTATTAAAAAATTTTGAACAAAATTGACTACACAATTCTCAAAATTACTCCGTTAACGTTAAAGAGACGTGAAAACACTATCTAGTTAAGATAATCTTACGGCTGACCAGCACTCATGAGACTTGGGTATGTCACGGGAAAACAGTACCAACATTTTAATAACGTGGTAAATAAAGGGTTAAGTAATTGTTTGCGCGATATGTCACGGCCAAGCGTATCGCGCAAGCACTCTCTGTGGTGTGACGTGTCGGCCAGTAGGGAAACCGGTAATTATTCTCAATGTAGCTGCGACACAAATAAAGATGTCAGATCGTAAGCATGAAATATGATCGACAACGCGCCGATCTTTTCAGTCTATGCAGTGCGTGTACGGGGCTATGTTTACGCGAGGGGGTATAAAGCCTTCGTTTACCTCCGTGTCCCGTGTGACAGGCATAAACGAGGCAAACCACCGCCGCCGCGGCGGCGGTCGGGCGAAAGCAATGAAAACCGCCGCCGCCGTGAGAGCGGCGACCACCGCCCGCAGATCCGTAGGTATGGTGAACGGAAGTAATCCCCGTGGCGCCATAAATGCGAGCGTAGATCACCTCACGTGGATAACACGTCCGGCCGAGGATCGCCTACCAGCCCGAGCGAGCGGTGAACATTATGCGCTCGCGCACGAGTTCTTTACGAGATTTTGTCTCGTAAAATATATCAGCCGTTTCTCCTCTTTAACCTACTAATGCGTATTTCCGCGCTCAACGCGAAAAACGTAAAACGTCCACGAGGCCTTACATATAACAATATAAAGTCTAAAATTAATTGCGATCGGGTACACATCTGTATCTTCGACTTTCGAACAGCTTGCGAATGGCAAATGAAGTAAGCGAAATCAATATCGTTATCAGAGTGACGATATTTGGTTTATTTCAATTTAAATGTTGTGACATATCAGTCAGAATTTCTTGAACGTTTAAAAAATACTAAGACCATGTAATTGATTCGATACTTCCCTCCCCTTTTTCCTTCTTTCGATATAATACTAAAATAAAATTTTATTTGTGATATATTTTAGCTAAAAAGGCTATGTGCAGAATTTGAATTTTAAAGTTAATTTAATATTGCATAATTATGTCTACTTTCTAATCATAATTAATATAAAAAGTGATGTGAAATCATACATCAAAAATATGTTTTGTTAAAGTCATACTTTCGACAAATTCACAAGTTGTTCGCTTTCTACGGAAAGATGAAATGACGGACAGCTCATAGACTTTTCGATGAAATTTCATAATTAACGTTAACGAGAGCGTTTGACCGTAGAATTGGAAGACAACAATGCGTTTCTGATTACATTTTAATGATGTATTCTATATTGATCCTGTTTGCGTGTTACTCCGTTTTCATTGTGAAACGAGATTCATGAACTTTTTGAAGGCAAAATACTTAAATCATTTTATTTCTTCTACATTTAAGAAAAGCAATCTTCGTATATTATTTAATAATAACTATAATTAACTCTGAAAAGTTTACCGGATATTCTATCGAATTTCTTAAAATAAAAAATTAACAGATTTGTAAATGACGAAAGAATCCATATCGCGAACACATAACGCGTGCAAAATACTTACCAAAGGCTTACGGCAGGAAACACTGGTGAAAAAAAAAAATGGAAAAAATAGTGTGTATATAATATTTTCTTTATAATTTATTAACTTATATGATATAACGATTAATATAAATTTCCACCGTTTCTCCATGTATATTCGCCAGCGTATTTTCTGTCTTGTAAATCGCACAACTGATCGCTGCAATCCGGCCATTATTTCCTCTCGTCTTTACCTTCAACCGAATTTGAAGGTAAAACATAGTCACTCTATACAATCGTCTAAAATCATTTTCGTCAAGTTTCCTCGCGCTCCCAGTCCCAGTCCGTTTCTTCCGACTTCCTTTTCTGGCCAGCCTCGTAGATCTCATCTTCCGCCGCCTCTTCTTCTTCCTCGCCGGGCCAATTAAATTTCGCGGAATCTTCGTCGGTCTCTGATTTCGTCGAGCTCTGCCTGTGATTTCTGTCGCGCATAGCTCTACTGCATTCCGTCGAGACCGAATCTGTCTCGTCTGTGCCGGATCTCGTCGAGCCGGTCCTTGTATCCTCCGTATCGGTGCTCCTACCTCTTAGCACCACGGTGGCTTCGACCGATTCGTCATTGGCGAACAATTCGATATCCTCGGATTGTTCACCGCTATGTTCGCGTTTAATTGGCGGTTCCTTCGTCTTAGTCTCGGATTGCTGCTCCTTGGAATCCTTTATGGTATACACCGAGAAGCCTTCCTCCTCCGATTTAGACTTCTGCATCTGCCAAGCTTTCTTGAAGGGATGTTCCCGCTCTTGCTGAACCAGTTTGGGCCTCTCCGGCAGGAGGTACTCGGGATCCTCCTCGCTCGCTTGACTCTTCACGATGGACTCTCGTTTGAACAAGCCAGTCGACGTCGGTTTGATCGAGAGATCGCCTTCTTTCTTCACGACGTTCCAACCGGCACTCGCCAATTCCTCCTGCGACAACTGCGACAGATCTTGCAGGGATTCTCTCTTGCTTCCCTGGGTCAACATGAAGTTATAGTTGTTAACATCCTCCTCTTCCATGGACGTTTTCTGACTACTACTGGTGTAGGATGGCCTCCTCGACGTGTCCAGACTTGTCTCTTCCTCGCTCAGACTGTCTTCTCTCGATGGTGGACCCTGTTCGCGATATTCCCTACGTCGCATGTAAATATCCTCCTCGGGCTCACTCGGTTCCTGAGAGGATCCAAGAAGTGCAATTCGTGGGCCAACGCTAACGGTCCACGAGTCCATGTTATCTTCAGGCGTGATATCGTCCCTTAGCAAGGCTATCCTACCCTCCGCTGAGGATCTGCGTGTCAAGGATTCCACGCTGGCCTCGCTCTCCCCCTCAACCAACGATTCGCGCTGCTGAGCAATCAGTTTTTCCATAAACTGTTTCCTTCGTATTCTCAACTCACGTTCCCACTCCTCCTCGTCGCTTGTCTTTGCTTCGGAACTCGAAGCGCGTACCGGCTTCGCTCTTCCTTGGGTCGACGGCTCATCCTCGCTCTCGGAAGAGAACGTTCTTCTCGTGATATCCGCCGACTTCACGAGGAGCGGTTTCGATTCGTGCTGTTCTCTGGCAGATGAACCTTCCTTTCCGACGAATTCCCAAGAACGATCGTCCGCTTCCTTGGCCGACGTTCTTCCTCTGGATTCGGATCTCTTGTACTGCCTCGAATCGCCCTCGATCTTTTTTCTACGTTGCCATTCTTCGTCACTTTCTCTATCCCTTGACGACGGTCTCTTATCTTTGGTCCTGGATAACGAACGCCTGTTCCGCTGAGCAACAGCCTCGTCATGTTCCCGTTGACTTCTGAGAAATTCGACAGTTTCTTCTTCAGAGTCATCCGTGGCGTATCTCTGACTGTTTATACCTATCTTACGATCCGTGTAACTCTCCGTGTCTCTGGATGGTTTTCTAGTCACTAGCTTGGCTCGATCTTTGCTCGATACCTCTTCGGAATCATGATCGATGAATGACATTCGCCTTCCGTTCACCTTCTTCAGTGTCGGTACGTCTACTATTTCCTCTTCCGTGTCGTGCCTCTCGAGAATGGTAGCACCGTGAGCTATATCCTTCTGCCAGTCCCACCCGGTGGACGCGATTTCGTCATCCTCGAAACTATTTGCATGTTTGACCGCCACTTTTGCGGTTTCCATCACGGTTTCGGCATTTTTATCCTCGCTCGCGCGTGTCTTTTTTTCCTCGGAAACTTCGATCGCCGAAACGTCCGTGCTTTCCATTATGACATTCTTCACCTCCTGCATCGGAAGATCAAAAAGTAACGTCAAAACGACTGACGCGGCTATCACTATCGCTACTTCCAGAGGATCAATCTGCAAACGTAAGAATAATGTACCCCATATATGCATTAATTCTCTCGCACATAAAGTAGCATTAAATGCGGTCTGAAATTCGCTTTTGAATTATTTTTCTAGTGTCGTTTATACTTCTGAGAGATATTTTATACAGAAACTGATAGTGTATTACTGTATTATTAAAGACAATAATCAGATAGATAGATTTAGCGCTAAACGTGCGGTGAGAATATAAGCTTATAATAAATCTACAATTTCAAGAGACTGCGCGGTTTCGTAAATTATTCTCGCTTCGTCCGCACGACTTACTGCTCTATGAGGCTGAAACTCCGTAGAGAATCTCGTGGTCCCAACATTGTAGAAAAATACTGCGAATTGCGTTAGGTACACGGCGTACGATATTCTGCTGAGGATCACTAGCCAGTAGCTGGAGAGGAATCTGTTAACGCCGCCTACAAAGCGAGTGATTATTGCGTCAGTGCTCCTGTCTATTTACACGCCTATCGAGTTGTTGTTACCGCAGCGTTACAACGGACCTCCGTGCCCCGTGAAGCAGGCAAATATTGACCAGCATAGAGCCGCGGCCCACAGCACCGGTCCGATTACTGCATAGTGAGTAGCCTCTTCAGCGTCGTACACGTAGTCCCGCCTGGCCTGGCGCCAGGGTGAAAATAACGACCATGAGCCCATGGCCGTCGCAATCAACCAACCCAAGATCACTAACACCTGAAATTAGAACACTGCCACGATCACGCGCGATTATGATTATGCCGGGAGGGAGTACCCTGTGAATCCTGACGTTATTCCCAACGTAATGCAACAGCACGCCGAGGCCGACGCCGAAGACGTACGGCGTCGCTCTGTGCAGCGGCAGCGCGTAAGTTAAATTGGCAGTCTTGTAAAGGCGCTTTAATCTGCAATCAATGATATACCGTCAAAGTCTGCATTACTCGGGCGCGCGCGTAAAATGTCTGAAATATTGTAATACTCACGATATCCCGTGATAGATGACGAGAGACAGATAATTGTTCATTGTCGCTATGTAACGAAGAGTGGCAGATAGCAGGATGAGGAAGGCCATCAGAAGGATACCAACGAGGAGTTTGTATTGCAGGAAGAAGACTAGGATAGGCGCCAAGAGCGACAGTTGCATGTCCAAGGCCAATTGGTACGTATGCGTGGCACACTGTAAAAGATCCATCGTTCCACTATAGATACGATCCATAAATATTTTCCGATTCGTCGCTTGCTATCTACTCACCATCTCCTCGAATGGAAAAAAATTCTGCACGTACAACAGGTTCGTCCACGCGTTGTTCTTACAGAGTTCCGCGTTCGCCGCGACGACGCTGTTCCATTGCGGGCCCGAGCCGATGTGTTCCATCACGAACGCATACCAGAAGACCACCGCGAGCAACGCCGGTGAAAGTCTGAAGAGCATGCCAATGACAGAACAATCAATGCAACCTTTCTTTCTTGAGTTTGAGTCGAACAACTGCGAGGACTCTCTCATTTTTATTGAATCTAAAATACCTGATAAATCTGGCAACAAAACGACAAAACCAGCGAATTTCACCGCGAGTCTTCAGCTCCTTCGCCATGTTGTAAGCGGTGAGAACACCGCTTAGCAGCAAAAACGCGTCCGTGTAAACTAACGATACTCGCAGAACAGAGCTGGCCGGATTATTGGCGATCTATACGAGCAACGTTTAATCAATGAAACGATATGTCGAGGCGTTCTAACACAAAGGCGAACTTCGTCCAACGATCTTACCTCGGTAAGAAAAGTGCGGTTGCTAAACGGTATTCGGGAAATTGTTATAAGCTGGTGGGCAACGTAAAGAACGATCGTAGCCAGTGCTCTTATTCCGTAGATACACGTAATATCCGCAGCGTCCGTCGCTTCCTTCAATAAGGCTTTAATCGTCCTTCGTAAGGAAAATGACATGATTATCCTCTCAGAATAATTTCCTACGAAGGAAATGCATGCATTATGCCATAATCGCCGCTGTATTGAAATATTCCGGCAAACCTAATTTCGTAAGAGATTAAATCTTATCGAGAGACCCGCGTACCTTTCCCTCGCGTCTCCACGAAGTAATCCCTCACAGTCGCTACAATAACGAGACAAACAATCATAGCGTAAAAATACCTACAAAATAAATTAGTAACATGGATTTATCAATTGCGTTTCTTCGTGGTGTAATAAAGAGATACGTACAAAACGCCGATCGTCTCTTTCGAATAGGTCTGAGATTTTTGCTTGACGTAACACATGTTAGGATCGACGTCAACCGTAAATTTAATTCCAACAGTTTCATTGTAATCCTTTAAGGTACTTCCTAACGCACGTTTAGCGTCCTCAGCAGAACACGCCGCGGGTAAACACAGCGCCCAATTCAATGTAGTGAATTTTGGAATGAAATGACCTGGCTGAAACATTCAATTGAAACAACGATTTGCTGAGAAGTTTCTAATTAAAAAAAACGAGTTATTTGAATTTTAAAAAATCAAGATTATTTTAAGACCTCCTATTATAAAAATATTATTAGAAAAGTACCAAGAGAAACAATTTTTTAAAACAGATTTTTAATTTAAAAAAATATGAATCTTTAAATAGATTTCCATTATCAATATCTTCTTTAACTTTCGTTTACATTTCGCTCGAGATACAGACGGTATACAAATTTCACAATTTATTTTCGTTTAACTTTAACAAAACTTCTCTTACGTCGTGCATATTTCCTCGTATAAAAGTGCGAGCTTGCATTAGATTGACCGGCAGTCTCATGTCTGAATGGGAAGCTTGCAGATCCACAGTAGCCAGACAATATTTCCCTTGAATTCTTATCGTCTTTTCGTCTATTTTAACATGCGCTAGCACACCCAAACATTGATCGTAATCCCCGAACTGATTCACGTTTCCTCGTAACAAGCTCGACGGAATCTTTGCGCTCGAATCTAACACTGGAAGCAAGACAGATCTTTGGTTCGATGAAATTGATGCAATTTTTCGAAAACATAAACTTTCCGGTCATTGTCTATATATAGATGCGAGCCGAAAGCTTCGATTAAAAAGCTTTGTTAATTCAACAATGTCCACGTATTGTCCTTATTATGTTACAGTAACATAATTATTAGTCTGAACATTGAACAACTTTTAGTTGAAGTAATTACAATAACTTTGGCTTCTGAATGAAAATAGAATGAACAGTTATTTCGGTCAAACGACTCACTTTGCAGCGCCCACAACTTGTAACCTCTCAATTGTCGCAGGAATATCTTGCCATGTTGCTGACATTCCGGATTTTCAACGTTCGTAAAATTTGGCACGAAGGTCGGCACACGCAGAATTGCATCATTCACTTCGGACAATGTAATAGACGCATCTACATGTTTCTTCAATTTCGGCTCTTGCTTCGTCTCTTGCTCTAAAAAATATTGCCTGATTAATTACATAAAATAAATTACGAAATTTTTTTATGAGTTTTATTTTGAAATTTTGAGATGCGTCTATCTATTTTGAAATTCTGAGATTACTTTTATCGAACGAGGAAATAAAGATAAAAAATGTGCATTTTCAAAAAGGTCTATTTAAAGACAAAAATTTCTTTTAGTGTCCCTTAAGATTATTTAAAAAAAACAATGCAGAATTTCTACGCGTAGCAGAAGCTAGCGAATAAAAGATTACACGGCTGTTGAATATTAACTTAGTTAGATTATTACTTAAGATACTTCCACCAGCGCCTATTCACGCGGAAACACTAAACATCTTCGAATAAGCTCGGTTTTCGTATCGAACCATTTTCACATAATACTCACTCTCCGCTTGCGAAACTTCCTTCGACGGTCTCGAAGTTGGTTTTGCTGTTACTTTTTTGACATCCGCCCTTTCCGGTTGTTTCGCTTGCTCCTTAATCTTCGGTGCAGGTGTTAAAGTTTCGGGTTTCACTTGCGTCTTCGATTTTTCGTCTGTCTTCGTTGCAGTTTCAGGTTTAGGTTTAGGTTTAGGAGTAGCCTTCACCGATTCAACTTTTTTCGTGCCTTCAGTTAATTTCTTGGCACTTTCGACTGATTTTTTCGTGCCGTCGACGGATTCTTTCGTGCTATCGATCGATTCAATTTTCTTTGTGCTTTCGATCGTCTTTTTCACGCTCTCAACCGCTGGTTTCGCAACATCGGCTGATTTTTTATCTTCTTGTTTTGATTTTTCCACATCGGGTTTACTAGGTAAAATTTTAGCTATCCTCGTTTTGTCTTTATCGGCGAGCCTCACTTTCTCTAATTTTCTAGGTGCTGGGGTGGTTTCTTTTATATCAGATTCTTTACCTTCATCTTCATCTTTGTCATCTTTTTCTTGTTTTTTATGTAATACGCTAAGTGGTTTTTTAAGTGATTCTATTACTTTTTGTTGATCTATTTTGGTTGCTTTTTTTTCTTTTTCTTTCTTATCATCTTCTTTCTTATCATTATCATCAGTTTTACTATATTTCATAGATTTAATAATCTTTGTAGTTTTAATTTCCTTCACTTGTTTCTTTGAATCTCTTTTAAAAACTTTTTTATCATCATCACCATTATCTTCATCTTCACCCTTATCTTCATCTTTATCTTCATCCTTTTCTTCACCTTTATCTTCATCATCATTATCATCATCAGTAGGAAACTTTTTCTTCACTTTTTTTTTCTTATCCTCAGCATCTTCATCTGATAGTTCAGCCTCAGATGCTTCTTCTTCTTCTTCGTCTCCATTTGTCTTTCCATCCGCCTGATCTCTTTCAGAATCTCCCACTGATTCCTCATCCTCCTCCATGCTTTCCACTTCCACAACCGTTTCTTCCTCCTCCTTGTCGTCATCCTCCTCGTCACTTTCTATCCTGGAACTCCTCGGCATAGTTCCAGTCGTATCCCTGTCTCTCGGATGTTGAGTGATCTCTATTCGAGCTCTTTCCGTCCCGACATCTGACGTCGACTCGGCAGGTGGTTTCCGGCCACCAGCGATGGTCCGCGGAACCGTATCCTCGTGCCATTTCCGTGCCGAAAGTCCCCCGGTCGTCACCGTTCTGTCCGTTGGGCAGGCTCTGCCGTGCGCCGGGACGCAGACGGCCTGATGGTGCGTCTGCGGTACGACGTCGCGTATCCGGAAGCCATAGCAGGTGGCGTAGAGTATGACGAGACCCAGCAGCGCGACGCACTTGCCCAGAAGGGCGATAGCCATGACAGGGCAACCTTCACATGGAAGAGGCAAAGACCGGACGTTGTTCGCGAGGCTCGACCCACCGTCTGCCGATGATGCCTGTCGCTTGATGAGCGAGAGCGATTTCCCGTTCAAGAAATCCGTCCAAAATGAACGGCTCCGCGTCTTTTCACCCGCGGCCTCTTTGCTTCTTCCGCAATCTTCCACTTCCCGTTTCGCGATCGCGAAGAAATCCTAGGATCTATCAGCGATCTGTCGCGCCGATCGCCCTCCGACGTGGCAAACCCCGGGCCACCACGTCTACAGCCGGCCGTGCCTTCGCGGAAATTAGAGCGCATGGCATCGGTCCAAGCAGCTAGGAGTTTTATTTAGCATCAACATTTCGAGGCGGTCGACCGCCAGCAGAACGGCAGCGGCCTCTTCTAACCGCGGCTCCGACTGCATCGACGCTATCCGTTGCGGTCCATCTGACGTGTCTTTATTACGCAAGATACCAAAGGATCACCAAGTGATCCGCGTAATTTCGGTGATGCTTGCGGTTTAATCTCCCGCGTCATATTATAAAGTAAATCTCACTGCTTTATTGTTGTCGCGAAATAATTCGTTGCGAAAGCAGCGTACAGTTGTGGGAATCGATTCAAATGTCACTTTTAACAATGTGTATACAACAATTAATTAATGAGATATCTATCAAATAATCAGCTTAATCCGAGAGTTTATTGACTTTATTAAAAGTATTTCTTATCACATTTGCAATTAAAAATCTCACATGGATAAAATATATTTAGGTATCGATATTATCAATATTAGTTTTAATAAGTGTCAATGTATTGACAATGTTACATGTGTTAATTTTTATTAATTTATTTCCTCTTCTTCTTAATTATGACTAAACTATGAATAATCTCTTAATTTTTCGGACAACAAGTAATGAAATTTTAATGTGACTTCCGTAGCAGTGATTGCATTCAAATGAATACGATTGCTGATTATTTATTCATAGTCCTATTTAGGTCGTGGGACAGCAGCAAACGAACACGCTGATCCGCTTATTGCGAATTTAGTCAATCTCGACGGACGATGGCGAAATTTTGCGGACAAAGCTCACACTGGCTTTTGCAACTAGTAAAATCCGACGTATATTCGGATTAATCTCAATCGTGTCTGAGAATTTCAAGGCATTACTATCGTGTATGCTTTCTCTCTTCATATAGTTATATATAATATACATTTAGCGGAACGTTATCTTATCGAATTATTTAGACATAAAAATATAACATAATTTGATCATATAGTCAAATTTTTTTCAGCGCTATTTTTCGAAATTTGTTTTTACAATTAGATCATAAACTTGTACTAAACTGAGCAGCCATCTGGTTTAGCAATTTATTGCGTATTTCAGAACAATATGCGGACACAATGAAGAGCTATTCGAATTCCCAGATTTTGCTGCCAAGTTTAGCCAGCGAGATTGTCTGCTTCTTCGGGCACGAAACTTATATGCTACAAAAAGATGATTCCAAATTTCGAAGAATGTGCAAAAAATGACGCGACAGTAATAAGAAGAAATAGGAAATTTGCGATTTTGCACACCCAGAATCTTCAAGTCGCAAATCTAAATTCTTCTAAAAACAAATGTAAATAAATTAAATTTGTAGAAGTATATACATAATTATTTAATATTATGTTTCTGTATATTTATACTGGTTTAATAATTTATATTTCTTTAATAATTTATTTTTCTTTGAAGTATTTATTTGCAAGTATGTGTAAAGAAGAATTGATTATTTTTAATATACATATATATTAAGGAGATTGTAAAAAAAATCAGAAACTTTATAAATTGCTTGAAATTTAAAACATAAGCTGTTTTATAAATAATGTCAGCATATGAATGTTTTTAGATTCTATCGTCGTGATTAGTTTTTAAGAACATTTATAACAAAGTTCAAAATTTTTTTTAATGCCACTTTTATGTCAGTAAAAGCTTTATCAGGTAATTATCTATGTGTATTTTATACAGCGAAGCAATTGAATCCAACATACTTTCTCATGATATGATATAAAATAAGTTTATTTATTTTGTGCTGAGTTTTCGTTGTCCTATTTAAATCAATTTGATTACATACATACACGTTTTAATATCGATTTATTGCTACGCGGTCCTACCACGATGCAAATTCTAATATTGCAAGAAAATTATATATGTGTGTTGATATTTCTCAAATCTTTGAAATTTTTAAACTTTTAGTATATTTTTTTTATATAATAACCATAAGTTTATTTACTTCTTAATATTTTTTAATATAGTTATGTTTGTATATAGATAATTGATAGATATGCAGTTTTGAATCTCCCACTAGAACCCATTAATAAATCTTGAACTTTGTTATATTTTTAATATCTCTGATTCTCTTTATGATCTTAATTATATGAAAAAATGTACAATAAAATGTGAGTTATCTAAAGAAACACGCTTGCTTCTTTCATAATATTCGAATATCTCAATTATTAGTAAACTCATGTTGGAACAGAACTCTTTGATTTAACGAAAATAGGAGAATATTTCGCACCGCGTATTGTACAATTCGCGAAACATTTCTAGCAACGGAACCAGTCGCTTCTGTAGCAGGCAGCAAGATCAATAGTCGGCCAATTATCAGCGGTTGGTCACTGATTTGATATCTTTTTCTTTCCACGCACACACACAATTTTATAATTTTACATTTATATTTTTGGGAAAATTATAAATATGAAAACTACATTTGTCAATAATTCATTATTTATTCTTATTTGGGATAATCGCTCTTCATTATAATGCATCTTTTACGTCTCGTGTGAAGCACAAAACAGGAAGAGTACATTAATTTATTTTTATAATTAACACAATAATACGATTGTATATTCTTACACACTTATGTAAAACGGTTAACAATATTTAACATATTTTTAGAAATTCTTAAGAAATATTGCGAAATACAAAACTTGACATACCGCTGACGATTGATGCTTCTACATATACAGTCTAACAATAACATTTAATCACATGTAATAAATAATATTTCACGGCTACTTATGACCTATGACCTATTATTTCATAATAAAAAATTGTTGATCGTGATGAAGAGCTCGATAAGATTATAGTTTTGATTGAGAAAGATAAACTTGCATTCACATCTGATACAATGCGAAACGTTATCATTCGTAACGTAATAATATCTGTATCTTATCGAACAAGATTCCCTCAGAATTTTTTTAGGCAGAATCTACTTCAATGATCGTAACACATTCCAATCTTAATTGTCTTCATTATAAATATAACGCACAGATATATGCAGAATGGTCACAACGCTCGGAGTCGACTGAGAAAAAGATATTATAAATAAATGGGAGCGGAAGAAAATAGTGAATCGGTTAAAAAAGCATGCACAAGTCGAATAAACGTTCAAAAGGAATGTAAGCGTCTCCCCGTGCTCCGCCATCTGTTTCCATCAAGGTAGAGATCAACGTTGCAGGGATAAACGTGAAAGAAAAATCTATTTTCATTTCAATGCACGTCGCAATGCAAGAGAGACGGACATCACTAACTTCTAGATCTTAACGCAATATTTGCGCGCTTCATGTTTTACCGATATCAAAGTAAATGCGCAAATAACAACCGATATTCTGTTGCGGGAGAAATGAAGTTTACTTATCTTTCAGCCGCGTTATTTTCAACTTTGCATACTTGTTTAACCAAATGTTTAAACAAATATCCGATCTAGCTCAAGAACGGAAAAAGTAGGAAAAATAAAACATTTTATTTTCTTTTAGTGCGAAAATACGACTGGTAACGACAAGTTCTGCATTGTTTTATTTACATGGAATATAAAAATATATCGGAGTATCTCTATGTTTATCTATACGTGTATCGTATTGATCGTATTTTAAAGATAATGATCAGTCACGTTCTGCAGAGCCTCATCAGAATGAAGTAAATGTTGCCTTCACAAAGATTAGATTAACCCACCAGGTTGTTCAGCAAAGTTCATACAAAGTTATACAACAACTTTTACTAGATCTAATATAGAACGCACTTTGAAAAATTCAGTTCCACACGAAGATCCGTAATGCGCATTTTAAATGCTTATTATGCTTCAAATTCGCTTCTCTTTCTATCTTCCACCGAAAGATACACGCCACTCATTCGAACGAGGCAGCAAATTTACGCGACTGAAGATACGCGGCCGCGCGCGAAAAAAGAATGCAAGTTCGTTTTACTCTTTGTCGGAGCGGCTGATACCGGCGACGGAGAGGGATGCATAAGCCTCTTGAGAAGATAACCCGGAGCTATCCGCGGAGGTATCGGGTCGGCCATATGGGCTCGGCTCAAAGCCGAGCGCGAGGTCTCTTATAAATGCGTGGCGTTCGTTCATGCCTTCCAGTCGGTGGGAGATCAGCCTTTCCGCGGGAACGATACGGCGCGACGATACAACGTCAACGTTACACGCTTGGAATAAACGCGTCGTTTCTCCTCTCCTCCCTGTCGTCCCTTGTCTTTTCTTCTCGCTGTCCCCTCGCGGGCCGCCGCGGTCGGGAAACCGCGGTCGGTGCGGGCGAAATCATGCCGCGGAATGTCTTTTAGCACATCCGACTTTCCTTCGCGTTAAATCGAACGGAACTTGTGCCGTTTGGGTGTGTTACTCCTTGGAATGCCAGTGGGCGAGTGCGCATCCCCTCGGCGAAGAAACGGAGCGAGCCGATAAATCGGTGCGACGCAAACTGCGTGACGCAGCGTATTAAGAGGAATAACGTAAGAGGAATAAAAAATCGTCGCTTATCTAAATGGAATTTGAAATAATCGCATTGGCGTAACGGAAACTAAAACAAATCTATCACACCGAAAATTTTAATAGATTAGTAAAATATATGTGCTTTTTTCTTTTGATTATCCCCTGAGCTTCTTCTTCACTCTTAAAAATTCCAAACGCTTGAAAACCGAATTAATTAAGAATGATTCGATCGTTATTTTGTATTATTATCATTACCAAATAGTATAAAGTATACACTTCTTAACAAAATATTAAAATTGCAAATCGCGTACAAAATTTTTAGAGAAAATATGACCAATATCTGTCCTACTGTTTCTTCTTAAAACTCTCAAGAATATTTGAAATCTCTGACACGTCCGTGCAACGTGCACGAGAGAAATCGAGCTGTGAACGACGGAAAGTTTTAATGCTAATGTCTTGACGTAGCCGTTAAAAGCAGCAGGTGGTTAAGAAGCGTAGGACTCCGCTAAACTGCGCACGCGTTTTGTATACATACGACCGGAGCTCGCGTATAATCGGATATGGATATGTCGCGCGCGAGCATGAGCATCGTAATCTCTCCTCGTGGTGCTCCTTTGCGCCGCCAAGTGTTTACGTTTGTAAAACGAATTCAAAAATAGACCTCGGTAGCTAAACAGCCGCGGCTGTTCGTTTGCCGCGAGAAGAATCCAACAACGTCGTAAATCGATTGCGAACGATTCAGCGCGGCTATCGAGTAACCCGCTCACGTCAAAGAGCTATGCAGTGTAAATTAAGGATTACAAGACACATTAATCATATACATGTATATCTGCGATAAAATTACATGAAAGAAAAACAGTTATCATTTCAGTCATAAATCATAGATTACGCTTTTAGAAAGGCTGCTGCTGTTTGAGACTTGCGCATTGAGCAGAGATTGAAAATGCTCGGCATCGTAGCGATATTACTGGATCCTTTTCTGCTTATCGGGCTCCTCCTCGGTAGCCTGTACTTCTATTTCACGGCCACCTTTGACTTTTGGGAATGCCGCGGCGTACCGTTCAGAAAGCCGACCGTGCTGGTCGGGAATTTCGGTCCCTTGCTTTTGTTCCGACAGTCTCTGCCGGAAAACGTGAAAGAGATGTATCAGTGGTTCAAGGATGAAAGGTTCTTCGGCGCATTCCGAGTAAGATCGCCCGTGCTGATCTTACGCGACCCCGATCTGGTGAAGAGCGTATGCGTCAAGGATTTCGCTTGCTTCCTGAACCGTGGGATTCCGGTCAATAACGATCAGGTACGCGCGACAACTAATCTCCTTTCCTGTCTCCATCGCCGAGACGCTAACTGCTACTTCTTGTTAATATTTGTTAAAATACGCGAGAACGCTGTTGATGAAATCCCCATTTTAATTGTGCACGCGCCAGGATCCGCTCTCCGGACATCTGTTCAATCTCGAAGGGCGCAAATGGAAGGGCCTCAGGTCGAAACTGACGCCCGCTTTCTCGTCGGGCAAGCTGAAGCGGATGTTCTACTTGTTGGTGGAGTGCTCCGAGGAGTTGCAGAGACTCATCAAGGAAGCGAGCTGCAACGACGACCAAACCGTCGAGGTACGGGAACTGGCCGCGAAATTCATCATCGACGTCATCGGCAGCTGCGCCTTCGGCATACAGATAAACGCGCTCACTGACGACGAATCCGAGTTTCACAGGGCGGCGAAGAGGCTCAAGCCGAGTTATAAGGACTCTCTCTGGAGGATGCTACGAACGGCCATGCCGAAGTTGTACAAACTGCTGGGTATTCAGCTCGTTGATCCAAGTGTTACCAAATTCTTCATGGACGTCGTGTCGCAAATGATCAGCCAGAGGGAAAGTAACGGCACGACCAGGTACGACTTTATGGACCTGCTGATCGAGCTAAGAAACAAGGGTACTCTGGAGAACGAAGCCGGCAACCCGACGATCTGCAGCGACGAGGACGCCCAAGCGGCGAAGGAAGCCGGTAAATCAAATTGCGATGCGGAACATACGGCATCGTTTTACTTACAAAAGCTAAAAAAAAATCCGTTATTTATAGAATTAGATCAGCATACTATCGCGGCGCAAGCATTCGTTTTCTTCGCCGCCGGCTACGAAACGTCATCGAACACGATCGCGTTCTGCCTCTACGAGCTGGCCTTGAACCAGGAAATCCAAGATAAGACCAGGCGAGAGATACACGACGTTTTACAAGAACGGGGTGAAAAATTGACATACGACGCGGTGCAGGAAATGAAGTATCTCGACATGGTAATATTAGGTACGGACCTGATGATGTCATTGATTGAGAAATCCGAAAGTAAGGGAAAAAACAATGTATATCCCCGAACGTAATCCTTTTCTCGCGAACAACGAGATTCGGATCTCAATTTTGTATCGCGATAAAAGTCGTCACGCGACAGTTCGACAGTAAAAATAAAACCGTTGGAGATAATCTGGGAATGCTTATTTAAATATATATATAAAATGTGTAGAGACTCTCAGGAAATATCCGCCGGCCCCGCTGCTCTCTCGAAGATGCGAGTACAACTACCAAATACCGAACAGCAATGTGGAGCTGCCGGCCGGCATACGGGTCATCATACCGATTTACGGCCTCCACCACGACCCGAATTACTATCCCGATCCGGCAAGATTCAATCCCGAGAGATTCACGGAAGAGAATAAACGCGCGAGACATCCCTACACGTATCTTCCATTTGGAGAAGGGCCACGAAATTGCATAGGTACCCGACTCTTGCGCTCACAATCAGAGAAAGACGTAGTACCAGCAGCTAGAAAATTAAGAGGAACAACGTAGCTATATTCTGATAATTCTCATGACTTTATATAAAGGGGTCTTTATGCGGGTATTTAAATCTCATTGTCAGATGTGTCACATTATGGTTGCTAGAACTATTTTCTCTGAGTGTACTTAGCTTCTTTCTATATTTTCGCACTTTTTTCTAGATTTCGCGTTAAGTTGAACTTCCATTCTATCTGTTACGGAAAGTTTCGAAAAGTTTTCTATTATTACAGCATGATCTCTTTTTCTATATCTATTTCTTTTTCTGCTCTTAAAAATAAAAACAATTTTTGGCACAAATCGCCGATTTTAGCGCAAACGCTGAAATTTTCTGCGAAATGTCGTAAGTTTAATGTTATCAGATCTAAGAAGAGTTGCTCAACATCGTTTATCTTCCAGATATATTTTAAGCAGTTTTCGGACTTTTGTGCTGTTCGAACGAACGTCTAAAGTCTAAACTCTTAAATTATTTATTTTTTTTGTAGGATGGCTGCGAATGATATCGCAGTCGAATTGCGAGTAGAGAGATTAAGCAAACAGTGAATCCAGAGAATTCATAATCCGCTGACTCAACGCGCGACATTACGTCACGTGCTACGTCGCTCGTTCGAATAAAAAAAAAGGCTTATTGATTCCGGTCAGCACTTTAGAACCATGACAAAATTATTCGATGTCGATAAGAAATAATATCTATAGAATTCGCAAACACGCCGTGTAATCCCCGCTCGATTGTCTTATCGAGATTCATACATACATTTTTCCCTTATCTCCGTTTGCCATGCTTCACGCAAGAGCGTGCCAATGTTGTTGAATCACATTCAGCCAATATTCCTCGTTATCTTTAAGCGATCGTTAATTCAACTAATAATCGACGGACGACAGATTGCATATTAAAGCGATTGCGTAGCGTGCGAAATTCGTCGTTTAAATAACTCGCTTAGCAATTATTAGCTCAAGAGGCGAGACGCACCGCGCTTGAGCGTGCAAATTTATGCGGCACGGAGGACGACGACCTTGATAATGTACCGTATATGCGCGTGTTTTATGCAAAAGCCACCGTCCCGATTTGATAAGCAAGCTTGCCTCAAACTCGTCGTTAAATCAGCAATTAAGTAACTGACGCGTCGTAAAGTCGACACATTATGACGATTTTGCAACTTTTCAGGCATGCGGTTCGCGTTGCTGCAAATCAAGATGGGGATAATATCATTCCTGAAGGATCATCGAGTCAAAATATGCGACAAGTCGACGGTGCCGATCAAGTTCAGCAGACGGAGTCTCGTGACCACGAACGAGGCAGGATTTTGGCTCGCCATTACTTCCTCTTCCTAAATACAGACTGCATTTGATAGCGCGTTTCTTTTTCCTTCAAGAAACCAGTGATTAACGTTAAAAATAGACGCGTATATAAATTCGCTACGATAATGCACTTAATTCGCGACAGAGAAACAGAACGTCAGCTGTCACTCGTTTGTTTCTTGCAAATTAATTAATGCAGAATTGGAGGAAGATTCGCGAAATGAATTAAGTTCACATAATATCTTTATGTTGTTTTTCCATCTGAATTCAAGATTAAAAAAAGATATTTGTTATTGATTTTTAGAATTCTCAATCTTGAAAGATCTTTTCTTCTCGCTCTCCTGAAAAGTCCGAGTGTTTTAGTTTCTTCTACTTTTGACGCTTTTAATAGAAATCCTATATCTAGAACCGCGAAGGAATAAATCATTCTTGTTGATTAAAAAAGAGAACGAAACAAGATCATTGAAATGTTATCAATGATTTATGTTTTATGTTACATCGATCCCACCTACACAAATAACTTTTGCAATCGCGCATTAGAGATTTATGTTGCGCGCATAAATACAATTTTTAATGCGATATTTGTGAAAAATTATCCTATTCAGTCAAAGAAAATAACGAGTGAACTGATATACTTCTGAATCTCTCAGAAGTCAAACGTGATCATTTTCACTTTTTGTATATTATTTCTTGATTTTAGTACCAGAGTATACGTAATTAGTTTATAATTTCATCAATTTTCTCTATTTTTTAATTCATGGAGTTGTAGTCGAGTTCTGAGAGTTTGAGTTCCTAGGCTCATGTCATATCCCCCATAAGTAGCAATAATATTTTTTAGAGGCTTTAAAAGAAAAGAGAATAAAGTTGTTTGCTTATTACATTAACAACAATGTAAGCGGAGAATAGCCAATTTAACTGAAAGATGGAAAAGTATAAGATGCGAGACGAATCGATTTAAATTTACTCTTTTAAGTGCCTTAATTTTTATTTATTAAATAAAAAAACCGTATGGGATGACTCAATATCTTAAAATATTCAACTAGATAAAAAAAAACGATATTATATGTATACCTCCCACTATAAGGAACATTAAGTCACTGTTATTAGCGACTCTCATTTCTGCAATGCGTACTTATATGTAGTTTTTGTCATATCGAAGATTTATCTCATTACATTAAGTTCTAGAAGTGACTCGCTCTTAACTTTCCACGAGAGGCAGTGTACTTTTTATTCTAACATTTATAAAATATATATTTATAAAATATATTTATAAACGCAGCGTTTTAAAATAAAGTACCGCGTTCAGAGAAATTTTTTCTGTTACATGTAGCACACATTCATACTTATCCAACCGATTTAAAACTCGAAATATACTTTTTTTATATTTTCTCTTTATCTGTATCATTCTTTCGACGCGGATAACGGTTCGCGCGAGAGGGTCGACTTCGTGAATATCACCCGGTATTAAAAAACCAAATCGCGTATAAAGCGTAGCAGCGGCGCGCTTCCATATACGAAAGAATGAGAGTTGGCCGCGGTTGAGTTACATATACAGTTCGTCTTGAAGCGGAACTCCTAACTGGCCGCGGGCCTACGCACTCCATTAATTGAATCGGATAAGGCTCGGCGACGCGGCCGATCGGCGCGCGATCGGTGCGATGAGGAGCGTGCGGGCCCGCTCGTTGTCGGCGAAGAAGCCACTTCCTCGCGACGCGGCGTCGTCCGCCGCAGTGCCGTCGCGCGTGTTGACCATCAGTAACAGTAACTCGGTGTCTCGGTATTCGATTCGAGCGAGTCGAGTCAGTCTGTCAGTGTGACGCCGGCCGGACGTCCAGGTTTCGGCGAGCTCGGAGCTGCTCGGAACGAAGCGCGCAAGGAGCGAGATCCCCGAGCCGAAAATCGCGCCGGAGCACCGGGGGGCCAGGAGCGGAGCACCGGGCGAGGGCGTTAAGGCCTTCACACATAAAATAGCATAAGGACGTAAAACGTAAGCGTAAGAAAATCGACCAATCCCAATCAAGTATTGTGCTGACCGTAACCCCAGTAGGGGAAAATACTTGATTGGGATTGATCGATTTTCTTACGCTTACGTTTTACGTCCTTACGGCATTTTATGTGTGAAGGCCTTTACTTTCCTGAGCGCGCGCGCGCGCGCGTTACGGCGCTGCGTCGGCGGATCGGCCCGTAATCGGCGCGGCGGAGGAAGCAAGACGGAAGCGGAGGACCGCGAGAGCGAGAGAGAGAGAGAGACAGACGGCGGTGTTTCGCGAGCACCTGTCAGCGAGCGAGCCGAGAGCCTGTTCAGGGAATAATGCCACGGTGAGCCGTCGGCGGATTTACCGGAATCACTCGAACGTCACCTCGTGGCCTGGTCGCGCGTGACCGATAACGCGGCCCTTTAAACGCGCTCGCCCGCGCGCCAGCTCCCCGGATTTTCTTCTCTCTTTATTATCGTTAGCCCTTTCCCTCTTTCCCCTCCGTTATTTATCGATACACACGCGTTTTCGTCGCTCGCTGGCGGCCAGTAGCGCACGCGTCGTCGCTACGTGCCACTCTGTTCGCGACAGACAGCCCGAGAGAGAGAAAAAAAAGATCCGTCCGACGCGGTGACATTTACAGGGTGACACGAAACGACGCGGCGTACGGGATGCACGATAGCCGATAGATACTCCCGGGAGGGACGTCGTCCTCGAGGCCAGCAGCGATTTACTCGTCCCTCATCGTAGCGGAAGTCTCTGCTCCGGTTGCTCCGTCGCGACTCCGCTCGATATAGGTTAGAGCGTGTGTGATCCTACGGGACACACCGTCGTCCGCTCCTAATTCGGCTGTCGCACGCGTTGACTGTTGACTCGCGCGTGGCAACGCATCGTATCGGAATGTATTACCGGTGTAACGGCGAGCATGATCTTCGAATCTGATTCCAGATGTCACACTACAGTAGAAACACCTGCGATCAAAAGACTGCGGTGATTGACCATGAAAGGAAGTATCAGGAGGACTTGGAGCAGGCCAAGGCCCTCAGTCTGGAAAGCTTGGCTCTGGAGAAGTACAGATTGGAGAAGCTGCGATTGGAGCTTAGTAACGTGCAACAGGCGTGCCTCGCGCAAAACAATGTGTGCAATACGAATAGCGTGCCGGAGACAGACAGCTCGCAAGGAGAAAGGTACATATTTTGACACTTCACCTTCCAATCGGCTGCTTTTAATTTTTCAAAATTAATTGTGTCTTATAATGTGTATCAATTTGACAATTTTGATGCAACTCTTTACTGTATAACAATTAAGCAATTTACCGTGTAATATGTATAGATTGCAATGCAGAAGTCGACCAAGACCAGGATCCATTAACACAAATCAAAAGAGTACTGTAATATTGGCACCGCCACCTCCAATACCGTGTAGAAGAAATTCGACGACTACCGCATCAAATCAAGATTCTTCTACCGACCTAATCAATTTTACAAGCCCTGTAAAGCAGGATAATCTGGCTGAATATTGTTCGGCTCCACCTCCGCCACCGCCGTAAATATATTTTTATAATATTTAGTTATTTATATATTTAGTTAAGAGACACGGCACTTTTTTAAAGAACTGTACTTGTGCAAGCATATTTTTATAATTATTCTCTTTTACATACATGTACGATGATTATATTATTTCTATTTTGATTTTGAAATAAATTATCAAGTTTATATAATAGCAATTTATACAATTGTGACATCTGAAAAGTCTTTCTTTTTTTATTGAAACGTTTATAATTTTTTATCTTTATCTTACGAAAGATTGTGACTTATTAAAAACTTTTTGTTACAGAAAAGCAGCATCGTTAGAGCCTAAATGGGATACCCATCCGTCATTATTGAAGAAACAATCAAGAGTGTCTCGAAGTAATAGCTCAGTCAGCGCGTATCATTCTAGAGACTTTAGATATCATTCTCTTTCCCCAGGCCCACGATCTTCCACAGCACCATGTACGCCAGGAACACCGGGAATTAGCCCTATCATGTCAAGAGCTAGTAGCGTTAGCAATAATGTACCTGATATTGCACCACAGGTAATAAAGACTATAGATTCTATAGATTCTATAAATTCTATAGAATCTGCCTTGTTCTGAAATGAATATTTTCTATTTTCTATATGAATATTTTCTTGCAAAAATCTTTTTTTTTTTTTTTAATTTGTTTGTTTACGGGATTAATATACAAAGCAGTTTGTTAAAACATTTTTCTTTGCAGCCTGCATGGAAATCTGTTATCTTTAAGCATTTTTTCTTCACACAGGTATATCATATCTGAAGATATCTGAAGATATGGTAGATGCTTATTTTTTTTTTAGCATAGCATTATTATTATACATAGTATTATTAGTATTATTAATAGATATTAATATTATTAATAACCCAGATAGCAGAGTGCGTCAAACGTAACGTTATAAGTAACGTTATAATGCCGTCAAAGTGACGTCTCTAACGACAACAATCCGTCATTTTGACTGCACTATTACGCCACTTGACGCCACTCTGCTATCTGGGAAGTTGTATATGTTTCAATTTATTTTTAATATTTAAAAAAATATATATACATATTTATTATCTCAATCTTTCTTAATTAAAAATATGTGAAATATACATCTTCTATTGTTAGTTTTGCTACTTTTTAAAACCAATTTTATTAATTAATGACGAACATTTTTCAAAATAGTTGTTTTGAATATATTTATACATTTCTTTTTTAGATTCCTCCATTGCCTATGAATTATAGACCAACTGTTCCACCTGCCATATGTGGAACACCATTTTTGGATGATGAAAAGTTGAATGTATTAAAAGTGATAGAGAAGAAACCAAATAGCAATCTTATAGATTTGAATAGTTTCGAGCAAACAGAGGACAAAACAAATGTACGAGTTAGCGTGTTGGAAGCATTCGATCCGTTACTTATTAAGACTGACAACGGAAATAATTCTATACCAGAGCATAAAGATGGTAAATTATCAAATCTCATTTTTTCTAAATTATTAATATAGTATAAAATAATTACAGAATAATTATAGTATAAAATAATATAATATGTCAAATTTAAAACTCGAAACATGTGACTAAAAATGGAAGTACATTCTGTTATTTTAATATTAATAAATAACATTGAATAATTTTTGCAGATTCACAATCACAAGTTAGTGGCAGTGTATATGATCCATTCGATCCGTTTGATTATATGTACAGCACAAATGAAAGTGTCAACTCGGATCCCGTTTATGCTGCTGTGGAAAAATCTGCGAAATCGCCAGCTGTATCGCCAGCTGCACCACCTCCACTGCCTCCTCGAAATTCATCTGCATGGAATACCATAGAGAGACGAAGAACTTCCTTAGATCGTCGAGTAAGTTGCGAAAAAATTTCTGTCTAATTTTTCATAAAATAATTGTTATACTTTAATATTATTTTCAGCAGAAGCGTCAAACACGATTATACGAAAACTTAACAGTCATTAAAACTAGATCATCTCTGCATGATTGTGATCTGAAGGCATTTCACAACATGATAAAGTCTATACGAAGTTAGTAGAGAACCTTTTGTTCTATAATGGTATATTGATACATCTTTGTTGCTCACAATTTGGTTCAATTTCAGGCGAGTTTCCGTTTAATAATCCTAGTACAAATATTGGATACGTTGTTAGCCCAATAATGGAGAATCTATATCCAGATGGTACAAGTATAAAATTAGTAGTCCATCCACAATTACTCAATAACGATAAAGATCCTGTATCATCTATTACTTTCACTTGTAATGGTAAGTTAAAAAGAAAATCTTTTTTTTCCAAAGTAAGATTACTTTCTCTCTTTTGTATCTAAAGCAAATCGTTTTAAACATTATGTTTCAGTGAATTGCAGTGTCGAGCATGTTATCTTGAACGTCGCTTGTTCCTTGGAGGATGAAGATACAGTAAATGTAGAAAAATATTGTTTAAGAGTATGGGGATTAGCTGAATACCTTGCACCTAACACAACCTTAGCACAATACGAATACATACATCTATGCATTAAATTAGAAAAAGATATCGAATTAGCTATAATGAGCAGGGCACAAATTAAACAATCCATTGCTCGAACGGTCAGTATCAGACATATATGTATATTGTATACATATTATAATGTATCGCAAGCAGACTGTTCAAACCATTATTCTTTTTTTTCCAGCTACAAGATGATAATTGTGATCAAACTCTAAAATTAGAAGATATTCTACCAAATGAACCGTCACAGCCTATTTCATATGATACATTAGTTATTTTATTAGGTATGTTTACACACACACACACATGCATATGAAAAGAAATTGTTTGTCTATAATATATTTATATTGCACATTGAATTTTAATATTACGTTATGGATTATAGAAACAGTAGAAAAGGAAATGGAACGCGTAGAAACTGCAGCGTTACAATTGGCAACCACAAATCAAGGTTCTACCTTATTACCTCAACTTCAACCGCACGGCGTAGTGCAAGCAGTTAAAGCAGTGTGTGCCTTAATGGGAAACATCGAGACATTCGAGATCACGGAAGCTATTGACAATTTCGTGAATGCTTGTTGCCAATTTTTGCCGCAAGCTCACACAGCTAATATAGACTGTAAAAAGCCCGAGATTATACACGAAGATGGCGATTATGCTGTGGTTACTTTGAGGAAAAAGTTTCCTGATGTGATCGCCTCTCATTGTCATAAAACTCGCGATGCTATTCAGGAACTCGTCGAGACCTACTGTCATGCGTTTAGGGTCGATTTTCAACTAAATAACAAAGGAGAATTTTCGACAAGTAAGAAGACTAATCCTATTGCAATAATATACTTTGTATAAGAAAAAATTTCATGATATAATCATGATATATTTTTTCTTAACAGATACACTGATTGCGACAGAAGTAATTGATACTATTCTGGTGCGTGTTGGAGCTTTGCACAGGCTACCAACCACGTGGAAACACGACGATTATATAGTGGCAGCTCAAATCTTTCACGGAACCAGACCTGTGGGAAATCCAGTTTTATCAGAACCAATGACGGTTAGCACAAATTTTTATCCAAGGATTTTATTTAATTCGTGGTAAGTACGAAAAGACGCTTACAATACTCAAGAATGCCAGTTGGATTTAATACAAATTATATAATTTATATAAGGTTGGAATTTCGCGGAATAAGTGTATGTCAAGTACCACGGGAAGCTAGACTTGTGTTAGTTCTTTACGGACGTACGCTGCAGCCTGCGGAGCACGAATCCAACTCATCCGCGGAAAACGCAATGCAGAAAGAAGAACTGGGATGGGGTGCTATACAATTCTTCGATTATGACGGGTAAATGATGTGTCTGCTACATTTCACGAATTGTTCCTCGCATTCAGCTTTTTATCTTCGAAACTTTTACAATTTGTATTTTCGTTGCTTCATATCATGCACGGTTTTATGTACCTTCATTTTATTTCTAGCGTTATGAGCCAAGGGAGTTTTTTTCTGTCCCTTTGGCCAGCCATTGCAGACAAACGATTAGGTCCGGCGCCGGCGCCTGGAATTCATCCACGTGGCGATACTCATCCTATAATAGGAGTAGAATTACCCGATTATGGAGGAAAAGTATTATTCCCCAATTCCTCGGAATTGCGAGATTATGACGTGGAATCGTTAGACTTCAACTCGTTAGATCAAAATACACAAGAATTATTAATAGATATTACACAGCAAGATACATTCTCGAGGTATGTTAATAATATATGATTAAAAATATAGAAAGACTTAAATTTTTTAAATTTTTGACATTTTGCAAAAGCTGATTCCTATTTCTAGACCGCCTATCGATGAGAGAGAAATTCTATGGGAGAAGAGGCATTATTTACACGACAGACCTGAAGCTTTACCAAAAGTATTACTGGCTGCACACAGTTGGGATTGGGCGTGTCTACCGGATTTACATGCGTCGCTTAGAATTTGGAGTCCACTGCCTCCGGTACAAGCGTTACAATTACTTTTACCATGGTATGTATTTCTATCGATTATTTCTCTATTACAACTCCTGAAGAATCGTCTCGTAGAACGCTGCAATTTCTATTTTTTTTCCTGCAGCTTCCCAGATATGAAAGTCAGAGAGATGGCAGTTGACTGGATTCGCGAATTAAGTAATGACGAATTGGTCGATTATCTGCCGCAGTTACTTCAGGCGATGAAACACGAGACATACGAAGCATCACCTCTTACTCGATTCTTATTAGAACGTGCCTTACTTTCGCCGAGAGTGGCTCATTATATTTACTGGTTACTAAATCAAGCGCTGCCGGGACAAAGTCCCCAGGTACAGGTTGGGTTGATCAGCATTGGTGACATTAAATGCTTACGCATTTGTATTAAATGCTTACAGTATGGATTGTAGATAAAAAATAACTTTTTTAATTAAAGCTGTAGAGAATTGCTTCATGCGATATATATTATTAATAATAATATAAACTTTTCTATATTAAATAATAAAGGCTTTTTATTTTATAGAATTCTGGTGAAATTGCCGCGGAAGATGATAAAGCTATCAGTTGTGCTCGTTATCAACGAAGATTGCAGTTAATGTTGAGAGCGTTATTAGCAGTTATCGGAGATGCGCTGAGAAAGAGTTTCCTCACTCAACAATTGCTAGTTAAAGTGCGCCTTAACTTTTGTATCTTGCTTATTTTAAACAGTCTTGTTTATTTCGAATATACACTTTAAGTCGTAATCCGTACAGAATCTGCACGAAGTGGCTGAGAATATCAAAATTACAAAGGAATCGTTACGAATGGATACGCTTAAAACTGGTTTACAAAATATACACTGCCAGTTAATGGAAGACGATGGAACATGCTTACCACTGTCTCCCAGCAAACTAGTGTTCGGTATCAATGTACAGACATGTGCCTATTTCCCGTCGTTCACTCTCCCGTTGAAAATTAACTTTATCAGTTGTGACAATGTTATAAGCCCAGCAATCTTCAAGGTACGTTTTTGCGATGGGTAATCCGTAAAAATTTTCTACAAAACACTATTTTCTTCGAAATTAATATCGAAAAATTTGATATTAACATACATTGTACTTTTTGTTGCCAGGTGGGCGATGATTTGCAGCAGGATATGTTGACTCTCCAAATGGTACGCATTATGGACAAATTGTGGTTGAAGGAAGGCCTCGATTTGAAAATGGTCACTTTCGCCTGTGTGCCCACTGGTCACAAACGCGGAATGATAGAAATGGTAACAGACGCAGAAACGTTACGGAAGATCCAAGTTGAGTTTGGGTTAACTGGATCGTTTAAGGATCGACCGATCGCGGAGTGGCTTGCGAAGCATAATCCTTCAGAATTAGAATATGAGAGGGCGGTAGAAAATTTCACTGCTTCTTGTGCCGGCTATAGCGTTGCCACTTACATTTTAGGAATTTGTGATAGACATAATGATAATATCATGCTAAAGACATCTGGTCACTTGTTTCATATTGACTTTGGAAAGTTTCTCGGTGACGCACAAATGTTTGGAAACTTCAAGAGGTGAGTATGTTATATTTCATCTATTTCTGGATTATACTATGTACCATATTCTTATTTTAAATATAAAAGATGAGAGATATATGTAATCTTATGTTACATTTTTAATCAGAGATAGGACGCCATTTGTGCTGACGTCCGATATGGCATATGTTATAAATGGTGGTGATAAACCTTCAGCGAAATTTCATCATTTCGTGGACTTGTGCTGCCAAGCTTTTAATATAGTGCGAAAACATGGAAATCTTATTCTTCATCTTTTTGGACTGGTATGTTTTAAAATAGTTTTATGCTTATTGTTAGAGGTAAATAATTGGTCACTATGTGGTACAAGTAACATATATAAATCTTTTAGTTTTCAATAATTTTTTTAGACAAATAGCTATATATACAGCAACCTTCGTTAAATTAGATTAACGTAATATTTCTAAATTTTAGTTCAGATAAATAAATTTTAAACAGCTCAAATTTAAGTAATATTGAATAAATTATTTTGGGAAGATATAATTTTAGTATGAATAGCTGATATATATTTTGAATTAATTTCTATTATAAATGCACACACATTTTATGCAAAGGTTTTGAACAATTTTAGAATATATTTAAAATAAAGAATTTATCAGTTGTATGGTCACCACACCGTTATGAAAACAATAAAACCACAACGGAAGAACATATCCGTGTGCTTTATCAGAAACCGGACCGCTATCTCACTAAACTATATGCGATGTAGTTAATTAGTATTTATCGCCCGCGCTCCCATAATATCGTATGTTGCAGCAGTCTGAGTCAATCATGTTAAGAGTAAAGTACCGTTGGGAGTGAATAAAAAAGTTGAGGAATCATTATAAAGTCCAATAGCATTTATATAAGGATCGCGCGGTGTAAAAAAATAGATTTATTTGTTGTTTTAATATTCAACAAATAAATCGCAATGGATAAGTTAATATCGCGAAAGAATCTTCTCAGTGATCTGCACAAGCAAAGTGTTATAGCGCGAAAGTTGCACGATATCGAGATAAAAGATCATTTAAACAAGGCAAGAATGAACGAGTACACGACTTCGCAGATGACTTCGTCCGGTATCCCTGGGGTGACCGTGGACGCAGTTAGTTACGTACAGAAAGCTTTGCTTCCTGGACAAACAAATCCCGAAGCAGCGGCGACCTTCGCTCGCATGATAGAAAGTTCATTGAAAAGTTGGTTTACGCAATTCAACTTCTTCCTGCATAATCTGGCGCAGATGAGATTCTCCGGAGAACACACTGAGGGGGAGCTATTATCTTTTATTCCACGCACGTATACGTGAGTTTTGCACTGTTGCTAAACGAAGCAAACGTAAAGCTGACTGTATCAGGCGCAAAAAATCGAAAATCTTAAAAGCATGACTTTTCCTGATTTTTCCACGGATAATAGTCAACGCGTATCTAATACATATATTCTTGTAGAATGCAGCAAGAAGGTGAGTTAACAAGCGTTCAGGTTCATGGATATCAAAAACGTTACGATCCAGAGAAATATTACATGTACATTTTACGGATACAACGGAAGGGCCAACCGGACCCGACATATCTATTCCGATCATACAAGGAGTTTTGCGAATTCTATCAGAAATTGTGCATACATTTTCCACTTGCTAAAGTAACCAGGTAAATATCATACATATATCAGTCGCATATCATCCTTTCGTATTCCCATTTCTATTTTCATCTTCATCTTACGATGCTTAATATAGCATAATATTATAAGATTATCACAATCTTGTAGATATATTTATTTTAAGGCAAAAGTTGTATATTAACATTTTTTTATATATTAAATTACTTTATATAAATATTACGTTTATATAAACGTATAATATTAACAACATGTTGCATATTTAATTCATACATAGTTAAATTATATCTTAATTTCGAATATAGTGTATAAATAATAAATGCGAATTAAGTAAATACATATATAAAAAGATAGAAGATGGTAAATTGTATAAAGATATTCAAATCGAGACAAAAATATCCATCTTTCGTGCAAAATATTTTTATATACATGCATTATCTCTACATTTTCTCTGTATTAAATCACTAACTCGTTATCTGAAGAGATAGGACTTTTTGTATTTGACATATCATACCGATCTTCAGTTATCTTATTTGATTCGTCGCCGCATGTTGATTGCTCTTTTACATTTGGATCTTTGATGGAAGTAGAAGGTTCCGCATTTTCAACTGCATGATTATTTATCTGTAATTTCTTATCATTGTCTTTTACCGTAATTTCGTCCGAATCAGTAATTGACGATGATAATTGACTTGTAAGATCTGCTTTTGAACGGTCATATTGTACTGTTTCGTTATCGTCACTCGCCGTTGAATCACTTATGATTGAAGAAGGCGCACCTGAGACTTCTGCATTTTTCGGAATTGCCGACTCAAAGTATGAAACTCTCCGATAGAAGCCCGTCATTTCTGGAACTTTGGCCGCTTCTTCCTCCATCGATAGACTTGCTCGAAACCATTTTAGGCCCATTTTCTTCCAAATTTAGTATTAAATCTTTGGAAATCAGTTAATTTAGGATTAAATCTTTGAAAATCAGTTAATTTGTATTCAAGACTTTCGAGTCGTAAATGAATTCTTAAATTATCTACAGATAACATTTTCATATTTGTACTGATAAACATGACTGATGACATTAAAAATATTTTACAACCTTTCTGCAAATATTACAAAGATATTGTATAAAATTACTTACTCTTGTGAAAAGAAGTCTTTGATATATTAACAAGTTGTGATTCCTCTCTTTTAAAAATCAGGTATATTTATTGAACGTAATTTGTATCCTAAAAAATTACGTTATATTTTTTATTCTGTTATTTTGCAATATTAATTTTTCTTATATAAGATGACGTGAAATGGCATGATTATTTGCTTGCAATTTCAAAAAATAATTTATGTACTTACAACACAGAACTGTCAAAGTGTCAAAGCACCTGTTATTGCCCGTACTTGCTTTAGAAGAAAAAAGTATCAAGTACCAGATTGACTTGATTAGCTAAACTAATCACAGCTTTAAAGGAAAAACTGTTCGTATGTTACGTTGTCACAAACCAAAATACTTTTCGCGATTCTAAAGCGACACAGAACGAAGACAATATGTCATACGAACCGTAAGAGGATATCTTAAACGCAAAAGCTCTTCGCGCACAATGTCGTTCCTTTTGATATGTGTTATCTTCAGATCATCTGATATTAGAGTCAGACATATCTCATATTTATAACAGTCTTAGTCATACAATGATTAATCAACGAGTGTGGAACAATTCGTTAAACATTAAAGAAATACATTAATTAATACGACACTCTATTCAAAATAAAATACTTGAGTTTCAATATTTATTCTTCCTCTTGCTACAAAGAGCTCTCACAATGTGACTACTACTTAATGCGGCCGTTTGGCCTCTGCTATGTTGTTTATTTGCGAAACGATATAATGATACCTGTGTTAATTCTTCGAGTGAGGCGGGAATATAGGAATGTTTACGAATACAGAACATTCTATTCATTCACTCACATTGCGAGAATAAGATCGATTCTCTCTATTTGTTTTACAGCTTACCAAGTGGAATGAGCGTGGGACGTTCTAATATTAAGCAAGTAGCCGATAAACGACGGGCGGATATAGAAAAGTTTCTTGTAAGTTTGTTTAAAATGGCACCAGAAATATCCCAAAGCGATCTGGTGTACACTTTCTTCCATCCGTTATTACGAGACCAAAAGAACCCCGACATTCGTTTACGTAAAGTCAAAGGTTTGAATTCTCCAAATATATTATTATTTGTAAGCGCTATTAACAGTTCGGAATAAATTTCCTTAAGCACAGCAACATTTATACATTTGTATTAATAATAAACCTAACAATAAATTGAATGAAAACTGAATATTAATTATAACAAAATATGACAATGATTAAAGCAAATATATGTATATCATATTTATGTAAATAGGATTAATATCTGACAAAATTATGTTTTGTGTCAAAAATACAATTTATCTGAAAATATCATATAACAGTTTAAAACTTATGTAATACAGTTAATAATTTATGAAATAATACATAAAATGATGTCGCTTTTATATAACAGTGGGAAATAATTGGTGGGCCGAGAAAAGAGTTCGAGACAACGTACAGAGTGGTCAGATCAAGTTGGCTCTTCATTACGTTCGCGGCACCTTATCTGTCATGGTTTGTCATGCCCGAGGACTCCCTAAAGTGGCTAATGCTCAAGAGCCAAATACGTACGTGAAGGTATACCTCAAGCCCGATCCTACAAAGGCGACGAAACGGAAAACGAAAGTAGTAAAGAAGAATTGTCACCCATCATTCATGGAGATGGTAAAGTCAAATTTTTACGCCTTTAGATACACGGTCTTGTGTCTTGGTAATAAACTATATACATTTAGAAAATGGATAAGCTCTAGATACAAAGATGCAATCCGTTATATAATTAATCAATTATATGGTAAGTTTTATAACTCATTTTTTGCACTAGTTGGAGTATAGAATGCCCCTAGAAGTGATCAGAGAGAGAACGCTTGAAGCAACGATATGGAATCACGATACTTTGCAGGAGAATGAATTTCTCGGTGGTATAAGTTTGCCGCTCGGACGTCTCGACTTGACGAACGAAACTATCGAATGGTTTCCGTTAGGTAACGTACGATAAAGCGAGTATAAAGACTGCCCTGGAGTATATATAGAAGTCCCTTAATGCTCATATATATTGTTGTTAAGATATAGATGATATAATATTAGCGCACAATATTAAAACTTCTTTATTATGCACAGCCAAGTGCAATAATCATCGTGCTTTATGACATAAAAATAATTTTTATTTATATAATTTCGTGCATCTATATAACAGAGCTTCGTTTCTATTTGACGAAGTAAAGATCCGAAATTGATAAATGTGAAAAATTGTGTGATATTTGAAAGAAGATAACTATATATATGTAGAAAGAGAATCGACTTCTGCAATAACTGCTAAAAGAGATATATACATAATGACAGTAATACAGAATCTAAAAAGCATCTAAATCGAGCCTGCATAATAAATAGATAAAAAGGAAAATGTTACAATAGTTCAGAATTGTATATCGTACGTGCATATTCCTTTAATTATATTTTTGACGTATATTATATCTGAAAATCTGACAAATTCAGCATGAATTTATTAGATTTATGTTGGAAGTTTACTCTTTTATACAAAATTTTATACACTTATTTATTTATATCACTTTTTACTGACTAATAATCACCGATTGTAAATAGAATGTACTTTATATCATATAAATATGATAATGAAATCGTTTATAACAAGCAATTCTACAATCTGAACGAAAGAGTTTGCAGTTTTCTATTACAGACATATATATCTAATCATATAAAATTAGATATAAAAATAGTATATAAAAAGTTGAATTTTGATATACAACATATAACAGAATCATGTTTCACGGACTTTTATGGTGTTATTTTATTAGGAGAGAAATCTACATAATTGTCTGTTTATGTAATGGCCTCATTTATAATGAACAATTGTATTATTGATGAAACTTGTAAATATACTATTAAATCTGTGTAATAAATCAATTTTAAATTATTTATTGCAGATATATTACACCATGCGTTATTTGAAAATTTTTATATTTTTAGAATTACTTTCGTCACTGACAAGTTCCGAAAATGTTTACTGCTTTATCTTAAAAATAATCGCACTCACTGCAGTTAAATAAGAGAAATGCTAACAATCCTTGTTTCATATGTGTTATTGAAATGAAAAAAAAATTGTTCTTAATTTTTAATATTTAATTAATATTTAATTTTTCGCTAAATCAATTTTCCTCTTTATCAGTGAAAGGTAGTGCTTATACAAATATAATATCGATGGAACTCTGATGAAGTTTAGTTCGTAATCGCTCGTTGTTGAGGCGCCACTTTACTACTCTAATCCTGGCCCGCCAGAATTTCTCGCAGGAATAACTGATCCAGCTGAACCACACAGAATTTAGACTTACAGACCCAAACATGATACATTGTGGACACTCGCACATCATGTATGTACCCTATATACATATATACATGTTTATATGAGTAATAATGTAATGAATATTTGAGGAGAAAGGCGGAAGCAAGATACAATTCTTAGTTTAACACTAATATTATACTTTGGCTTTTTACATTTTAGAGCGTATATTTATAAACTTTTAAAGACCTTTAAAACCATCATAGAGGATAGTTTTACGTATTAACAGATATAAACACATTAAACGATATTAACAGATATAATAATTATTAAGTTATGCCTATATAAAGCGTAGTTTCACGTTCTATCGACGTAGTTAAGAATAGCTGCTAATTTGGGCGCTTCACGAAATGTCCGACGCATTATCTGCCGCAAACATAATGCGTCATTTCTCGCAACGTCGCCGTCGCCTTATCGGCAGGAAACGCGTTAACAAATTATTTCGCGTGCCAAAAATGGCCCTCGCTTCGCTCGGAAATCAAAGAGCGACGGATATGGCCGAGGACGCGGAATTGCTCCACTTTGCGCGGAAAGCTGCAATTTATTTTAAAACCCATTCGAAATCGTTTAGAGTCAATCGACCAAAAAGTCCGAGGTACGTGTTACAGTACTTTCCTCGTCGTGTACTCTTCTTCGTAAAAATTATGAAAAATTCATTAATTTTTAGAACTCCTAATTACTCCGAAAAGAAATAAAATATTGGGCGTCTGCTTTTTCAAGCTAAAATGCGGAACAAACATCGACATGATGTACACCAATCTTCGTCCCAAAGTTCCTTCGTTCCTTTTAACTCTCTTTTCTTTTGTTATACAAATATCGAGCGAGGTTCAGGCTAGAAAAAGTAAAGGAAAAAACGCAAACTACCTGGTTCGAACGTGCGGCACGTCAATTAAAGCGCCGCGGCGCCGGGTTGAAAATTATCGTTTTGCTGAAACGTCTAAATTTGAACTATGAAAAGTGGTCAGCATAAAATATACATCCCGGATGTTTCCGCTCAAAGGCAGTTCTTCTTAATGTTTCCCCAACATAGGGATCAACCCTTTCAATAAGCTTGGGCTCGAAGCCCGAATTTTACGTTTAGTTTTGCGAATGCACGCAGTAAAAGAGTTTCCAACGCGCACAGAAAAGTAAACAGAAATCATGTGATGCGCAATTATTTTCGCGCGCGATTGTTATCATTGCGCGTCGTCATTTAATGTCTCGTCAACTACTTGACAATGTGATATATCAGTTTAATATAAAGTCTATTTTATATATAAATACTTTTAATATAAATGTTTTTTACTTATTTATTTTGTATCTGCCTTATATTATTTGTAATCTCTTCGTTGAAAGAGGTAAAAGAAGAGGGGGAAAAACTGTTTTCATCAGGTCCCCGGCAGTCCTGCTAATGAGTAATTTTCTGGTAAGTATCCCGCAATACACACGCGCGGAACGAGATAGAACCGCTATTCGAAACGCCATCGTAAATATTATGCAATCGCAATTAATAGCTCTCGTGTGTGCTTACCGAGATATCGTACACGCGCGATCGTGCGACAACTGTGACACATATGACACAGCGCATACCATAGACATTTAGTCGTGCGTATAAAATTACATTATTCTTTTAATTCACTTCATCGACAGCATCGAGTTTCAAAGTATGCAGAATTTGATGCAAAACGCGATTTCAAGTGTCAAAAACACATTAGTACGAATAAAGTCATCCAAAATAAAGCGCAACATAAGCTTTTAATAACAAAAACTTATGAAATTGAATTATTTTTTAAAATTAATTTTTTGGCTTTAAATTTTTTTTAAAAAGCCCGTTGTTTTTTAGTATTTCGTTAGATATGCGACGATTAAATGCAATGATATTAAACTCTAAAATTATTTCAAAGCAATATAATATAATTATAAAAATATAAAATCCAAAAAATCTTAGAAGTTTTTTACATGCGCCTACTATTCTTTTTTTTTTTTTCAATTTAGCCGCATATCTTGAATCACATTTGAGGTACAATCTAGCAATCTCCCGGTTATGTTATTACCCAGGATCTAATGTTATGCTCGCCGATTAAACATTTGAATTTCCGACCGGCCATAATGCCAGTGCGAGAGCTTTCCGCGGCCCCCGAGGCCGAAGGGCTTTTAGGTACTAATTTTATGTAAAGTTATGAGACGTTGCGGCGCGCTCCAATGTGCCATCATGTTTCCCGCAGGTGCTATAATCGAGAGGTTGCGCTTCACACAGTTGCCTCGCTGCAGTATAACTAAATATTCTGACTCCAGAAATTCCGACTCTTTTGGAGATGATAGAGCTTTCGACGAAAATAAACCACGGCGCGACGCTTTTTGAAGCTCCGTGAAAAGTTAACACATATAGATGAAAAGTAAAAAGTATTAAAAAATTGAAAGGAGCGAGATTTTAAGCATGCGTTGGAGCAAAATTAAATTGCTAAGGCGTATGTGCAGAGAAATAATTTATCTGTCCCAGCAACATTATTGCACACATATGCTATAATATTATACATATTTATGATTTGACAGCGATCAAACAAGTTTGCGATAATTGTTAAATGTTACAGTAAGATCTGTTTTATCGGTAGAAAAAATATTTTACTGACGATGAGTAAGTTTGTTCACAAGAATTAATTTCTTTTTGTACAGAAATAATATATATATATATTTTTTTTTTAAATTTAATTATATATATTATATATTATATTTTTTTCAAAACTTGAATTAATTACACAAATGCCATGAAAAGATATCGCCGTATAAACAAGCTGCAACAGGCACTATGCGCGCCTTCAGCGGCGAAGTGTTTATGGCATCATAAAAAAATAAAAATAGGAAACATTTTTACGGGCTGATCATTAAAGCCGACTCGGCGAAGCAACGAAGATGTCCGCCAATTAATGTCCGTAGCCTCACGTAACTATAACTCTCCGGTTGTGCACAACGCGATGGGTATATCGAGTTATCCTCGTCTATTCAAGTTTTCCTTTCTTTTCGCGCGTTTATCGTGTTGTAGGAGAGAGAAATTATTTATTCTCCCATATTCAATGGCACGAAGTTACGAGTCATAAAATTATAGATAAAAGATACAACTTAAAATAAATTGATGGAAGAAGGTTAAAAGTCATGGCAAAAAGTCACAGAAGTAAAAAAGATAAAGAAGAGTCACTGAAGTTAAACATTTTTAGATTAAAAATTATGAAAACTGCATATATTGTCAATTGAATTAGGGTCTTCATTGTCATTATATTATATTTTAATAGCATTACACATTTACAAAATTATTCGAGTTCTGTCTATTTCAACTGCTTTCTATATACGTTCTGTTACAGTTATTACTTGCTTTTCTAATTAAAAGGGATTATAGATTTTTATGGAATTGATGACGTGTAAAGGGGTAAGAATAAATTTATTTGCTGACAGAGACAAGATTATCACGGGACGTTTCGTATCTGTGTTATTATGAAGGATAAGTTTCAAATATCTAACATAGTCGATTATTAATATTTTCGAGCACGTATTGAGGAGACAAAAAGTTTACAACTAAAAGTAAACTACTAAATCTATATAAATTAGACCCACACAATCTGTAATAAAGAAACGAGACAAGTGTAATAATTATGTGTTTTATTGTCTGACTAACGGCATAAGCTCAATAAATCGACGTTTTTGCCTTTCAGTCTGTCCTTATTGTAAATATTATTGGTATGGCATAAAGTTTAGTATCCGTTTGAAAGTGACTGTTAGGAAGAAAGACTGATTATAACTGATTGAGTCACTGAAACATTTATGACTAACTTAGGATAAACCCTTTAAAGACAGATCATAGAGAGGACATAAATACAATCTCGATAAAGAAAAACAAAAACTCGTGAACACAATCATAATTATAGAAGAAGAATCGAAACTCGAAAGTTAACGCGAATATTTACATATCAAATACTTGCATCGCGCACACAGCGCAAGAGAGATTATATCAATTATCTTAAATAATATTAATAATAACAGAGATTTGCGTAATAAAAAAAAATGGATTCCATATAAAACCAGACGAAAGGACGTCAATTTTAATCTGACAATAAGGAAATTTCGTGGTTATTGTTGGGATGACCAGAAAGAAAAAGTTTCCATATTTCAAATAATTGGAAGGTTCAATAAATCGCCAGGAAAGGGAGCAAAGAAAGTTGCGAAAAAGAAGCGTGTCCTAAAGTGTCGTAATCGGTAGCGTGGGAAACCGTCGCAGTCGGTGGTATTCGGTCATTCGGAGAAAGGAAGAAAGGAAAAACAGGAAAAAAGGTGTGAAAAATTAAAAAAGGGATATAATAGACCACCTTTTTTTCTTTTCACGTCATGCTCTGTACCATGTTGTGCAATACCGGAAGTTATATTACAGCGCAACAAGAGTGATTCTCGGAAAAGTATTTTTCTAACACGGACAGAACATTACAATCCGTTTTTAATAAAAAAAAGGTTGAATGGAAATGAAAAGAATAACGGGACTCTTATCTCACCATTGTGAAGAACAATTCCCTCTCTCGTCTCTATTCTTTCATTTAAAAATATTACTGTCGAAGAATAACTCTATTCTCAGGATATTCCTGTCTTTTTCGTGTAACTTGTGCGTGTGGTTAACAAAATTAATGTAGTCTAGATTTATAAAAGTGATCGCTTGTATACCACAAGCTTTCTAGAACTTTAGTGCATAGTTAAATTGTTTTTAGCCTTCTAATTTTGAAAAGAAACGCATTCAACGCGAGCAAAACGCGGTTATTGTTTTCTATCTCGAAATTATTTTCGAAAATCGTATTTACAGATGGAAACATTATAGAAAGTTATTTCCTTACTTAAACTTCAGCAATTAATATATCATTTAGCATGTATCACCACGCTAAAATGCTCATATCGATCATATGCAATCACCAAATTTTTCAAGGTAATGACAGATCAGCAATCATGCTTTTCTATCACAAGTGCAATGATGACAATTATTTAAGATGAATGAGTATAAAGATCCAAAGATGAAAAAAAGAAAAAAAGAAAAAGAAAAGGATTAAAAAAAAAAAAAGATTTTTTTAGATCGCTTCAATAAAAGAAACTCAAAAGTTCCAACAAAGAAAAAAAGATTTTTTTACGTCCATAACCTTCACACGATCAACATTTCGATATCAGTCTCGAATTTTCCTTCTAAAAAAGTGAAACAGCAAATTTCCAACATTTTAATCTTTAATATTGAAAAGATGTAGAATCTCTTGAATCTCTATGCTCTAATTTTATCTTTTAGCTTTTATACGCGAAATAAATAAATAACTAAAGGCGTTAGCATTAATGCAATAATTCTTCTTATATATTTTATTTCTTATATTTTAAGAAATTCACTTTAAAATGAGCCCTATTTGGCATTAATAACTCAATATTTACTAGATGCGTGATTTTTTATCATATAATATTCTAGATCTCACGTCTCATCGAACATACTAAACGCATTTTAAATTTGTCTTGAAACCGATAATGATTTTCAGCTCCTGAAATAGTTTCCTAGCAAAAAATGAATTTTTAGGATTCATATTTCATCTTTTTAGATATAGGAATATAAAATAAGATTAGTCTTGTCAATAGGACGCGTTACTGTTTTGAAACAATTTTTATAGCCATGAACAATCTGAATTAGCATGTCGTCACTCTATTCTTGTATTATTGTAAAGAATTTAATGAATTGAGGCTCCTTCACTTTCGAGAAAACTTAATAAGGGCAAAAAATATAGAGATGCATTTCTTAACACTGTGACAGCTATAAAAAGCCATATAACTAATGCTCTATTATTAACAACAGAATCAGGTGCTTACTACGCGATAATATCCGACAAGTATATTAGATATATTGCTATACCTAAATTACCTCAATAAAAATAAACATGAAGTGGTAATCAAACGCTTGACACCGCACATTGACTAGACGGTGAACCTTCATTATTGTAACAAAAACAATCTATGTCTAATATCAAATAGCTGTTTGTGCGGAAAAACACACGTTTATTATACTTATTTGTGATTCGAGAATACATTTTGTTATTAATCTTTCGGACATATAATTTCAGATATAATAAATATACATATCTCAGGAAGTTTTTAAGACATTCTGTTAAAGTTACAAAACTATTTTAAGAAATAAGAAAAGTGATTGCAACAAACTACATTTTGCGATTTATTGCAATATTTTCATTTACGTGCAAAATATTAATATCTACATAATTGAAATAAAGAAAAAGTATCATATAAATATATAATATTGCAAAGCCATTACAAACATTATTATCATGTTCATGAAACATAATGACATAGAATGCATCATTTGCAATAAAACATATATTCTGGCAAATAGTTATGGAATAAATATAATTGTGCACAATTGCGAAAGTAAAATTGCGAAGAAACGAAACGTGATTTAAAAGAATAAAAATTGAGAAGTTATTATAAATAAAAAATACATTTAAAATATATATACACAAAATATATTTAACTATCCCCTTATAAATCGGTTATTGTAGAACAGTGTTCGAAAATAGCGTTTGTATGTAACTTACCTAGCTACAAAAGGCCAAAAGGCCACGTTATGATTAAAAGTGCCCACTACTATTTTCAAACCCGAGCTCATTAAATCATTTTTTTCCAAGAAAGGCAAAACTAAAATGAAGGACACAATAAAATGTGGTCGTAATTTTCACATTTTTTTCATCTATCGTAAATCATATATGTTGGCACCAAAGGGCGAAAATCGTCCAAAAATTCTATGTACCAGCGGTTACATACCATGAGAGATCTAGACCATTTGTTGTGACTAGATCTTCTCAACCCTTTCAAAATACAATTTTATTTTAATTTTGACGTCGATGACTCAATTTCAATTTAATGTTAACTTTGACGGGTAGATCTTTCGCTATTCATATAAAATTGCAATATAAAAGTTAAATCGAATCTCAAAGTCAGAAAAACTAAAAATGTTTATTGAAATAGATTTCAAATAAAAAAACTTATTTTCACTCTTAATCCTTTTTCTAATGCATATTAAACATAAAGCTAAAATTATGACGAAAAACATGTTATACCTTTTATATTTAATTATAAATATTATAATTATGTATGATATATACAATTATTATATAATACTTACAACAGTTCTGTGTATATTATATAATTGTATATACATACAATAATGTATTTGCCCATTTTTAATACATTTAATTAGATAGACAGTAATGAATTGGTTTTTTTTCCTTGATAACTTTAGATTAATATAAAATCATTGCCTAATATTTTATTAATATGTAAGCATTTTTGTCAAAATAAATAAAAACGTTTAACATTTCCGATGCTTTTAAATAAATGCAAGTTTTCTTAGAAAAGAATTAAGAGAGAAGAGAGGCAAACATACATGAATGTGCAAGATGAAATTTGACCGATCTCTGAGTAAAATTGTTTAGACCAATATAGATATATATATAATTATATAGATATACATAATTATACATAGATATATATATATATATATACAATCAGTATTTACACTGCATGGTGCATGCATGGGCGACTTGAATGCGTCACACCACAGCGCGACTTTCGAGTATGTGGCTCCGTTAAAAAAAATGATTTAAGTGGCCCTAAAATTACAAATAGTTTATTAATAGAAAATACGTAAGATTTTCTTATAAAATCCGAAACTCAAGATTATCGAACGTTATGCGTAAGAGCAAAGTAAGAAACTCATTGACTTATATCAGCATCATTCAGTATAAGTAGTTGGTTACACACTCATCTCTTATTAAACACATAACGTTCCCACTTCAACTTAAGTAAACGTAATAAACAATGATTATCGATCTTAATCGCAAGCCGCGATAAACTTGAGTTTTCGGTTCTAAATCATCTAAGCGACGAAATGATTTATGAACTTCTCGTATGGTTTATAAGTGTTATACATCCCGGAATCGGTATACGATTTTGTTACGACCACGTAATAAAATAATATATTACGCGAATGCACCGATTAATACTGTAGATACTGTGGATATTGTGTAGATATATGATACGTGTACTGTGCTGTGATTTATGTGTCACTGTGAGAAATCAACTTATGATTTCTTGTTAATGCGAGATCTTAAAAAAACTATGATATACATATATAAAAACGTAATGTAAAAATACTATATATTTTATTAATAATGATGTATTGAACTTTAAGATAACGATTAAAAATATCTTTTTTAGAAACAATCACATTTTTACATTATAAAATAAAGGCTGATGAGAGCCTGGCGCACAATGCGGATGCAAATTAGGAAAAATTTTCATCATATGCTAATCAAATATTTAGGAACATTACAATTTTTATCTCTCTACCTCATTTTTAACTAGAAACACAAAATCAAACAATAAATATTAAGATGCAAATTTTTTTTATTACTTTTTTAAAATTTTTTGTGAATGTAGGCAGCTGCCTAAGAAAAAAAAACAAAGAAAGTAAGAAGCATTATGTTTTGCATGTGAAAATAATTATATGTGCATCATCAGAAGAAAACTGAGTTAACTGATCGATGTCATCATTATCATCACAGTACCATTCGTCCAGAAGATCACAAATTTCAATATCCTAGAATTCTAAGCTAGCAAATTTAATTGCAACCTTTCAAATTTAAACAGTAAGTAAATTTACGCAATTAAATTAAATTTTAGAATATTCTACAAATATCTCTGGACATTACCCTTTATAATTCAATCCAATAAACAAATTAAAATGTAAAACAAGTAGGAATTAATTTCCGTCTGCTATTAGAAGATTAAAAATTAAGACTATCTTCATAATGCAGTCGATACGAGGAAAGCAACCGATCAACTTCCTCAAAAATGTATAAAGGTAGCAACAGCGTGCCTATCGAGAGGTGGAGCTACAAGAACCGACATCCCACTCTTTCTCTGGTTCTCTTTTTGTAGGCGGGCGACATTCCTACTGTTCGGCGACGTTCCCGTTGGACACCATTATGTTGGGTGCCGGATGTAGATTGGTCGTTCGATGCCGCTCGGTAGGGGCGGAGCCTACTGGCAGATCCCCACCAAGCTCCGTGTCTGTTAGATTTACTCCTCAGCTAGTAAACGTTGGAGTTACGTTGTCAGTTCAATATCGATATCGGACAAAACGCGTTTGTCGGGCACCAGCAATAAGCGTTGATACGTTTCATCTGTGCCGGTTTTGTTGTTTGTGTCGCTATAAGTGTCGTGAATGTATAACGATTCACGTTAATTTACAATTTTTTGGTGACTTCAATCAATTTCTGTTCAAAGAAACAGACGTTTATATTGTGTAAGTTAAGCCCAATTCGCAGAACCGACATGCCATCGTTTCGTGACGACACCATCTCTGGAGAATCCTCAAACGTCATATCGAACCTCAGCAACATCGCCAACATGATGCACTATAATCAAACGAACCTCGCATATCGCCCACAGCAGCAACAGGTCGCTGATAACCCACAACAACATCAACTGATAATGAATCAAGCACATCAGCAAACATCGACGCAACAGGTCCAGCCACACACCGCGGTTGCGGTTGCGGCTCCCGCCGCCATTGAAGGTCCCCAATACTGGTACGGATACTCGACCAGACCCATACCCGCGACACCGGCGTTGCATCCTCAGCATCAACCAAGTTCAATTCCTCCGCAGTTATTTAACCACCCCGAAATGCTATCCGGATGGCACTACACTCAGTATCCGCCGTATCTACATCAGTATCAATCGCAGCATCTACATTTTCAAACGCAATCGCAATCGCAATCGCAACAACATCATACGCAAGAACTGGAGCAACATTCACCGTCCGAACAACGTCTCCAGCAACATTTGTCACAGCCACATCTGCAACAGAGTTCACCGCCCGAGCAACTCTATCAGCATTCGTCTCCACAGCAGCACCTCCAACATAATTCACCTCCCCAACAACTCTGCCAACAGCATCCGTCGCCTCATCAACACCTACAGCAAAGCTCGCCGCCTCAACTCTGTCAGCAACACAGTCAACAATTGACCACTTCATCGCCACAGCAATTGCAGCAAAATTCTCCGCCGCAACAACATACCCAACCAAATTCTTTGCCACAGCAGCGCATTCAGCAGCGATCGTTGCCGAAACACTTGCAGGAAAGTTCGCCGCCGCAGTTCTTCCAACAAAATTCACCGCCACAATATCTCCAGTCGCAAATACCATCGAGAGAACAGGAATATGAAATTGCCTACAGACGACGAATGTTGAAATGGAGCATCAGAAACGTGAATATCGATATGGCGATCCGTAATCAATATCCACCAGCGACCACAAAAATGAATGGTAACGTAGACGGCAATATGAACGGCAGTATGAATGGCAGCCTGAACGGTAGCATGAACGGCAGCAGCCATAGCAACAACAGCGCTTCTCCTACAACACCACCTAATTTTCATATTGTGCCATACGATGACTTACCCTGTGCGTCTCGCAACATGAATTTATCATCCACATCTGGCAATATAAACCTGCTACCTACAAACATGAACGTGCCGTCCACATCTAGAGATATGCCGTCTACATCCAGAGACATGCCGACCACGTCCAGAGATATGTCGTCCACATCAAGAGACATGTCATCCACATCAAGACGTCACCAATTATACACATCCCATAGAATTCAAGGGAGAAGGAGTCCGTACGAGTGGATGAAAAGGCCGTCCTATCAAAGTCAACCTAAACCAGGTTGGTAAAACATCATGTTTCTAGCACCACTAAATCTTCTTCAAACTCGCTTTCAAGAAATTAAAAAAATGTGACACATAAAAATTTCAAATTTAATCATAATTTGAAAAATTTGCAATTGCATGAATAACAAACGCTTTCGAACACTGAAAGAATACATTCTCAACATTGTTTAATATATATATATATTTTTTTTTTTATTTTTTTTTTGAAAATTCTGTATGCGAGAACAATTGTTGACAGTAAACATTTGGAATGGGTAAAACTGTCAAAATAGACGGACTTGAGATGGAAAAATTGTACGTTTCATTTTTCTTCGCAATTATCTTTTTGCCGAAAATTCGTCGTGTTATATAAAATATGATATTTGTGTTTGGTATAAAATTTTTATCTGTCTTAAAAGAATGAAATTCATTCACTGTAAAAAGCTTTTGGAATTATAACAAAATTTATAACATATGAAATAAAGATGAAGAGTACTTTTTCTATATCTCTTGCGAGCAGCAAAAGTTCGCCAAAATTAATTAATATTAAACTTAATGAATATTAATTTGGCTCATTTCACAGCATAATTGATACATGTCAAATAAATATGTTATCTATCAAAATTTGATAATAACAGATTATGTTATTATGAATTATCGCTGTATGTTGAAGGCTGCTCCTCTCCTTTTCTCTTTTACTTCGTAAAATTGATCAAAATGAATTCAACAACGTGAATAATGGACACGGCGCGCGCCGTCGCCGTCGGATCATTTTATACCTCGATTTATCACTTCTTTTTCATGGTCCCACTTTATTTTTATCTTATCTTGCAATTGACTAAATGTAATGTAATGCAATTTACGTGGAAATTGTTGTAGATTATAATTAAATGACTTAAATTTTAATTAAGAGATAAAAACAACTATTTTAAGATGTTACAGGTTGTTCCTAAAATATTTGATTAAACTTCATCAGTACGTGTATTTTGCTCATCATATGAAGTGATAAAAATATCAAGTATGTAAATATATTCTTTTCGATTTATAATATTGATAGTTTTATTAATGAACCAAATAAATCGTCAAGAATATAATTATATGCTCCGATATTGCAAAATATAATTAAACATTATTAGATATCGAATGTATAACATGTGCTCTTCTTTTTCTCTCTAGAATTATTATTTATTATTTAACACGAAAAGAATGCAGTTAATTCTTTTACAGTTCTGAATTATATAAATTTACATTAAAGATAATTATTGTGAACATATAACAAATATTTATTAACGTAACACAAAATTCTAAAAACTCATGGAAGAAATTTTTAAATATAATTCATATCAGATGCGGTTTTTTCGGGAAATTGTGCTTTAGCATAATTTATTTTGCCATAATAATGATTTACTTCCATCTTTCTTTAATGAAAAAGAGCAAGACAAATATTTAAATTTAATCGAGATCCTGAATTGAGAAAATTGAGGAATGATTGTTGAAACAACATAGAAATTCAAAAGATGTCTAAAGAAAATTTTTTCGATATTATACATATATCTGTATTTCCTGAGAATACATTTAACAAATTTTAGAAAATATATACTGTAGATTTGTATCAATAAAACTTTTGCTAGAATATAACAAAATTTGATACTGACAATGAGAACGCGATTCTGCAAATCGCGATTGCGAACCTTGAGCAAACGACTCGCGTGGCCGAGCTCTGCCCGTGAACAGTTAATCTTCAATTTCAAGAGCTCGATTAAGAAATCGGATTAAAAAGCCACGTGACGAAGTTACGCGCCTAACGAGCACTTCTTTCGCGCATATCGCGCGCGGTCATAAACACGTCTCCAGCGGTCTAGATACGGCAAACCATGTAAACACGGTAACGGACGAGCAAACATCTAATTGCTCTCAAATATTTGTGAGATAATCCCCTTCCCTCCCTCCCTCCCTCCCTTTCGTCGTCCATCTCGATTTTTCACCGAATTCGAAAGTCCCATCCGTTCGCACGGAACGCGTCCTGAATCAACACACGCGACGAGGAACAATTAACTCTACGTTTCCGCGGGACCGTAATTCGGTATACACGAGCCGTTCGAAAATCCGGTCAATTTCCTTGTTCGATATAAACGCACCTGAAGAAACAGCTTTTAGGTGAAAGAGATGTTTTTTCTCAAATTGTTGCAGAATGCAACGCCGAAACTGTCGGCAGCGCGGATTCAACGTCGCCAATTAATGAACTCTGTTGCCGACTTGAAATTCTTGGTACGAATCAAAATTAATTGATTGTCGATGTACAATATTACCTTTGGTGTTTGCATGCGTTATTGTACCACGATTGTGCATGCAGCTGATTGTTCTTTGGTAGAAACGTGTCTCATAGATGTTTTCTAACTGAAGATATACGTCAGTTCTCAAACTGTCCAAGGAAAACAACGAGAATAATGGTAAAAGTGAGATATTTTAAAAAACCTGCAGTTTTTAAAATCTATTTTTAAAGTATACAATGTATCATATACTTCAAAAAATAATGTGATATATTTTATAATGACTAGCATGCTGACAATGTTACACTAACAACGCTAAACAAGAGATTGATTAATTTTAGCAATCGAAGGTGACAACGTTAGTCAATTTTGGTTCAACAGGATCATTTTATCGGTTCGGTACGCTCTTCCGCGAGGGGGTTTTTACTTACACCTCACCGAGATCTCGATACTTTTTAATCTTCATCCCAGCGAATTTTTCACCATATATTCAAAACTGAAATAGCAATAACCTGACAATTTTTCCTTCTAAAAATTTGCTCATGTTCCGTTCGTACGGTGTTTAATACAATTTCTTTCAGTATCTCCGAATTCAGGTACTTATATTAGAAGTAGCATACGCGTATCGAAAGATGAATTTTGAAATTGTAAACACGTAGACGATTATTTCCATCTCCATTTCTATTATTACTATTATTATGTCGCTTAAGACGCTTATTATGTTTGATGTTACACGCATGTGTTTTGCGCGTTGCGCGTGTATACATGTACAGACAGCTTCACGTATTCACGTTTTCACCCGGCTGTCCGCTCCGAGTTTTTGAATGAGAAGCATTGCAGAAAAAGAATACTTATGTTTAAATTTTACATTACATTTGTTTTTCTTTTATATTACATTTGTGTTTTCGTGAGCGACATTGACAAATCCTCTTCTAAAGAAAAGCGCAAGGCCAGTGTACGTGCATCATGGATATACTTGGTCAATCTTTAACCGCTAACGGGATTAACATGCTAATACATTCAGACTGCTTTGCCCCAAATCCCAAATTATTCCTCGCCTGATGCACTTCGCCATCAGGCGCTTCGCAGAATCCATCTCAATTCTTCTCTTTCGTCGCCGTCTCTCTCCTGTTCCTCTTATTTGCATTTTACCTCACGCGCGTGCAGTAAGTACGCACCTTAAGTACCTTGAAACGAGCGTCCCGTACCTTCCAGCGGCAATTATCTGCGTTTTATGGTTATATTGCGGGCAGAAGCCGCATGGCAGAGCCTCTCACCACGACAATACAAAAACGTGAGGCGTGTGCATTACAATTTCGTGGAGGGACGGCCTCGTGCATATGCGCTTTCTCGTTCGCGCATCGCGAATCGCCGCCGCGCCGCGCCGTTCGGTTCCGTGAGAGCGGTCCTCCGTGAACACGCGATTTCTACCGCTTTTATGACGCCTTCGTCTGGCTACGATCCTCTTATCGGCGCGATTAAAGGTAAACAACAAAGAGGAAAGATTTAATATTATCCAGGTAAAGACATCGCCGACATCGGTCGTTATTATTCCTACCGATAATTATGGAAAATAATTATTTAAAAGTGAATTAGCCCTTTATTATGTACAATTTTTCTTATCTTAGTAAAACCCATGGATCTTTTCCTTTAAGACGTCGCTTCGTTATTCGTCCTGTGAGATTTAACGTCTCCTTTCAATCTGACCTTATTGCAAATCCGTAAAATAGACTCCACCTACCGTATCTGTGACTATGGAACTCTTCATTACGGTCGAGTGTTTTGACAGTAGCAAGATCAACAGCAGGATCGGTGCCGATGTTGTCGAGTCTCTGGTTAAACCTTGTCGTCAGTCGATCCACAACGGAAACCCTCGAATCACGAGAGAGTTTTGGGTGTTATGCGATTCGGCTCGCAGCATGCCGTCAGACATTGAGATTTTTCCGTTCAAGGATGTAAAACGATTCATTATTGGCGCCGTGAGCTCAGTCTGGAACCGAGTTGTAGTGGACGCGAGTTACATGACTGAAGTAAAATACTGACACACGAAAAAACTTAAACGCGCGTCCACGAATTAAGCCTCTCGGTTGGGTATTCGACTAAAAAAATCAGCTCCAGACTCAGAGTCGACCAGGACACGGTTTAATATAGAATGGAATCCATGTGACCCGTATAGTGTGAGAGAGAAGCGTTGAGAGAGTTAACAGAAATCTTCCAACAAATAGCTTCGACACTTTTTACTTCATTCATTCTTGTATACTCCTACGACCGGGCTACGTGCCAGTCCAAGGTTAAGGTAATATTTTTAAGTTATTTTACGATAATGTTCTTCTCTTGTCGTCACTAGCCCTATAGAGTTCGAATGGTTGCAAGACGATAAATCAATCTAGAAGCTGTTGAGTTCCGTTTGGCCACGCGCTCCGCAGGTATACGATGAAATTTTCCACAGTTTCTGATCTTTTGTCTGTCAATACATAGTTGTTTGCGATTCGTTGCATTTGTCACTGATCACGGGATAAGAGAACCAAGTGTTAGTTCATTTAACGTATATACTTGTTTCTTTTTATCAATTAGCACGTACTGTTAAATTTTTTATCCTTCTTTTAACCCTCGATAGTTTTCTCAATTATTTTCTCTTTATTCTGTGTGTGCATCATACGTTTTATTCATATCCATAACAGTTAAATGTTAGTTACAAGTTAAAATAGAAATCTTCAAAAATTTGCTAAATGCGATTATTATTAAATTAAACACGCTAATATAATGAAAATTATATTAGCGCAATTATATAATAAAGATTATAACGTCTAGTTCTTATAACACACATATACGCATGTAACTATGTATATATTATACTTAATCATGATAGGCAATTTCTTTTGTAAAATTTTATGTTACTTTTATGTATATACATATACTATTTATATATATAACATTTATACATATATATATTAATTTATAGCATTTTTAACCTCGCAGCACGAAGCGAAAAAACCAATCAACATCGCGGAAAAGGGGCAATAATAAATTCGATGCAATTTAGCACAGCTTATTTAAGAGTATAGCTATACATATTCGTTAGTTACGTTATGACAATACTGGACGTTACAAGATATTAACGAGTTACATGAAATATAAAAAAAAAAAAAAGAAAGGAATTTTCAAGTACTGAAAAAAAACGGACAGTTGCAGTTACATAGCGACTAAATCGCTACCACTCTCTTTCTCTTTCTCCCTTCGTTCGCGGGCACTTGATATGCGATATACAAATGCGAGGTGGCACAATAGAGGTAATTGTGACGCCGTTGACGAATGGCACCCGCGCGAGTCGGCGCGCGGCTCCGGCTAGGCCGACACGAGATATCGTCGGGGGGTTGTCAAACGCCCGCAGGAAAAGCGGGGCACGCGCTTTTGCCATTCCGCGGCGTGAAATGGAAGAGCAAATGCTATAATGGGGTGGCAACGAGTCCCAGGAGCACCGTTTCTTCGCTCCCTCGCTCGCGTCTTTCTCTCCACGTCTCTCTGTCCTCCCGCATCTCATAGCGTTCGTAAAATCCGTCGCGTTTCCTCTCGCTCCCTCTCTCTCTCTCTTTCTCTCTTTCTCCGTCGCGCTCGTTCGCATTTCGCGCACGGATACTCGGGAGAAATAGCTCTGGTAAATTCGTTCGTTCGAAAGTATAGACAATGACGGATTCAACGAGCTAGATACATTTTAAGAAATCGTCCCGATGCTCCGCTCGTGGTGATAAATTTTAGCTAGCAATAATTGGTACGCAGTTTAGATTAAAGATCGAATGACCAGAAATGTTTTACAGTGTTAATTACAGATTTTAGAATATAGACTCGATTAAAATAACGATTGTCGTAATACAATCTTGCTATTGAGAGCATCTAGTTAATCTAGTAGTACATTGGCGTGGTCGCGATTGACGGGGCCGGATATAATCGTAGGTGCGATATCGGTAAGATGAAAAACGCCGACGGTAATCCTTCCCTAACTCATACGCTTATGTGTTTCGTGCGTGAAACGAAAAAAGCCGACGACTTGCCCTCTCGAACAACAGCCTGTATACGTGCTAACCATCCGAGACTTGACGGACTCCTCCGAATGTAAAAAGTTCAACTCGGAGTCGCGCAAAGTTGCTCCGTTAACCGTAAAAAAGTTCCAGAAACTAGAAACGTCGATTTCTTAAGTCTCCCCTTCGTGTCGGATGTTACTACAGCGAAAGAGCAAATCATTCACCTTTGATATTTTAACTCAACTTTACTATTAATTACTTATTTTTCCCTTGTCATGGTCAATTACCACATTTATATAATTTTGATTATAAAATTATTTAAAAGACGATGTTACTACTTATTTAGATTATCATTACAAGAATTGCATAATGATGAAGTTTAATTTGCTATTTCTCGCAACAGTTTGCTGCTAATATTTGTCTTTAAACAGCTGATTTCTTCAGTCTCGGTTTTTATTATATAGGTGAATGGTGCGACTTCTTTCGCCTCACGATAAAAATTGATTCGGAATCGCGAAATTATCTTTGCGAGTGTGGCGTGGCGAGTATACGCACGAGAAATCTATCGTAATTAAGGCCAGTACCGCATACAGTTTGGAAATTTTTTTTTTTTTTGATTCGATTACAATCTTGAAAGATAAAGAGTCTGCCTTTTGATAAGGTTTAAGGATGTTTCATGTGTTTGTTTACGTGCATCAGGCTGCGCGACGTTTGCTCTTAACGCGTCAAATATTTGCACGCCTAACAATGCGCGTAGCGTAACAGAAAAAAGAGCGAGAGAAAGGGAAAAATCCGAGCTACATTACGCGATATCATATTGACAAAAACCATGGCGAACGCTGTCTAATATTTATTCCTCGTTTATCTCGTAACACTTTATTGATATATCAGAGATTAAATTAAACATTATGCAATCGCGAAGTAATCGATCATCGCGAAAAGAAAATTTATCCTAAGTGACAATATTCCTTTTTGCAGACGTGTTTAGTTAAAATCTTCGAATTGAATACGATACTTTTTTTTAGAAAAGAAACAGCACGAGTTCTTTTCAATTCATTCGTAAGAAAAATGACTCGTGCCTTTTTTACGCGTATTAATTCAATTACATCTTGATGACAAGAGAAGGGCTGACAAGAAGTTCGTAGCTCACATTTTAAAATCGAAGTTGGAAACCAACTGATCGAAAAACTTGGTAGCGAATAAGAGTGATTAGTGGTGAACATGTCGATTTATTATACAGCACTTCTCTTACATGGGATATGTAGCGAAGACGTGATTCAAGCATTATCATAGATACGGAGAGCTGGAAGTGCCCGCGATAACAATCTCTCAATCTCATTCTGAGTAGATGAAAACTCAAAACCAGACAGTCCGTAATATATTGCTGCGTTATTTGAACAGATTACACGGATTTAACCGTGAACACGCGTCGCATGCGTTGACATGTATACGCCTAAACGCCAACGTATCACCTAATTCTTCAAATTCTCATTGCTTACATTGCCTCGTATGAGTTTTCTACACAATCGTGTATAAGAAAAGACGTTTTACAAATAAGATAAATCTTTCGCAAGTGACTTATATAAAGACGTAGATATATAAAATTTGTTTTCTAAAACGCGTGTATATAAGTTTTGATGTAAAACCCATATTTTTTTTTTTTAATGTATTTGTACATATATATTTTATTTTATATATATGTAACTAAAATTATTAAATTATTGATAGGAAATTTTCTTCGCCAGTGAATAAATATCGATATACAAAGACTTCTTTGACTATAACTGGCAAATTTATTAATAATTACACGACGTTTCGGTCCAAATTCGGACCTGCTTCAGGTAAAGAATATAGTTCTCACAAAGACATTCGACAGAGATTATTAAATTATACATATACATATATAACTGATGTACATATATACATATACATACGTATATACATATATATATATAATTATTTTATACTCAGAAAATGTAGAAAATATTTTATATAGAAAGCTCTTTTTTTTGCTTCAGATCTCTAACCGACGTGATATTCTTGTAAAAATCCGTACTTCACGGAATCCTCAATCAGAAAATTAATTAGATAAAAAAAAATAATTAAAAATTTACTTTGTAAATTGAGAGTTTATCTTTCGGCCTCTCTTTGGTATCAAGATTTCGCAATCATTGATTTAAAAAATATATATACACAAAGAAAATCCAAAAAGAAGCACAAAGTAATCTGAGATCTCGAAGATTATCAAATATCTGATTGAAATAGGTGTCAATTCGATTCAATGAATTCCTTTCATAGGAACACTCGGCTTCTATATGGATTCCATTGACTCCATTATTTATTCTTGCCATCCTTGCTGCGCATCCTTGCTGCCACGAGGATATCCTGCTCTGACTCGATACCAGCCATGCTGGCCTCAAACTGTAGCCATTCTGTGTACCGACAAAAAGTCTAAGGTCGCTTGCTTATTCGTAACGCCGCGAAGGCCTCGGAGTTCCCTTATCGAGGAGTGGTGGATTAACGTGCACGCCTTTGATCTCGCCGGCGGAGCCTTATCTAATCGTGTCCCTCTCTCTTGAGCCATCTCTCGCCGTTCCCACACACACTCGTATCCCCGTTTCCCGTCCCTCTCTCTCTCTCTCTCTCTCTCTCTCTCTCTCTCTCTCTCTCTCTCTCTCTCTCTCTCTCTCTCTCTCTCTCTCTCTCTCTCTCTCTCTCTCTCTCTCTCCATTCTATATTTTGTACGCGTGGTATTACCGCCAAGAACACCACGTCGTAAGAAACGCATTCACACCGTGCGATTGCCTCTTCTTCGTTTTGCCGCCTTCTGGCGCGTCGTTTTCTCCCATAAGAAATAATCGCGCTTCGCGTTATTTATTGCAAAAATCGTAGATGTGCATCTCTCATTCTGCGAATGCCGTTGCATCAAGCTACCGCAATTTTGTACATGTGCATGTATGAGTAGGTGTATATGCGTATTACCTTTTCTTTATTTGTAATCATTATATTTTCCGTAAAACATAAATTAATTTTTATTAAAAGTTAATGACCATCTCTTTATTCTCTTTCCATATCTTCTCATAAATTTTTATGTGCTTAGAGCATGATTATATGCAGAAATCATAATTGTTTCAAACGCAAGCTATTAATGTGACAGTATATTTAACATGTATTCTATTATCTAGTGATAAAAAATTTGTAATATTTCAAAGTAAAACTAATTTTGAGATATGAGAGGCGTCCTAGAAAGGCAATATATACAATATATTATTGATGTACAAATTGTCTTCCTCAATTTTGTTTTTGTAACCTAATAATTATTTCGCACTACTGCAACTCTAAGATAATCAATTTCCCTCACAAGAGAGAAATAATTACTGTAAATTGTAAATGCGGCTGTTCTCTATTATATTCTTTATTACAACACGTTTGGGCGAGATCTTGAACGAAACGAATTGCTCAGTCGAAACATTTTTGACAAAAATTTACACGACTGTTTCTATTGTTTTCTTTTCTTATATCTTTTTTTTCATTTTTAATATATTATATTGGACGTGGTATATGTTATTCGCAAGTACAGAATTGGCAGGCAGTTCGACATGAAATTAATTACGAAATATCCTTCACTTTGTTAATGTCGCCACGCGGTATACGCGCTCGCTAAAAAACGTTATCTCTTTAACGTATTATTGACAAGAGAATCAGCACGATAGATATTAACCGCGTAATAACACCGGCCGTTATCTACCTCTTTTTTCAGGGAAGACTCGCACAAAAGACAAATACCGCGTGGTCTACACGGACTATCAAAGACTAGAACTCGAGAAGGAATTTCATATGAATCACTATACCACTATCAAACGCAAGGCGGACCTCGCTGCTCAGCTCGGTCTCACGGAGCGTCAGGTAAATCATGTCCATCACAGTGAAAAATTGTCGAATTATTACGCGGGACGATCGCCCAATCGTAACCGTCGCTTTTGCAGATAAAGATCTGGTTTCAAAACCGACGGGCGAAGGAGCGGAAGCTGTTGAAGAAGCAGCAGGAGCAATCGAGAGAGCGGCAGATGAGAGCGCAGGACGTAGTGGCGGCGGCCGCGGCGGCGGCCTCCACAACGTTGGAGGTGATGGCTGGAGGTATCATGGGTTATGCCACCGCCGGTACGGAAATGGGTGGGATGCTGGGCGGTCTGATGCAGACCAACGAGAGCACCTCCTCCGCACCGCTCCCAGCGACGCCGACGACGTCGACATCTCTGCCCACGTCGCAATCCACGTCGCAGCCCGCGTCGCTGCCCACGACACTGCCTATGCAATACCCGGGCCACTCTAATCCAATGTAAAAGGGATCCGCTGTCCGGATCCTTTGGACGGCTCCACGAGGTGGAGCGATGGCGAAGTATCCATCGTCTATCACTTCGAACTCAACGTACAAAGGGATTCGCAAGACAAACACAGCGACACAGGGGCACCGCGTAAAATAATTAAGACGCGTAAGGTAATTTAATTGTAGCTCGCACATGATACACAACGGCCTGTGATAAACGACCGTTAATTAAATGGATCGTTTGTGGATTACAGATCGTGGAAAGCGCATTGATCTCACTAATCTCGCCGGATACACGTCCACAGCGATCCCCGTTAATATGACGGTCGTGCTTCGATATTTTACGTTCTACATTCGTTAATTCCGCAAGAATTCCAAGTCGGAAGTGAATGTCGAATGTGGACTGCATGGATGCCTTCGCGCGCGCGCGCGCGCTTGGCAATTCTGAGATCTAAGTGTACACCCGTATCTAGATATTCATGCAGCCTACTACACGATCGTGTTTCGTAATTGTACCTGGATATTAGGGAAGATCGAGGGGAAGGGTTAAAAAAAATAGAGAGTTTGTTTGACTATCCCCCTGTAATAGGGAGATTCAACCGTCTGCGCGAATCGAGAATTACGCGCACAGTCTGACGCTTTTAGCTTTAAGATAGGGATAGTAGTATCCGAAAATAATCGAGTTATCCAAACAAATATATTAACTCTTTAACTACGGCATGCAAAGGAGCTTCTTTGTAAGTAACTTACAGGGAAAAATACTTGCAATTATGCAGACATTGCACGAATTTATTATTTCCATCGGCAGATCGACGTCGTAAATTAACCGCGAGAAGCGTCGTAAATTTCACTTTGCCTTTACCGCAACTGTTTCAATTCCTACTAGATCTATATGCACGCATATTATTATATATATGAGAATAAATATATATAAAATATATATTATTGTTATATATAAATAGGAGGGGCGTGCAGCATTCACAGCTGAAGAGTTAATTGGTCTCGGATCGGATTCAGTTCAAATCAAAGAGATCGGAATCGAACGCCGGATGCTCGAAAATTTTGGATATCACTCGTATATCACTAGTCAACGTAATTTACGGCGCTCGTAAATGTAAAATTGCAAGGCGCGCACTATGTAACTATGTACACGTGACGATGGAACGTGTGCATGATTAGGTGTCGATGAAAAGTGCGCATGACATCACACAAATTACTCTTTCTCCCATTTGTTGTGATTGATCGTTAGCTTTCTGTATCGACATTATCCGCGCGTGCGAAAGCACATATTTTCACGTTCGTCACGACGCGCGCGCCTTTTTCTTTTTTTTTCTTTCTTTTTTTTTTTGTTTTATTTTTTCTCAACAAACCGATAACCATTTCACGCGATTTATTATACCTGAGTACCTACGTCTTTTTTTTGTGTATCGATCGTCCTCGCGTAAAAGCCAATAAGTGAGTACTCAGCTTCGATCATAATAACCATAAACGATGAAAATAAACGGAGAAAATAGCGGAAATATTCGTCGGTGCCGCTTACGACGATCGGGTTTGCCGTACGGTTTTAGGCGTACCCGTGATCACGCTAAATAGCGTGAACATTCTGTTAATACACTGTAAATACGTGCATTTGTATATAAACGCGTTGTAAATGAAATAAAATTGTAAATTATGAAATTAAAAGGGATACGTGCCTTAAGGTAAAGTATATGGATCGAATAATGGATAATGTCGATATGAGGATAATCATTTCTAATTCGATACCTTAACATAACGGCATAATATAATAGTGTTACATTTGTTAATAGCAAAGCAAGTGCTGCTTGAATATTACGATAACATCCGCGAAGTCTATATTTTCCCTAGACTTTTCGTATATTTCTTATAGTAAATATTTACACGACAAAAATGACGATCGCTTCGCTCGGGACGCTATCGCCATAATTGTAAAATTAGCAGATAATATTGTTCGTTGTTTTATAACGTGAGAAAAGTAACGACGTAATATTTAAATCTCCGATATAATGGTTAAGAATAAATCTTATCTGTTATAATTTTCTCTATCTATAAGAATGTTTTTTTATCGCTGCAATCCAAAAAAATTGTCTAATCCTTTTTTTTGGATTATATTGTTATAATAATGCCTTTTTCGTGGACGAAAATATCCTGCATTTTTAATTCATTTTTTTTTAGATACAAAGTGATATTGTTAAACATAATATTTATAGAAATGTGATTCGTTTCTGTCCAGTATTTTATAATAATAACACGCATTGTAATAATATAATTTTTTTTTGTAAATAGTCATATATATTCCCGCAATGAAACTAGGATGGAATTTTCACTTGTCCGAGCCACATCTTTGTCAATTCTTAATAAATTATATATCTTTTACTCGCCTTGACAAATCGTCTATCATTTAAATATATACAATTTTATAAAGTCAATACGACTTTGCTCCGTAATAAAAGAATTGACTCACCCTTCGATCGCTGCTGCTTCTTGCTGTCACACGATATTACTCGATCGAGTAACCCGAAGTGGACAACCGTTGTTCCAATCCTGGTCTGTTTTCCCGTATTGCACAGCATGATGGACCAAAACACATCGAGATTAACAGATCCAGTCGTCACTAAAACGCTAACTCGCGCTCGCGATAAATTTTCGGTTAAGAAAATCGAAGGTGATTCGGGGCGACGGTAACTATCGTGGACACGAACATTGTTACTTAATAGGCACGGGTATAATTAAGTTCGTGAAATACATATAGAAAATGCCACATTTATTACTTAGCTCTTACTTCGACGGCGCGCGTTGTGCTACTGCATAGTGCATGCCGCGAAACCTGAAACCTCTCGCAACCGGCGATCACGCCACCCGAAAAAAACATAAGAACATCGCGTCAAACAAAATGACGCTCGCTCAACGCTCGACCGTAATCCAACAAACATGCTGACCGTTATTCGAATTATTATTAATATTAGTATCTGTAGAAATTATTTCGATCAATTCGCTGCGATCTCCCACTTGGGGAGATATTCCGCTATTCGTATTTTGTTCCGCTAAAATCCGTTTACCGACAATCGTCGGTGTCGTTAACAGTGTCGGCGCAGCTTTTACACTACATGAAAAACCTGCGCAACGACACTCATCGAACCGACAGTTGTCGGTAAGGCATGCAATGCAGGAACGGAATACGAGCCCTGGCCGTTACCATCGATACTTGAACTTGATACTTGCCTAGAATTCCCGACTCCATCCCCGTCTCGCACGTCTAGCAATAATTAAAGTAATACGCACGCTGAAAGGCGAGACGAGGATACGAACACCGACTCGGCTCGCGTTAAAAGAAAGTGATAGTTGCCTCAGATCGCGGCGATTAACCCTTCGTCTCCGTCGCGCGTCCGATTCCGTTATACGTGTGATATGAATAATATGCTCAATGCGGTCCGTACCTTGCTCGCGTGAATAGAAGCGGAACGTTCTCATTGCGACGCGCGAAAGCCCGAATCGAAAACGCGACGTGAACTGAACGGCGAGAGATTTCAAGATTGGATCACGTGATGTTACAATTACCTTTTCCTTTGCGCGTCAAATTTCTTCGCGATTGGAAAAGACTGTTTCTGTTATAAAAGCTAATTTGACGTGTCGTTCCGTGGGCGATGCAGGGTTTCAAGTTGTTCCGTGAGCGGTTGCGAGGGTGACACTCGGACAAAGAACAATGCGGAAACCTGTCCGATGATATGTTTATTACTTCACGGTCGAGAAGGTACTGACTGTTTGGCCAATTTTGAAACGCCCGGAAAGTGTATATAAGAAACTGAAAAAAAACATCGGCGAGAACCTCTAAAACGTCCGCCGAGTATACAAACTCTAACTTTAAACAATAACTTTGAACAACGTTATCAGACTTTTCGATTCGATATGATCCATGATTGTCTTCTACGTATTTCTTAACGAATTACTAGGATTAAATTGTCGTAGGTTTAATTTCGCTTATTTTTCATTCCTTAATATCGCTCATTTATATCGGAGGTGACTAAAGATGATCGAAGATTTATGGAATAATCGAAAAATAAAGCGATCGATCGTGATTCTGAACGACTGATTATCATAGAGATAGCTTCATTCGTTTGATATCGAATACGATCGCTTCGCGGGCGAATAAATTACGGATTCGAACATTACGTACAGACTGGAGCAAAAAGATAAAGATAGTGCGTTATTTTCTGATTGCTTTTGGATAATTACTAAAAAGCGTAATATGCTCTTTGAACAGTTCTTTGTGAAATCAATAATCAACGCATGCATGGAATCTATTACCTCAATAACAATCGAAATGTTAATAATATAAAATAATATATTAATACGAAACGATAGTGAGAGAACGTTATACATATATAGTTAAGCGCGTTCTTTCCTCACGTCGTGAAAGTCGGATGCGGCTCTCGGTAAGCGGTCAGCCCGAGATTATCCAATTCACACTGCCGGTCTAATCCCGATTTAGGAATTACGGGGTACGAGTGTACCCTTTAGCGAATTGTTTGTCGCGCTCTGCGGCTGCGGCGGTGCCGCTGTCCGCTGATGCTGTGGGCGCGAACGGGTCTCGTTAGAGATCGCGCGGTAAACACAAACGTAAAAACGCGTAATGCGCTTTATGCGAGCACGCGAATCATCAACCCCCCCCCCGTCCTGGGTCCTACCCCATCCAACGCATACCGCGAGCGCAGACGAAGGTGGCAACGAGTCCCGCGGGGGCACTGAAGTTAACTACCAGATCGATGTCCGACCCCAGTCCGCCCTGGTGTCCCCCCTTTTCCCTTTCCCTCCCTAAAACCAACCCTCCCGACACTTCGACGCAATCGAGCTGGTTTGTCGCGGCGAACCGAGAACTTTGCGCGGTTTATGCGACACACAGCTCGAGCCCGATGATTTCTTCCCGACGGCGAGACGTCTCTCGAAAGCTCGCTTCGTAAACACGCCTCGTAAACGATTGTGGGGTAATGGTTTTTAAAAAATTACTCGGCGCGATCGTGATTGTTTCATGATGGATAGTGGTAAAAACCACAAGTAAGAAACGAAGAAAAATGCAATTTTTTTTACGGACACACGTACGTGATTATTTCGGCACAATATGAAAAATTAAATCTATATCACGCTCTTTTTAAAATCATGAAACAGATCTATGATAAAATAAAATTAAAATAGATTTTACATCAAGTGGTTTTTCAAACGGTACTGAATTCATATAAATCAGTTATACACATAATAATATAGCATGAACAATTTTACGTAAAAGATTATATTTCGATATAAATTCTCGAAATTACAAGGTATGTTCTACTTTTAATCACAGGTGATATTGCTAGTGAATAAAGAAAATTGTTTCTCATCAAAAATATCGAGAGGTGTCTCTCATTCTATTTTTCTAAAAGAAATATATTTTAAATATATAATATTATTATAATATATATTTAAGATAAATAATAAAATATGTAATAAATACATACAATAAATAAATATATATATTATTTTGTATAACTACTTTGCTCTATCTGTGCCAGAACAATTTCGTTAACAAACAATGCAATGCAAGGGTCTCGGATGAAACTGACGATTGCGCCCGACGGAATGAGAAATGAGCGCTGCGGAGAATTAATGGACGTGCTGTGGCATAACCGTATCTATGCTCCAATTACTACTATTGTTGATTATACGAGGGTTCGACATAATCCTCACCGATGTATCATTGTTTTAGCGGAAGAGGAATGTGAAGGGCTGTCACCGTGGACGATATTAAAATCGGAGATACATCGGAATTTTTGCAACACCTTGTTTCCATTCGCTTCAAACTTATTCGTCAAGGACGACCACGATGGAGGAGACACATCGATTGATATTTATTCACGCGTCTAGACAGAAACGGATATCACGAACACATAAAGGTTTTTACAATAGCACGATATCGTGTCTCATAAAATTTCATAATCTAGATTTTGACGAGAATGTGATTTTTGCTCATTTATTCGCTGTAGTATTCTAGGAAACATTAATAGCGATTTGATGTTGCATGTTTTATGTATTACGCATGGCGTAGCGGAGGTAGCGGATATTAGGTACAGCCGAAAAGGATCGAGACATTCAGATTAAATTTATTCAGCGATGTCGCGCCGACAAAGGCCGCTCGATGCTCATTCTAAAATCGCGACATAATAAACAAAAATGAATATAAATTCTGAAGCGTCATGTTTTATTCATTATGCTGATAAAGATGTTGATACGACAAGGAAATCATTTATCTCAATAAGAAAACGCAAAGAAAATTAATTGTACATTACATATCCTAAAAATAAAATATTTGCGTATACTCTATCTAAATTATAATAATGTATTTAACAGGTTTTCAAATATTTATTATACATCTTTGAATTAAAATTATTAAGTCTTAAAATAAAAAAAAATATGAGAATGCTACATTTGTGGCACATCTGTCTACCATTGTGCCGCATTGGGAAGAGGTAGATACCCCTGCCATATTTTTCGGAACGCGAGGAGACTACAAAAGGCCGTTAGGGACTGTCATGATATTCGCGGAACGCACGTGAAAACACGGTGTCAAAGATAACGGAAGGAAAAACGGGTGGGGTAGAGACTGGACTCGAGATGTGTGCATCGGCGTCATCCTTTGGTATCTTCGGGGATTAAATTCTGAAAAGGAAGGACACCCGGTCGGCAACCTGCGCGTAATTGGACCCGGAGACACGTAACACAGGCTTTACGTGGCGTGTATTTTTGAAAATTCCTCGGGTCTGCGCCAACGTAAAGGTACCTTTTTGTTCGATTCTTGCCTGAGTCCAGTCGGCCCAAGTCGGAAACACCAAATAGATTTTATGAGGGGGCTATAAACGGCTGGAATCTCGATTCTCGAGTATCGATGGTTCCAAAGGGGCTAATCTGCGGATGAAAACTGTAATAAAACGTTCGCCCTATGTACGTACTTCGGAATCCTTTTGCGCATTCTTACTTAACGTATATAGGGTAGACCAGGTATCCTCCGCTCCTCCTCCGCACAACTCCCGAAAAAACTAGACACGTTCCGTATGTTTTTGTGTTTCCTATGCAAATCGATTTTTTTATCACATTTGTCACAGATTAATACTTGATTTATTTTTTGCTGTCAAATTCTATTTAAATTTTTTTTTCAAATTTCATGTTGCTAAAAATTGTACGGTGCATATAATATAAGAAAAGAAAATTCATTTGTCATACCCAATAAATAAAATGTTTACAATATGTTGACAGTTTCTTAGAAAATCAAGTTTGTTGAAAACAAATTTTGCCAAGTGACTGTTACAGATTCTGAAGAAAGGCAGAATTGATACAGGATCTATTATCTTCGTATACGTTAATTAATAAATTTTAAAACTTGTTACACACACACATCTGCTGCTTATACAATTAAAATTACAATTAATTATAAAAATTCTATTGCATTTAGTTTAGTAACAATTAATTGGATACAACTAGATATAATGAATTAATAAAAAATATTTCAATAATTTATGAGAACATGAAACAGTTGCAAAGTTTTACGAAAGAAGTATTTCAAAAAAGGAAAAATGGTTGTTCCATTACCTAAGTCTCATTAAAAAGTTAATTTAACGAATAAAAATTTCTGGTCCGATTCTTAATTGTTTTTATTATTACATTGTATCAGTTTTATTTTGAAAGATATCAGAGAAAAACCCACAGCCTGTAAAAAGCCAGATAGCTGTCACATCGGTTCGATTCGCAAGATTATTAAATCTCCTGTACACTACCGCCAACTGAGAAAGTGGATATAAACTACATAGCCACATCTACCTCTGAAGACTGTTGGTAAATCATTCTTGGTGCATATCCGTGCTATATTTACAAATTGTGAGGAACATGTTTCTGTGTGTACGCGTTTTTAACGGAAAAATACATATATATTTATAATTAAATATGTGCTAATAATAAAAGTAAAACTTTATTTGTTGAATAGTTTTGAACAAACTTTATTTTACAATAAAAGGAAAACTCTAAAAACTTCATTTTGATGAGTGTGAATTACAAAACGCAAAGTAATAACAGAGATATTTTTAATTTTGATTGAGAGATATTATATAAACCGAAAATTATGATAAATGCGAAAGAAATCAAATTTTCAATCAAGAAGAATTATTTACTCGGAATTGGTTGTATATTCTCCGTTCTTCGTAACGAAAATAATAATACACACACAAAGGTACATATACAGAGAGTGATAACCATCTTCCATTAGTATGCCGGGATATTTGTCCGTACTGTTAAATCATTTCTATTTTCATATCTCTATAATTGCGAAGATGTACATAATAACGAGCAATTGTATAAATTTTGTAAAATGATTGAATACACATTGAATGCCATAAACGCAAGAAATATCAAATTATTTACGGTCGTCTCTTCCTCATTATGTTCTTAGAATCAGCGCAGACATAGCAGAAGCAAACGTAGAAGCAAATTAATTAAATTGTTTAAGACGTATCCTAACTTGCGAAACTTACACAAAAATTACTTAGCAAGCATAAAAGGTCTAAAACAAATATGCCTTAAAATATTAATAAATATGATAAAAGTTACGTATTAACGTGCGTTTGTTTTTCATTTTAAATGCGAGATATGTTCCAGCAAATATTCCATTGGTGGATATCTCATTGTAGCAATGCTTCTGTGTTTTCATATTGCAGTATATCTTAATGAGTGTGTAACATTTTTGTGGTACACATTACGGTACATAACGCGTTTTATCGACGTGTCTCTAAAAATTGTCTGGATTTCTCGATAACTCATCGAACCACTCGGAAGGGACATCCACATCGTTGAACATCTTATTTTTCTTGTTCTTCTTTTCTTCACCGATGCTCGCTGCAAACTAGTTTGAACAATGGGCAATTCTAAAAAAATATATACAAACGCGTTTTCCGTTTTGCATGAGAAATTTGCACATTCAAGAGTAATTTTTTAACGTTTTCTTTCAAGAACTGAACGCAATATTCCCTCGATTTCCTAAGAGACAAATTAACCGCATACATTGCATACAAGAAAAAGCGAAGCTTGCTCGTCTGAGGCAAACTTGAAAAAAAAATATCATCGAAAATATAAAGAAAAGAAATACAAAACAAAAGTCTTGCTTTTGTAGACGCTGGCACACTCATGCAATTTTAAAAGATTAAAAGAATATGATTAACTGAAGATTTTAATCCTCTGATTGATCACAGACGAAACTACGTCACGGATATCAGTTGGACGCAGGTGTGAGAGAAGGACAGGCAAGAAATGCAGAAGAAACGAAAGAGAAAAAAGAATAATAAAGGATAATTATTGTATGACGGTGATTTTTCGAACGCGCGCTTGCATAATTGCTTGGATACGCGCGTCATCAAGAAGATACACTAATAAGTCTTCGGTTTCGCTTTATAATCATAGTCGCGACGATGGCGAAGCGACACGCGGAGCTGGCGCTGGCCGTGATTCATCGGATTCCCCGTGCGTCCGCGGATTCCCCGGTTCTTCCTTCTCGCGCGATATCGTCCTGGAGGAGAGGGTACTCGAGGCACACTTATCTCCCATTTTCCTCGTTGCGGTTCGTCAGCCTACGACGTACCGCGTGCCGTCCCGGCCAAGTTGAATGATACGAGATACGACATGACCCGACTCATGGTCACGGTATACCCCACTACCGCACCATTCAAACGCGTCTTCGGCGCAGAAACTGTAAACGTGTTTCGATGCGTTTCGGTAGAAAACTGGTCAGTCTCGTGAAGGTTCAGTGAAGCCGTGAGAGCTTGGCTCCAAGAATTAGCACGCTGAACATCCGGAGATTGTCGTCGCAGCGTTGAATTCCGCTGAGGACTGCGGACCATCGAGAAGCGCCTCAGAGTGGTTCCATCACCAAGAGTGCCTCAGGAATAAATAGGAATAAATAGTAAATAACTAAATAAGAATACTTATGTGAATGAGAAGATATTGAAGAAGCATAACTCGACATGCATAAGAAATGTTCTAGAGGGCATTAAAAAAATGCACTACAGTGTTCTAATAAAAACACGAGAAACAATCGATACCGATATCGACAGTAAAGAAATATAATAAAGCAGAATATTAAAGTGGAGGCAGACAGTTATACGTTAATTGCGTTAATTCCCATTAAAATTTGAAATTTATTTAATGAAGCGGTGATATTATACGTTATCCAATATTACCGGTTCGACTGTTGAATAATCAAGGTGCAAGATGAATATGTGCTCGTGGAATGCTCAAGATACTCTGATTCGCGCGCAGGTGTCGATTCGCCGTATGAAATCGTACCTCTTCTAAACGTAATCTGGAAACGTGATTTCGAAAAGTTATCTGCTTATTGTTTGAAGTCGATATTTTTTGACGAAATTTTTTGACGAAAGCTTAGAGTGTTCTTTCGTTGAAACGTTATCAAATTTGTGAGAATGTGAGTTGCGTCGTTAAAATTTTTATTTCTATTACCTGCTTGATTGGATACATATGTCGCATACATTTGCTGTCGACTTTATACGCTACATCGCTCGTCACTATAGCATCTCAAACTTTCTATTTACTAATATGAATAATAAGTATTTGCCGTTTCGTTTGAGTCTTAATCTGTGTGGATCTACATAATAATTTCTTTTTCCTGTAAACAGTTTCGTATTAAAAAATTTTCTTTGTTCAAAGTTAATTAATTAGCAAGATTATTAAATTTTAATCGTTTAATTTTTCTAACAGATTGAACGTAATTAGATTGATCAACCTCTTTCGAATACAGATTGATTTGAAACATACACCAGTTGTAAACTAAATGAAGTTATATAGAAGTAAAATTATTATCTGACCTCATGACATATTGGCAGTAAAGCGTTTGATCTTTCAAGGGTTATCGAGCAAGGAGTAAATGCAGTATTACATTATGTTTGGCTGCTGAGTTTATCATATTCATGTCATTATACTTAAAAACATATTCGAGCTTATCTGCGTGTTCTAACAGTTTTCTTGGTTTGTTTGTGGTAAACGGTATAATAAATCATTTCGCACTATGTATCGAAATCTTGTTTTCTAATCTCATCAACATATCAAAATTTGATGTATAATGAATAAATGAATGTATAATGAATAAATAATGTATAATGAATAAATGAATATTAATTATGTAAATGTCAATTATAAAATCGCATTTGCATGATTTTGTGTATTTTCAAATTTTTTTTGGAACAAAGTTACAGATTTTTTTAAGTTCTTTTTGAGACAATTGTAACTTTCTTTCTGAATGAAAAAATCCATAAAGCTACTGATGATCACTTTGATTAATAATAATTATTTCAACATTGTTAAATAAAATATTAAACACTATTGTAAAAATGAAGTACATTTATAAATCATGTATTTTGTTAAGTTTGTAACAGAACCTCACGAGATGGCTAAGATTTGTATCCTGATCGCGTTGTTGCCGCAATTGCTTTACACGCTAGTACAAGGACAAGAATCTCCGTGTCCACAATATTTTACATATATAACCAAACTTGGGACAGATGAAACAATAGGACAGATCGAAATCCAATCTCCACCAAGAACTGGTGAACTCCATTTAAAAGTGACCATAAAAGTCGCTGCTGAGTTGCCTACAGTAAGTATCTTTTTTTTCATATTAATAATAATATTAGGAGAGAAAAGACCCCCGTACTTTTTCTACGTAAAATAGGTACCAACCGTAAAATTTTTTTACAAAGATTAAGATTATTTCCTGTATATTTTGAACTGTAAATAATTTTTTTGATATATCTAAATATTTAAAAAGCAAGGTCGAACATATATCTTCTTGCGATTTAAGTGGTTAAAAATGAATGATTAAGAAATAATTTAAAAACTTTGTTTAAAATTTTTATTTTTATTTATCACCTGGTAGCACCTTAATAAACAGAAATAGTTTAATCATCAATATATGTTTTAGAGATACGTCGGTCGACTGGAATTGGCGCGATCGAAAGAGGAATCTGCTGCAGCTGTTCAACAGGGCAGGCATTTGTCGTATCATCTTTATTTTCCTTTACGCTATCCGATTCCGACATTGTCTGGAATATGGTTCAACGGTGAGCGATATTGCTCGGGACGCGATGGTGAGTATTTATTTAAAATGCAATATATACATGTCATGTTTGATGACACAGGAGCAAAAATTGCAGAGTTCTATCAAGTTACCAATTAATTCTTATTTTTATTTAATTGTGCGTAATTTTCAATTAAAACGGCGAAGATAAATTGGAAGATAAAGCTCATTAAAACACTTGAAATTTTCTTGCTCCATATAAATTGAATAGCATTATTACGTTTTGTTGTAGTAACGGGAAGTATCGTAACTACTATCACGTTGGAACATACTCTGTACCTGCCGAACGTGCTTTCGCAAAATTTCCTGCCATCGCGTCAAAACTCGAAACCGACACCGAGACCATCGTCTGAACGGAACACCCCGAAGAGATCCACCACCGCCACTCTCTCTCAAGGAATTGGCAGCAACATATTTCTGAATTTGATTCCGAGCCAATCACCCCCACAATACAACAACAACAACAACAACAATAACATATTCCTAAGGCCGACTCCGGCTCAACAAGCTTCACAACATAATAATAATAATAATAACAATAACATATTTTTAAAACCCACCCCGACCAATATGTATAACAATATATTTCTAAGACCGAATCCGGCCAAACCAGTCTCACAACCAGCCCCACAACCAGCCCCACAACCAGTCCCACAACCAGCCCCACAACCCGATAATAATAACAATAATAACAATAACAACAATGATAATAATTACAACGAATGTGGTATCAGCGGCCGCAGCGGAGGCACCAATCTTCTGATAGCCAACGGAGAGAAGACGTTGCCAGGCCAGTGGCCGTGGCTGGCGGCACTCTTCGTCGTTAGAAATGGATACGAGTTTCAGTGTGCTGGTTCTGTTCTGACTACAAGACATGTTCTAACAGGTATATTATATGAAGAAAAAATTTTTTATATATTACTAGTATTCCATGTATAAAACGAGCTTCTTACGCTATATCTATTTCTTTTCTTAAATTGCACGAGATTTATTTATTTATACCTATTCATATTTGCATAGTAATATACAATTTAATAAATTTTCACAAATATCCATGATTGATCCGAATGTAATCGAGAAATGAGCATGCAAATATTTGGAATAATTAATTGTTTATTTAGATTTAGACACAATATCTTCAGATTGTTATTACAAAATACGCATTATAAAATACAAGAATATATCTGAAATCTATTTACCGCTTAATTTCTTTCTTGATAGAACGAGCAGATTATAAGAAACTATATTCATACATATATGTTTTCTTATTACAGCGGCACATTGTTTGAAGTTGGGCCCCACTAGCAACGATACCCTACACCCCAACGTGTTAGAGGTGGCTTTGGGGCGATTTAACTTGCGCCGGTTTCGCGAAAAGGGAACTGTTAATCGGGAGGTCGCTAGCTACAAGATCCATACCGAATATGCGCACAGGACCACCGGCGATTCCGATCTGGCGATTTTGATCCTCAGGACGCCAGTCGAGTTCAGCCCTTTCATCAGACCTGTTTGCCTGTGGTCTGGTTCAATTGATCTTCAAAATGTCATCGATAGAACAGGATACGTCGTGGGATGGGGCCGAGACGAACACGGCCATCGTTACACTGAAGAACCACGGATGGCGATGATGCCGATAGTGAGTTTGGTAAGAACGAGAGAGAATGATTTTCCAAACGTTCGAAACAAAGATATCTTTATGATAACAAAATCGAGGTATTTATATCACGGAAGAGAAGTACTTAGCTAGGCTGTAAGTACACTCCATTTGAATTGGCTACATTTACAAATTTAATTATTACCTACTTTGTTATTCGCTGCATATGGATGGATTTGTTAAGCATCGCGTAACGAAAGTGATAAATGATAAATAAAATAAGGATATGATAAGTGCAATCGCCGACAGGGTAAGGACTCTCTTCAAATTTTTGAATGCTCTTAAAGCGACACAATTTCACATAATACCAAGATACTAACGTTGCTATCCGGGAAACATGGATTTCGCGTTACCGTTGTAGAATCAAATTCTGCATATGATGAAGACCCGGTTTTGTCGTATTAATTATAGGAAAACTGTCACTGGAGCTACCAGGGTTTCGTCTCTCTCACTTCGAACCGCACTTTTTGCGCCGGTATGCAAGACGGGACAGGTCCTTGCAACGGTGACAGCGGGAGCGGTCTGGTGCTTTTCGACGCTACCACGGGTCGCTATCAGTTGCGTGGCGTCGTTTCGCGGTCGGTGCTCGGCAATGAAATGTTGTGCGATCTCACAAAGTTCGTCGTTTTTGTCGACGTGGCCAAATACCAATCTTGGATTTTACAGCAAATCTCCACGTAGACCCTAGTCACTCGCCTCAGACCGCAAGATGTATTAATCGACAAGTTTTTTACGTAAAGCTTATTTGAAGTTACGACTGAAAGTCACGTATTTCTGACTTTTTAGTGATTCCTATTATCGTAATGCATTTATTATGAATATAAAATGGAATATGTAAATTGATACAAATGTAACTATATACCTGTCATTGTGGACTTATTAATAATTAAGAATAAATTGTATCATGATACGTATTATGATATTACCGAAGCGTTTATGTTCCGTCATATATTGTATTATTTAACTTATTAAATGCATTATCAACATTTTACATCACAAAACATTATAAAAAATACAAAAAATATTGTCAGAAATTCTGCTCATAACTAGAAATATATAAAATAGAGATATATTAAATATAAATCTAACGACTTAAGTTTTGTCTGTCTAGCATATATAAAAACAATGGTTAAATATGTAAAATTAACCTACAAAGTTAAGTTATGATTTACGTATGTACTCTTTTTACACGTTATACTATTTTATAAGTCTTAAAAAAATATTTAGATGTAATAATAAAAATTGTTTCCTGTTTTCTAAATATATGCGTTACCTATTGTAACCTTGTAATTTTCTTAGAAAATGTTATAAATAATAATCAAACGAGAAAGGAAAGAAGTGTTAAAATCACAATCCACATCACTTCGTGACAAGATCATTTAAACAAGATTCTGTTCAATGCTGTTCATGTCGGAGTCGCACGTACTTTTCATCGACATATGCAATCGCACGGCAAACACAAATTGACCGGTTTTAGCGTGTCCTCCAATCGTTGATCGTCAAGACATCGTTTCAAGTCAGTTCCTGCAAATCCTCAAATGGCTACAGACATTCGTCTCTCACATAGATGTCACTAAATTTCCATCAACTCGAATAAAATGCCCAAAACTTATGTTCTACTCGGAAATACATCATTAAATTTTTGCGCAACTACTCCGAGAAAAATTCTATATTTTCCTCTTCTGCCGCCGTTCTCCATCTTTAGAATTGTGCAAAACATTCTGCTGATAAATTTTGAAGTAACATGCAAAATTGGCGGTAACTTATCGGACGTACGTCTACGGGTTTCCCAATATTTTTTTCTTCTCGTGTGATATCAGAGTAAAAAGATGCGATATCCAGGAAAAGAGGGTATTTCAGACATACTTATCTCATATTTTTCTGGTTGCGATTGTCAGCTTACGATATTCTGTTTAGCTTCAGACAAATTGAATGATAGGTACGACCTAACTCATGATTGCCTTGACTCGCGGTACCCCACTATCGCACCATTCGAACGCATCTTCGACGCTGAAACTGAGAGAACTGATCAGTTGGTGTCTCGGTGGAGACTTGGCGAGGCTATGGAGAATCGTAGCCAAGATTTAACTAAACTTTGGAGCCGACCGCTGTTGAATTTTGTTAGGGATCTCTGGCTATCCTGAAGCGCTTCAGAGTGCTTCGTCAGGAGCCTCGTGTGTCATCACCCATCGCCCCCATGGTCAGGAGTATCTCAAAAGTGCCTCGGGAATAAATAAAAATAAAAAAGTAAATAAGTAAATAAGAATGTGTAAACGAAAAAACATATTGAAAACACATGATTCCAACGTTTGACGCGTGTTCTAACGATCAAGAAGAAAATGCAATATAGTATTCCAATAAAACGCGAGAGATAAACGACGTCGGCAGTACAAAAATATAAGCGGAGTAAAAAAGTGAAGGTGGATAGTTTCATGCTAAAATCGCGTTGACTCTCGCCTGAGTTTGAAATCTGCAATTATTATCTTTGCTGACCTTCTCATGAGTTATCGACATAAATGAAGTATTTGATCTTTTAACTCTTCTCTCTCTCTCTCTCTCTCTCTCTTTCTATCAGTTATCGAGCAAAATATACATACAGTATTTTGTTATAGACATATATCTGGCAATTTTTTAATCCAATTTTATTTGTTTTATCAAGAAAATAATTTTGCATTGATAAATGTTATTGTGGTACGAACAAACTATTGTTGGCACAAACAGCTTATGACAGCTGTAATTTATTTTAAAAAATAGATACACGCGCAAGAGTAAGTATGACACTGCAGAAACCTACCAATCTCTATCGATGTCAATAGCATTTTAATATCTATTGAATTATATTCTGTTACAGTACATAAAAAATTGTAAAAAATATATAAGGTAGAAAAGTTTGTAAGATACTGATAGAAAAAAACATGTCTTTATTTTATCAACATATCACAATTTGAAAAGTAGGTATATGGGTATTGTGTAAATGTCACTTGATATAAGTGCATTAGCATGGTAGACTTGTCGCTTCCTTGAATTTTCTTTGAAATAAAGTTAGATCTTTTGAATTCTTTTTGAGACGACAAGTATCTCTTTCTGGATGGAAAAATTTATTTAATGACGATTATTTTGATTAATGGTTATTTCGAAATTGTGTTAAATATTAAGATCTATTTGTAAAAATTAAGTATGTTTATAAACTACAATATTTTCTTGGTTTGTAATAGAATTTCACGAAACATGGCTAAAATTTTTATTTTGATCGCGTTTCTGCTGCAACTTTGCACGACCATACAAGGACTATTCCCGTGTTCTAAATATTATTCATATACAAGCAAACCTGGGTCAAATAACGAAATATTGGGACGGATCAAAATCCCATCTCCACCAAAAAATGCTCGATACAATTTGAGGGTAGGCTTTAGTACAAACCCTTTGATACATAAAGTAAGTATTTTTTTAGTTTTATCAGTAATATAAGAGAAGTTTATGGCTGCTAGTAAGCAATCTCTAATAATTTCTTGAATTTAACCATGATTAAAAGTTTCTTCTTCATAAACTTTATAAAATATAATTTAATTAAGTAAAGTCGCATACTGTTTCTACAAATAATGCCTTAAAGAAATAAAACCTAAGGAAAAGGGTTTACTTGAAAATAATTATTAATAATTTTAAAATATTGTCTTTTGAAAAGAGTAGATTGTCTCCTGTACAGTTTGTGCTATGAAATGATTCTTTGATATGTCTAAAAAACAAAGTTAAACATATAATCCTATCGCGATTTAAGTGATTAAAAGCGGACGATCAAGAAATAATTTAAAGAAGTTTAAAATTTTTAGTTGCCACGAGCATCCTGTATTTAGAAAATAAATAGAAATAACTTAATCGTCTTTGCAGAATGAACCAGTCGCTCGACTAGAAATAGAACAACCAGTAGAGGAAGCCAATCAAACTGTTCAACAAGACAGACCTTTGCTGTATCATGTTCATTTTCCCTTGGGTCAAGCAATTCCAAGACTAACTAAAATATGGTTTAACAATGAACAATTATGTCCAAATTCTGCAGGTGAATACCATATTTACTTGAAGGGCTATTGTATAAATCTCATATACATTCGAAGAGACAAAAATAAAAGTTACACTCATCCATTCTTCCGAGTTACATCAAATTAGTTCATATTTTGTCATATTTTGTATCTGACTACGGAATTTTCAACTATAGAACAGCGAAGATAAATAAAGAGATAACACTCACTGCAAAATTTTCTCTTTGTACACATTTTCTTTATTTCTATTAAAAAATATCTGACGATCATTTCCATGTTTCGGAGATTATTTTTTTTTCTCTGGGAGAAAAAAATCTTTCTTTTCTATAAGACTACGTGATTCGAATAACAATGTATATTTCATTTCAGAAACAGGAAATTTCACAACTACTGTCGAAGTATATCTGTCAGGCGAAGTGTCACCTTCACTGAATAGACCATCGCATCATGACTCAAGCGTCACTGAAAACTCATCACCTACCGCCAACCTTTCTAGAGATGATAACGATCTGATAAACGATTTTCTGACGATTCAGACCCAAAAACCCGCACAATACAATAACACTAATAATAACAACAACAATATCAATTACAATGATAACAATAACAATAACAATAATGAATGCGGTATTAACAGCTATAATACCAACCGCACAAATCCTTTGATCAATTACGGAGAGGAGACAATGCCGGGCCAATGGCCGTGGCTGGTGGCACTCTTCGTTGTAAGGAGAGATCATGTGTTTACGTGTTGTGGTACAATTCTGACAAACAGACATGTTATAACAGGTATATTATCTTTAAAAAAATTTAATATTACTAGCTAGTACTCTCTGTACATTGTCATGTGAACTTCTTGTCTTACATCTGCAATATTTATTATTTATCGTGTATTTTTTCTTGTTTTCCTGAAGATATTCTGGATAATTGTGTGTTTATTTATACACAAGTAATATTTTCAAACGTTAGAGTGCGTTATCTCGACAATATCGTTGAAATACATTTACTATTTAGTTTCTTTGTTTTCTGAACATTAGAAAATGCACTTTCATGCATATATTACCTTTTCTCAGCGGCGCACTGCTTGAAGTTGAGCTTGAGCAGCAACGACACCGTACATCCCAATGTGTTAGTGGTGGCCTTAGGACGATTTAGGTTGCGTCAGTGGCGTGAGCTGGGAACTGTGAATAGGGAGGTCGCAAGCTTCAAGATCCACCCCAACTACACGCACGAGGCCACTGGCGACTCCGATTTGGCGATTTTGACTCTCAGGACGCCCGTCGAGTTCAGCCATTTTATTAAACCTATTTGCCTGTGGTTTGGTTCAACCAATCTTGAAGACATCGTTAATAAGATAGGATGGGTTGTGGGATGGGGCGAAGATGAAGAGGGTCGTACCTACACCGAGTTACCACGGGTGGCGAGGGAGCCGATAGTAAGCCAGGTGAAAATCTTCACTGATAATAAACCCGGTTTTTCCTCTCCATGACTTTTGCTCTTCGGTCGACTGGGTCGACATACAAATTGAATTCCAATGGCAAACAAGGTTTTCTAAAAACAAAATGTCCAAAACATGATAACGACAAATTTGAAATATTTGTATCTGTAAATATTTATATCGCAAAAGGGAAATGCTTAGAGATTTTGCCTCGTTAACGATGACGCGCGATACTCAATTTGATTTCGCTATGTTTACAGTTACACAGTTAATTGCTATTATGACAACGATTTTATATAACAAATATTTGCCGCATATCTCCATGACGAATGGATTTGTCAAAGTCATTACACACCTCAAGTAGGGTTGACGATTCCGCCAATTGATAAGCGCTATCGTCGATGATGTGAATTTTAGTGAACGTTCTTGAAATAATACAATTTCACACAATTCCAAAATGCTAACAATATCAGGGAATCGTCAAATCAGCGCTATTATAATACCAAATATTTTAAATAATGAAGATCTGTTGTTGCGCGAATTATAGGAGACCTGTCTCCGGAGTCATCAGACTTTCTACGCTCTCACCTCGGTGCGTACCTTTTGCGCCGGTTTGCGAGATTACAGCGGTCCATGCAACGGTGACAGCGGGAGTGGATTGGTGCTTTTCGACTCTACCACAGGCCGTTATTATTTGCGCGGCATTGTTTCGCGGTCATTGGGTGGCATTATACCGTCGTGCGATCTCTTAAATTATGTCGTCTATGTTGACGTGGCCAAATATACATCCTGGATTCAAGAGCAGATCTCCACTACGTAACGCTGCAAAACACAAATGTGCTAATCAACAAATCTCTTATGTAGATTTATTAAAACCACGTCACTTATATTTACATGAGGATTAAAGTTACTTCTGAATTTTATTATTGTAATGAATTTATTACAATGGCAAAATACTTATGTAAATGGATATAAATATAGCTATCTGTTTTTGTAGATTTATCAACAATTAAGAATAAATCCTATTATGACATGCGTTGTAATACGTTTATTGATATGCATCTTACGCAATAATATTCTGTTATACATCGTATTACTTAATTTAACATTTCGTTAATGTTCTATATTATAAAATATTACAAAAAGTATAAAAAATATTGCCTGCAACATTGCTCACACATGACTGTTAGGATATATTAAGTATATATTATAATTCTAGCGCGATTTAAGTTTACCTGTCTAACAACATGTATAAAAGTATTGTTTAAAAATATATATGCGGATATACTCTTTTTTTCACTATGTAATATTTTGTAAGTCTGAAAAATATTTAAATGTACACACCTTAATAAAAAAAAAAAAAAGATTTATTTTAGAAACACGTAAGTTACTCTTTTTTGACATATTATAAGTAATAATAAGGCAAGAATGATAAAAGGAAAAAATGTTGAAATCAGTTCACACAACAGTTCACAGAAATCGCTTCGTGACAGGATCATTGTTTAATGCTGCCCACGTCCGCAATCAGAAATCTTTATACCGTTCCCGATCGCGGGAATTCAATTCGCGCTATCAACGTTCGCACCCGCACGCTTTAATAAAAGTTATTTACGATCGCACACGTACACATAGGTTCAAACAATATTTTTATATATACCTTCAACTAGACGCCGTCGACAGCACGATAGAATCAGCTCTCGACACGAAGAATATGTGGCTCCATTGCGGTATACTGATCCACTTATTCGGATTTCTTCTCGCGAAATCGTCCAAATCGTTCGACGATGCCGGGAGACATTCCTCATCTCTGGAGAGAAAATTGACATTGAAATTAAAAACGGCGGCACGACTAAAGCACAATGTCGGGAAAATTCTTCACGAATTGCCGGTAAGTGTCGTTTTTCCGGAAAGCAGAACATAAGAAGTCATCCTTGCGTGGAAAAAGATCGCGATGCTAAAGATGTATTTTCGAAATAAATTAACAGAACAAATACATATAAGTTTCATTTAATCGTGAAGGTTGATGATGCTATATGGTATTGATTTCAATAATTTTTATCTAATGTAAATAATGTCGGCTTTTACTGTATTAAGAACTTTAGTTAGGCATACCTCATTCCGGCGCCAGAATTTACGCTCATTCGTTTTTTTATTCTCACAGATACAGAGTTACGAGATGCATCACTCCGTAAAGATCATCGAGGACTACTTGAAAAACGGTGGTTCGCTGCTCGACTGTCTCGACGTCTTACCTTCCGTAACGTACGCGCCTATCGCGGAGCAGGTGGACAGTATCCTTGGATCCATGGAAGACCGCTTACCCGAGTATCTTCTGCCGGCGATATCCTTGATACGGCGATCCCTGTCGGAGGGCCTTCTGAATGCCGACGAGATCTACAGGCCCACATTCGGACCGCCGAAGGCCGACCCATTGGAGAAGATATCTCTGCGAGAGTTAAAGGAAGCGACCTCGCCTCTGACTTATCGCTCGCCTGCCAAAGATGTCAAAGGACCCTGGCCGAAGATTGTTGGCGAGACGGCGACGTTGATCCACGACAAGATCATCCCTGCGCGTTCTGAATTGATTGCGTACATGTTAGCGAATCTGCGGATACCAGACGCGACAACGGAGATGAGAGAATCGGTCGCGCTTCTCGTCGAACATCTAAGATCGCACGGCAAGCACAAATTGACCGGCTTCAGCATGTCATCCGATCCGTACGCGCTGGTCGCCAACGCCGTCTCGAGTCTGTCTTTGCAAAATGAGACGCTGATAGCCGCCAACGTGTTACTGCCGTTCTTGCGGAGGCCCTCGGAGTGTCGAGGATCCGCCAAGTTCGTCAGCTTCTTTCAAGACAACACTCTGAATTACACTCTGCTGATATCTCAGGATAGAAAGATCTCTAGGTCGAAAGACGGTATCGAGTTTCTTTCCATGATACAGCAGAACAATACGGATGTAGCGGATATCATAGAACAATTATACCCCTTTGAATATGCGTCCCGGAAAGATCTGTTGCTGGCTTTCGTCAGTCATCTCAGGCGTCAGCAAAGTCATCAGGGCGAAGTGTCGAGCGTTGTAGACAGCGTCTACGGTGAGCTGATTCTGAGAAATAACCGGAAGCGTTGGCAACTTCCGAGGAACTCTATTATTGCCGCACCGGTCCTCACCGCGATAGCCAGAAGAGAGAACTTCGTCAAGATTCGAAGACTACTCATGGACGTGGCTGCGGACAGAACAGTCAAGCCGGAAGTCTGGCAAAAGGCACTTGCTTTCGTTTCTTCGGAGGACACCAGTGGGCCGATAAACGCCGTACTGAAAACGCTGAAGGCTCTGCTAGCTTCCGGTTTTCTTCCGTCTGGCGTCCTGTCGATGAATATCGCCGAGCTGATAACCACGTTCGATAACAGACTCAATCAAGAACAGACCGAGTGCTCCAATCGATTAGAAACATACTTGGCTAATCTTACTCAAGTAGAAATCGAAACCGATAAAAAAAAGACGATTGAGAACGTCGATGTCAAGGATCTTCTTCAGGTTTTGCCGGGCTCGGACATCTACACGGATGAATACAGAAGCTTGGAGAGCTTCTTGTTGCAGAACGGCTTGGAGGCGAAGATAGGACAAGTTGACCTGAATGCCCATCCCACCAGGGGTAGATTGCTAGCGCAATTGTTGCAGATGATAGAGCGTGCCGACAGTGTCGACAATAATTTACGACGTTTGGCCGAGCAGCTCGCCGATAACGTGGCTTACGAGGGCTATGGCGCTGGTGCCTTGTCGTATCGTTCTAGTTAGTTCAATAATGAGCACGGTTTTTTCATTGAGTAAATTTCATATTTCACATTTCCGCCAATATCTCGTCCCGAACATTTTGGTCTATATTTAACGAATTAATTTAGTTGACCGAATTGTGGAACGGTTATTTATCATTAATATATTATTATTACTATTTGTGTATCGCATGATTCCATCTAATAAATTCTCGGAGAATTTTTTACCTATCGTTTTGCGGTAAAATACAATCAAACTACAACTATGCAATAAAAATTAAATAAAATGTGTTAATAAAAATTTTTCCCATTATAGCGATTTAAGAAATAGGTTTAAAACAAATTATTTTGTTAAACTTGAGTCGAGTATAAAGAGAAAAGGTATTACAATTATCCTTCAAAATTCTGCGAGCGTTGGAAAATATATAGTTTTATTTTCATTATTTTACTTTTTTTGTTACTTTGTACAAATCGTCTGTATTCAAGTATACACTTAACTTTTTGCACACAATTTTAATATTAAAATGCAAAAGTATTTTATATTATCTTAATATAAAATTAAAAGTATTATACGCGTTATAATTATGATATAAGATAATTTACATATAAACGTGTTTCGAAGCGTTTCAATAGAGAACTAATTAGTCATGAAAATTCGGTGAGTACTAGCGTAATTCCGAGGATTAGCATGCTGAATATCTGGCACCGCAACGTTCATTTCCGTTAAGAAGCACTTTAGAATACTTCGCAAAAATGTCTCAAAGAAATAAATGTCAGAAAAAAAGTACGAATAAATACAAAATAAACAAATAAGAATACGTAAAGGAGGTATCGAAATATAACTCGAAAAGCATAAAGGCATATTCTAACCATTGATAAGAAATGGCAGTATGGTATTCTGATAAAAGAAGCGAAAATAAACAATACTGATATCGTCAGTAAGGAGATGATAATAAAGCGGAATAATAAAGTAAAGGCAGACAGTTATACGCGAGAGTCGCGCTGACTCTCATCAAAGTTTAAAATTCGTTAAATAAAGTGACATGTATACAACGTACAACAGGTTTAGAAATTATACTGTAATTTGTTAGTTTTGTAATAGAGCTTTATACAAGATGAGTAAGATTTATATTTTAATTGTGTTGCTGCCGCACCTAGTTTATACCATAGTACGTGGTACAACTGGGATATCCCAAGAACGCAATACTAATAGCAATAATAATATTAACAATTGCGATTGCGGTATCACTGGCTACTATACCGAAAGCACAAATAATCTGATTCCCAACGGTGAACACGCATTACCAGGCCAGTGGCCGTGGGTGGCTGCACTCTTAACTCATGAATTAATGGGTGAATACGGATTCCTGTGTCCTGGTTCCATTTTGACAAACAGACATATTCTAACAGGTATGCTAATAAAAGAAATTAAATATTTCTAATACTCTTCGCGTGTATCAAACCATATGAACTTCTTATCTACATCTGCTTCCTTGAATTTTCATAGCAAGATTCTTATCTTTATCTATTTATATTGCATAATAAAATAGGATCTCATTAGACATTCATAATCAATCTGAAGATAATCGGGGAATGCGTAATGAAGCTAGTATCTGAGATATTTACCTAAATAGCATAATACATTCTCAAGATCATCCTTAATACATTTAGAATGTCTTGAAATATATTTTAGGAAATTCTGTATGCGCGCTGTGTTATAAATATTTCACGTACATACATGATTGTTTTCTGTAATATTAATTTCAGATATTTAATTTAACTTGAGAGTATCACATATATATGATATATAATATACGGGAAAAGTATACAGAATGTCACTGGATAAAGAGTGCAGATATTATTAGAAATTGTATTTCACGTATATGTTTTCTGTTTATAGCGGCAAAATGTTTACAATTGAGCAAAAGTAAAAACGATATCGCGAACCCCTACAAATTGGAGGTGGCTTTAGGACAATTTGAACTCCGCCAACCCGGTAGCACAGTAGTGGGAAACGTGACTCGGAAGGTCGCAAGCTATAAGATCCACCCCGATTTCAATATAGACGCGAGTGATTCCGATCTGGCGATTTTGATTCTCGAGACGCCAGTCGAGTTCAGCCCTTTCATCAAACCTATTTGCCTGTGGTCCGGTTCAACCAATCTTGAAAATGTCGTTGGTAGAACAGGATATGTCGTGGGATGGCTCATAAACGAGCCGAATAGTCCTATACTAGTCTCCGAACCACGGATGCTGAGGATACCAATAGTGAATCAGGTAAGCACCTTCGATCGAGAGGGCCGGATTTTCGCTTTTCATAGATCAATCAATATATGAATTAATTTTCAAATCCAAGCAACGTTTTCTAAAAATAAAACCTTCCAAACGCGGGATACCTTGTTGATAACAAATCCGATATTCATATCCCAGAAGATGCTTTAAGATTTTTAGATCATTTGAATGATCGCACGATGTTCCAATTAGTTTGTCTACGTTTATACAGCTACATTTACACAGTTATGTGTTTTCATAGAATTATTATTTGTTGCACAAATTCATGACAAATGGATTTATCATTGTATGTTTTTAAAATTGACAAATATGCCAATTGTTTGGAAGTTGATGGGCGTGATCGTCGATCACGAGGTAAAAATGCGTCTTCGAATTTTCGTGAACGATCTTGCCATAACACAACTCCGCATAATAGCGAAGTGCTAACGGAAAACGTTGACGGATTCCGCGTTGTCGTTGTAGAATTGTGCGAATAATGAAGATCTGACTTTGTTGCGCAAATTGCAGGAGACCTGTCTTCGGAGTAATCAAAGTTTCCACAATCTCACCTCGGAGCGCACCTTTTGCGCCGGTTTGCTAAGCGAGATCGGTCCTTGCTTCGGTGACTACGGGAGCGGGCTGGTGCTTTTCGATAATTCCACAGGCCGTTATCACTTGCGCGGCGTCCTGTCGTTCTTTGTGCAAAAATATACATCTGATCTCAGCGACTGCGATTTCAGTAAGTACGTCATCTACGTTGACGTGGCTAAGTACTTACAGTGGATTCAACAACAGATTTCCATCATGCAACACTAGCCTCTTGCCGCAAAATGCGAACTGTACTTGATAAGTTTGAGAAATACACAAAGATATTTTCCTCTGAGAATTTACCCCGAAAATCATTACAGTTGTAAGACAACATATATTCCGAAGAATTTTATGCGAGCTATTCTGATTTATATTTACTATAATAAAAAATATTAATGTCTATTATACAATAAAATAAATAATATGTTTGATTAATTTTGGTTAAATGTTTAGTAAAATTTCAATAATTTTCCAAAAATTATCCATCTGCTTGGTAATTTTCATTACGTTGTTTGCAAAATTTGTCTTTTGTATATTTTAAAAATTCCTTGTTTGTCAAGTTTGTCCCGGGTTTGTTGTGAATTTAAGGGTAAAATATAACGAAAAATTCTCTCCGTGTAAAAGAGAAAGAAGAAAAATAAAAAAAGTTTTACGTGACAATGATTTCTCGGACAGCTAACTCATCGGACATTATACATCTGCGGATTCCCCAATTTTGTTACTTCTCGTGAAATCATCCAAGAGAAGAAGATGCTCGAGGCACACTTGTCTTCTATTTTTTTTTATTGCGTTTATCTAGGATGATTTGCGTGCTGCCTTTTAAAGTAAATGACATGGCTTGATTCATGACTTTCACTTCCACTGCTGCATCAATCGATTGCGTCTTCAACATGAAATCTATATAAACGTGTTTTAAAGCGTATCGATAGAGATTTAATCAGTATTATGAAGAACTAGTGAAACAACAGGAACTTAATTCCAATTAAGAATTACCATACTGAATACCAAGAACCAGTCACTGCGGCGTTAAATTTGTTTTAAAATATTAAAAAAAGTACTTTAGAATGCTTTGCAAGAGTGTCTCAAAGAAATAAGTGTCAGAAAAAATATATGTGAATAAGTAATAAATAAATAAGTAAGAATACGTAAACGAGAAGATATTAAAGTACAACTCAAAACGCCTGAAGTATATTCCAGCGATTGATTAAAAAAATGGTAGTACGGTACTCTGATAACAGAAACGAAAATAAACAATACTGATATCGATAGTAAGGAAATGTAATAAAGCAGAATAATAAAGTAAAGGCAGACAGTTACACGCGAGAGTCGCATTGATCTCTCATCAGAGTTTGAAATTCGTTAAATAAAGTGATGATTATACCCACTACATTACCGGCTCTACAATTACTGTATTAATCAAGGTGTAAGGTGAATATGTGCTTGAGGAATGCGCGAGATATTCTGATTCGTGAGGCCTATTGTACGATTTGCGGCTGGGATTTGCGTATGTTTAAATAAATTATCTGTTTGTCGTTCAAAACCGCCGATATCTGTCTGACGTAGAGGGTTTTCCAACAGAGACGCTGTAGAGTTTGAGATAAAGGTGTACCATATTAAAATTTTTAGTTTTATTATCTACTTGACTGAATACAATATTCAATATCTTTATTTTATATCGCTTTATGTTACATCGCTCGTTATTATTAATATCCACTACTCTCTGTTTACCAATAGAAACAATTCAACCACTTAATTCTTTTTTAATTCAGTCTCAACATAAATTACGTAATATAATTTCTTTTTCCCGAATAATTTTACATAAAAAGATCTCATATTTCTGCTCAAAGTGAGTTGTTCAGCGAGATTATTAAATTCGAATCGTTTAATTCTTTTACGGGTTTCATCATATACATAATATTCTATTCATTACGTTCAAGCTTATCTGATTTATGATCTATCAGTTTTCCTGATTTACTTGTGGTGAATGGAAATAAATCACTTAACATAATCACTTAATATAATCGCACAATAGTTTTATAATAGTTTTAAGTTTTCTTGGAATCAAAATTATTAATTTTTTTTAGTTCTCTTCGTAACGATTAATAAACTTCTCTCCGAATAGCAAAAATCCATGATGCTAATATTCATCACTTTGATCAATGACAATTTTTTCGAAATTGTGTCAAATATTAAAAACATTTCGTAAAAATTAAGTGCATTTATAGAAACGATGTATTTTGTTAGTTTTGTAACAGAGCCTCATAAGATGGTTAAGATTTTTATCTTGATCGCGTTGCTGCTACTTTGGACCATGGTACATGGTGAAACTCCATGCCCGGAATACTTTACATACATTGTCGATTCTAAAACACACGATATATTTGGACAGTTTAAAATTTCACCTCAGCCAGAAAGTACTGAATTTCGTTTAAAAGTACTTTTAAATGCATCGTCTCTGCCAGTAAGCATTCCTTTTATTATTAGTAAGAATGTAAAAAAAAATACGTATAAGATATAGGCATTGATATAGGCGATTTTTAATAATTTTTTGTACTTTGAATTAAACCGTTTTACAATAGAGTTTATATCTAATCAAAAAATATAGTTTCTGCAATTAGTTCTTTAAAGAAATAAAATTACTTTTTGTCTTAAGAGAGATACGCGTTGAAGTAACCAAAGTATAATTTTCCAAATGCTTTTTTATTTATAAAGTAGTTTATTTTTGCTGCATATATTATTGAGATATATGAAATATAATTTTTCAATGTATTTAGATGTTAACAAAACAAAATAGAAAATATAGTTTTTTTTGCAGTTTGAAACAGAATGGTTAAGAAATAATTTAAAAGATTTACTTTAAATTTTTATCTAATTTGTCATGTGTTAATTTTACTTACATAATAAATAGAAATATAATAGCTTATCTCAAAGTAAAAGGTGGGCTTTGAGAGTACAAAAAGGTTAACAGTACGTTAATTATAACAATTTTTAATTTCTAATAAGGTAAACAATTATGAATCAGACATTTTCGATCATATTACAAACTATGATCATTAATTAAATGTCACTTACGCTATTTTTAGATTACCTAACCTGGGAATATTGTAGAACGTGAGATTATCTTGATTTAATTTTTACCGCATTGTTAATGGCTCAAGACAGATCCAAAACATCCGATTTCAAATTACGTATTTTATTAGTAATTAAAAATAACGTTAAAAACTTCGAATTGTTGTATCTTGCGTTGTAGTCTCAAAGCCTACCTTTTTATTTTATACGTGTTAATTTTATTATCGAGAATTCTTAGTTATTTATCTACTTTTTAGAAAAGCTTAATTATATCGTTGTCTTCCAGACAGAACTGGCAAATGGCATTGATTTGGAATTGGCACAGTCGGTAAGCAAGTCCGTTCAAGCTGTTCAACAAGGCAGACCTTTGTTGTATCATATTTATTTTCCCCGGGTCGAAAATATGCCGTTATTGTTAATGTCGAATTATCAGATATCAATATCCGGAATATGGTTTAAGGGGATGCTGGAGCCGTAGCCGAACTCGATCGGCGTCGGTAAAGAAGACCGGCGAACTATATCTGTCCTTGTATAGACAAAGATATAGACAAGGATAGCACGCTACATTGCACGCACACATACGCACGATGCACACCGACATTATACTTTTATATTACGCTTCCAAATCTTGATTTGGGGGGTTTATCGATGTTTTTCTTGTTGTGCAATTCGGGGAAACTTGTTTTCGCGTTCGTACCAATGGTATATCTCTTATATGAAATACATCTTGTGACGAGCTGACAGCTCGCCGCAACTCGAGACGCCATATTGGGATAAGAGTAGGATAAGGAAATCTGTACTTCCGTAATTTTTTCTCGTTTTCTATATAAAATCGGAGTTTCCCCGAATCATTAATGTATGTACTGCAATTCTGGAGAAGGATTTTTAATTCTGTCAAATTAATACGACGCTACGTGCCGACAAAAAATGCCGGTAAAACAGACGGCTCCAGCATCCCCTTAACAATCTACAATATTGTCAGGGTTTCGAAGGTAAGTACCGTATTTGCTTAAAATGCAATATACATGTCACATATATTTGAACAAATATGGAAGCAAGAACCACAGTCATGCATCCATTCTTTCGAGTCACATGAGTTAATTTTTACTCGTATCTGACTATGTATATAATTTCCAACTAATGTAGCGGAAATAAACAGGAAGATAAAACTCATTAAAACAACTCGAAATCATTAAAACAATATAAATCGAAATTTTCTTTCGATCACACACAACGTTTTCTATATTTATATAAATAAGATATCTCACGATAATTCATTGTGTTTGAAATATATTTCTTTCCTTGGAAGAAAGTAAAATTCTTCTTTTACTCTTAAAAAACGTGCGATTTAAGAGATGTTACGTTTCGTTTCAGGGTCAAATCGAAATGTCAGATTTATCGAATTGGGGCATATTGTCCACCAGCCGCATACGCAGAATAATCTGCATCGAAAATACACACGCTACCGTGCAGTTAATCCGAGCACCGATCTTCTAAATCATTCGAAACATTCTAAACCCACTATTGCCACTACTTCTGATGAGATTGCCAAAAATATATCGTATCCAGTCTTGAGTAATTCAAGCCAAGAACACAATACAAATAGCAATAATAATAATAACGACGAATGCGGTATCACCAGCTACTACAACGAAAGCACAAATAGTCTGATCTCCAACGGTGAGGAAACGTTACCAGGCCAGTGGCCGTGGGTGGCTGGACTTTTTATTGATAGGAATGTATACGCATTTCGGTGTATTGGTTCCATTCTGACAGACGCACATATTTTAACAGGTACGGTGATAAAAAAAATTCAATACATATTTCAAATACTCTCCATATATCGAACCGTGTAAACTTCTTATCTATATCTGCTTCCTTGAATCTTTATAGCTAGATTCTTATTTTTATCTATTTATATTGCATAATAAAATAAGTTTCCATAGATATTCTTCATCTGAATGTAATTAGGCAATGCGCGATGAAGTATCTGGGATAATTACCTACTAAATAGCACAATACAGGATCCAATCTCAAGATCCAGAATGTCTTGAAATATTTATAGAAAGTCCTGCATGCGCGCTGTTATTATAAATATTTTATATATACACATTATGAGATTATTTTCTGCCATATTAATTTAAGATATTTAATTTCATTTGAGAGTATCACATACATAATACAATACGGAAAAGGTTTACAGGATGTCTCTGGATAAAGAGGGCAAATTATTAGAAATTGAATTTCAGGCATAATTTTCTTTTTACAGCGGCACTTTGTTTGAAGTTGACCAACACCAACAACGATACCATAGATCACAATATATTGGAGGTGGTCTTGGGGCAATTTGAGATTCACCTGCCTAACCATTCGATGACGACCGTGAAACGTAAGGTCGCGAGCTATAAGATCCATCCCGATTTCGCGCACACAGCCACGCGCGATTCCGATCTGGCGATTTTGACTCTCAGATCGCGCGTCGAATTCAGCCCTTTTATCAAACCTATTTGTCTGTGGTCCGGTTCAACCAATTTTGAAAATGTTGTCGGTAGGACAGGATATATCGTGGGATGGAGCTTAGACGACTGGACACTCACCAAATTACGAACGCTGAGGCTGCCGATAGTAAGTCAGGTAAGCACTTCGAGAGAGAGCTGGATTTTCGCTTTTCATTGATCAATCAATATAAGAATTAAATTTCAATTCCAAGCGAGGAAACAAAACGTAGGGTACCTTGTTGACAAGTCTGATATTTATATCGCGGAAAGAAAATGCTAAAAAATTTTTACGTCATTAATGATGGCGCACGATATTCCATTTCACTGTGTTTATACAGCTACAGTTATATGCTATTATGAAATTATTTGTTGCATAAATTTATGACAAACGGATTTGTTAGGGTCATTGCATGCTTTAAGTTAAAATTAACGAATATGCCAATTGTTTGGAAGTCGATGGACACGATCAATCACGAGGTAAAAATGCGTTTTCGAACTTTCGTGAACGTTCTTGCCATAACACAACTCCGCATGATAGCGAGATGCTAACGGAAACGTTGACGGATTCTACGTTGTCGTTGTAGAATTGTACGAATGATGAAAATCTGACTTTGTTACGCAAATTGCAGGAGACCTGTCTTCGGAATGATCAAAATTTCATCGCTTACACCTCGGAGCGCACCTTTTGCGCCGGTTTGCTAAGCGAGATCGGTCCTTGCTTCGGTGACACCGGGAGTGGGCTGGTGGTTTTCGATAATTCCACAGGCCGTTATCACTTGCGCGGCGTCCTTTCGTACTTCGTGCGTGGAAATACATCTAGTTCGTGCGATGTCAGGAAGTACGTCGTCTACGTTGACGTGGCTAAATACTTATCCTGGATTCAACAACAGATTTCCATCACGTAACGCTGATTTCTCGCAGCAAAACGCAAAATGTGCTAGTCGTCAAGTTTAAGAAATAAAAAAGAAAAATTTTTTTTTAATTATTACGTGACTAACTTTTTTGGACGGTTAGCCCATCGAACTTGCATCAACGGATTCCCTAATTTCCTTTTTTCTCGCAAAATCATCCTAGAGAAGAAAATGTTCCAAATATACTTAAAATCATTTCTACTGCAAGCTGATTATTTAGCGAGATTATTAAACTTTAAACGTTCAATTCTTTTAAGTAGTTGGATTTAACTAAACAGATCAACCTTTTAAATCCAGATTGATCTAAAATACTGTAATCATCGTTAAAACAGAAATGTGCATACCAACTGGAAAGTAAGTGAATAAAGTTATAAAAGCGAAATTGTTTTGCGCTGTCAAATAAATCGTGTCATGACATACGTTATAATATGCTTATCGATGTGTGTTTATTAAATATATTGCACCACCCAATCTAATGTTTTACATTATAAAGCATTATAAAAAGTACAAAAGTATTACTGGCTCTCTAATTAATATAACTCTAGCTCCAATATCACCGGCTAATGACTATTGGAGATATACAAAATCGAGCCTCGTATATCTTCTCATCTATTGTTTTATGATATATTTTTGAGAACATCACGGAGACGAATATATTTCATCTCTCAATTATATAAAAACTATCGTTGGAAATTTCGTGCATCTCATCACAAGAATTTTCTCAAATCACAAAACTTAAAATTGTTTCAAATTTCGTCTCTCACTTTGATTCCATTAAATTTGCGCTGACTCGAATAAAACGAAATTTACATCTTACTTGAAATCACATCATAACTTCGTACAATAATTCCAAAAAAAATTTTATAATTTTTCTTTTTTAGTGTCTTCAGAATTATAAAATTTTGCCGACAAGTTTTAATGTCATTCCAATTATTGCATTGTGCAAAATGCATCAAACAATTTACATAAAAAAATCTAATATTAATATATCGCTTTTATATAAAACTTTTAGATAATAATATAAATACTTGTACAACAATAAAACGTATAAAATTTAATGCATAGTTACCTCTAGATAATACCAAGTGCAATTGAAAGAAAATGGCGTGGATGCAAAAATGTGTAAAAATAATTTCCTTTTTTTTTATCATAAAATTATGATCTTTATTGTCCCATTGCAGAAAGTAAGCAAAGTTTCCGTTTCGAAAATAAATCACTAAAGAATGGATAGGCCCATAACAGGGATAAAAATATAGCAAAGTGTAACCACATCTTAGACTTAACTCGCATCAGGTTGAAAATATTGTCGTGCAACTGCGCCTAATACGATTTCCGCACTGTACACATCTGTAAAAATTTAAATGGAAAAAATTATGTTTAGTACAATGCACAATGTTTATTACGCTTAATAATATCTACTTAACTTCTCATTTTTCTTTATAATCAACTTTCTTTGTACAAAGAGAACGTGATAACAAAATATCAAAGACTAGTTTGATTACTTACTGATATTTGCACGCAAGACATCAGCAAGGAGATGGAGGTCATTGTCATGGGTCACGATAATATAACTTAATTTCCCAGCATTCAGCTCTTGTATTTGAGCGATTGTTCTACGCGTCTTTTCCATTGTACCTCCCGCACTTTCTATTATTTCCGCGATCGCCGAAGGAGATGGTATCACACTCGGCGTAACATAAAATATTTTACCCTGTTTAAGTGAAAAAATGGGAAAGCATTAAAAACAAACTCTCGTATTTCCATCTATGTTTAAAATATTCCTAATGTTTATTGTAGTTAAAAATCAATCTATATAGTGATAAATATAATCCGTTACCTTAAGTACTGTTCCTCGATTGGGACTCGTTAAAGTTTTTTCGATATTGCAATTAAAATTTTTCTCAAATTCTGGATCGCTGAGCACGTATGTACTTTCGTCCACGAAAGTGTTTTTTGCAGAGCATTCGAGCAACCATTGAAGACTGACGATAAATTTACATCGTGATAAACAACACAATAATTTTACCGTTCGTAATGGTGCCGACATTACAAGATGAGTGGCATCTCGCCAGCTAGCGGCTAAAGCACCTCCCAATTCTCGAATCCTCTAAAAATTACAGAGACTCTGTTCAAAAAATTGCAACAGCAGAACGCAGTAATAATATAATATTACAACTAATAAATTTCTGTAACTACGAACAAATAATAAAGTTAGTACCTGTTAGTGTGTGTATGTGTGACGGCAGGTATTAGGAAAATATGGGCAAGATGTACAAAAAAGGATATACAAATGGAAAAGAATTGGAGGCATAAGCTGGAGAAATGCAAAAGGAAAGAAAGTAAAGATGAGAATTATTAGAATAACGCGAAAGATTTTCAGACAATGAACGATCGAGGGACGACAGGATAAAAGGGACAAGATGGTACAAGTAAAAATAACAATAAGTACAAGTAAAAATAAATAATAAGTACAAGTAGAAATAATAAATACAAGTAGAAATAATAATGCAAGTACTTAACAGTGAAATATGTAGAAGAGTTAATAGGAAAATATTAATTGCAAAGAAATGGGTGCCCTTTTATAATTTCGGATATTCCGAAAAGCCAAATAAATGGTATTTATTTAATACCTTGGCATGATTTTTAGGGTTAATACCCGAAAATAGTATTCTTGGTTGTTTATCAGGTGGCGGAGGATCAGGATTGCTAATGACAATCGGTTCTTCCAGACCCAGAAGATGTGGATCCTTATTCAACAGTGGGCCATCCAGGCGTGGCTTTTTGTGTTTTCTGATCGAATTTGGACCCTGACCAACCTGTTTTACTTTATCATACGATTCTTGCGAAATATTTATTGGCATTTTCCAAGCAACTAAAATCATAAAATTTGATAAAAGTTCGGTATATAACATTTAATGTCAAATATATAATTATTTTATGATAATCTAATAAGTAAATTTTACCCATAAGATGAGGCACTAGTGAATAATCTAGTTTGAAAGGATTACTCAGACTAAACTGTTGATACTTGGGGCACTCAAGTTGATGCAAAGCATTCATCTGCCCGCAAAGTAAATCTATCAACCATTGTGCGTTTACCACAGCGGTTTGCCACTCGCGTGCTCTTTTATATTTCTGTCCCTCTGGCCTAAAGTTCATTTCAAATATAATTGTTATATAAGAATCAAATAATTATTAAACTGTCGATTAATAGAACATTAAAACATTACGTGGCATAACGTAACCAATTGATAAATAGTACATTTAAAATATAACAGCCGAAGAACACGATCAGTACCTTCTACAAACAAGAAGAGTATTGTGTCTGGAAAAGTAATTCGTGTACTTTGCGCCCAAAGCCTCTAACATGATTTTGACTTTTGCTCGTTCCTCTCCCTCGAATCCGGAAAGCGATATGATGTGCTTGCCACATGGAAGCTCAGTTAAGCTAAACGGCGTTGGAAAATGAAGAACCTGCCAAGGTGGGATTACTTGCTGCTTACTGACAACGTCGGAAAGCCAATGTGCACTGACGCAACGTTTTCCCTCGCGCAGCGCCTGCACCACAGTCGGATGTTTCTGCGTGATGGCTAATACATGCGTTGCACGAGTACAATATTGCGACTCCACTTCGCCACCATGTCTCTCAATAACTTGTTTCCAAACTGGAATGTCATCAGGACGCTGCACGTCGTATTCGACAATAACGAAGATACATCCTAACAAAAATAGTTCTGGCGGCACTAAAAATATATATATTATTTTCTCATTGATGATAATATAAGAATATCAGATCTATATATAAATATAAGAATAAAATAACTGTTTAAATCATTATATTACTAATGTTATATAAAATGTTATCTAATTATGTATCATATGTTATCTGATTGTGTCATATGTCGGTCGTATTTGATGTCATCTTATGTTATGTTATCTAGTCATTAAATAATATTATGATAAGATAACAAAAAAAGATAGAAACGTACATTTCAGATTTGGATTGTGACCGTAAAATTGAGCCTTAGGTTGTGGCATAACTGGAGCATATTGCATCTTTATACCTGGTGGTGCGCCATTCGTTATATTTCCTAGAGTTCTTCTCTGATAAGCGGCTAAGAGTTGCGGGTCCTGTGAAGGTGGGGGTGGAGGTCGATGTTGCGCAGTCATCAATCGCAACTGGCCAGCTGCACTACCCTCGGCAGCACCTTGCAATCTGTTAGTTAGCATATTTGCTAGGGCAGTTTTTGTTTTAGCGTTCACGACAAGCTGCTGATCCGGCGGAATTTGCGCGTTATTCGGTAGGGACGTTAACGACGGTTCTTGCTGCGCGCCTTGTTGCTGCTGCTGTTGTTGTAAATGCTGCAATTGTTGTAGTCTAACCATCTGTTGCTGTTTCTGTTGTAACTGCAATTGCGCCAACTGTTGAGGTATCAACTGTCCCTGTTGGAATGGTTGTCCAGTTTGTGACACTTGTGGGCCTTGAACGGCCTGGCCGGCTGACACAATGACTTGATTGGAAGAATTTATTGGAGCTAATGCTGGTGGCTGTACTCCAGGATGTACCGGCTTCTGTCCTGGAGTTTGCGCGAGTTGTGGTCCCATCATCTGCGGTCGGGCTTGCTGAACCCACTGTAAATTGCCTGGCTGTACTGGTTTACCAGGGCTCCTTATAACGGCAATGTGCGAACCTTGCTGTCCCGGGCGATTCTGCACCTGTCTCTGCAATATCCGATGCTTTTGAATCCTCTGGATGAACTGAGCTCTCTGTTGCGGGTCCATTTGCTGCAATTGCTGATGTGTCTGTGCGTCCAAATGAATCAACTGTCGGGGAGGCTGAGGCGGTTGTTGATTCCATTGTCCTCCGGATCTCTGAGGTCCAATCTGTTGCTGTTGCTGTTGCCTTTGCAATTGCAAGTGATATTGCTGTTGCTGCCACTGTGAGTCTCGTTGAACGATAAATCCTTGTTGATTCGGTCCGATTAACTGCTGATTTTGTGGCTGTTGCTGTAATTGACCGTCCCTTATGACAAATTGTTGGGAGTTCTGCGGAGCAGATTGCTGTAATTGCTGTGAGATCTGTTGTATCTTTTGCTGTTGCTGCTGTTGTTGCAACAAAATAAGTTGCCTTTGCTCGGGAGTAAGTTGCTGCGGTGGAGTTTGTTGTTGAGTCAATTGATGCTGACCTGCTATTTGTTGCTGTTGAGAAGGTAGTTGCTGCTGCTGCTGCTGCTGCTGCTGTTGCATTACTATTTGCTGTTGTTGCTGCTGCTGTTGAGCTGCCAATTGCACTTGCTGCTGCTGTTGTGTCAAATGTGGCTGTTGAGTCTGTAATTGTTGTTGCTGAATAATTTGATGTTGATTTAATTGCTTTTGTTGCGGCGTTAAAAGTTGCTGTTGCTGTGTGTTTAGCTGATGCTGAGGTAATTGCGAATTTATTGATTGTTGTTGCTGTTGAGGCGTTATAGATTGCTGTTGCCCTACTAATTGTTGTTGCTGTATCTGAGGCGACTGCTGCTGATTTAAAAGTTGTTGTTGATTATATGATGGCTGCTGCAATTGTTGTTGATGCTGCGTGAGTTGTTGCTGCGTTAATTGCTGCTGCGATGTTAATTGCTGCTGCTGTATTAGCTGATGTTGCATATTTATTTGCTGCTGTTGTTGTTGTTGTTGTTGTTGTTGTGGGGACAGCTCTTGCTGTTGCATTTGTGACGGTGCAGTTTTTATTTGCTGAGAAATGTTATTTTGCTGAGATGTCTGTGGAAGCCAGTTCGTTTGATTAACATCCTGATCAGAGACTGATGGAGCAACTGTGGAAGTGCTCAAATTGGTCGAGGAAACTGATCGTGAAACATGCGGTTGCGGCTGTATGTTCGCGGTATTTTGTCCGTTCGTCGAATAAGGAACTGTCACTGTACTGGTCGCACCAAGGTTGTGCGAAGCACTCGAAGACACTGGTGGACTCGGCTGATTCCATGGCATACGTTGCTTGAGTTGCTCCAACATGGCCTTAGTCCTGTCTTGCTCCTCTTGCGCAACGTTATTATCCGTGTCTTCGTCCATGAATCCAGTAATCATGGCTGTCGAGCTATTTGGAGACACTAACAGTCTAGGATGATATTCCACTTCGTTAACGAGAGTGCCCTTTTTGCAACATTCCGTTATCCAGTCAGGCGTTACGACGGGTATATGGTGTCTCGTAGCAGCTTCGTACTTCACACCGTTTGCTTTGGCCGCAACCAAATGAGTGCAATATCTGTCCAAGCGTAGCTGACATTTGCCACCTTGCAATGTTATCATTGCCCATAGAGACTTACTGTCTGCTCGACTTACCTGAGATAAGCAGACACATATGTTCGAGAACAACTGATTCTCTTCTGGTGAGAAATATTGCGTCCTATTTAAATAAATTCATTAAGAAAATATACATTCATAATGGTATGTTTAATAATCTATCTCAAAGTGTCTTTTAAATGTAAGCTTTTTGTCTTTAACATTTTTTAATATTATTTCTCTTCTAAAAACTCGTTAAAAATTTCTTATTTAGAATATAAAAACATTTATACAAAAATTATAATTCCAAATACAATTCTATTGTCATAACTGCTAGTACGTGTGTCTATGTTTGTGAGCGTGCAAAATATTAATATTAAAATCACAGTCTTTCGTAAAAGGATACGGCAGAAGCTTGTTGCACTTAACGGAATACAAAATCCAGTTTTGTGTGACTGCTGGTATGTCATACAGTTCCTTCGCCTCAGAGATATCATTTTCTAATGCTTCATTGCCTGCTATCAGATGTGTAACGAAATCACTAAAATAATTAGACCTCTCAGCCCCACCTTCTTGCAATAAATTCAAAATCTGTAAAAGTATATTGCCTGTAGTTAATAAAACAATAACATCTTCTAACGCCACGCATATAAATCTGAAATAATTCAGCATTGCCATTTCAAATATTAGAAAAAAAATAATAATACAGGAAAGAGAAGCAGTCCAACAATAGGACGACATTTATGTGAAATGGTGTTCCAAGCTATAACCTTCGTTGACGATCGAGATACATCAGTTTCACAGCGGAGGAAAAAATGAGCATCTTAACTCTCGGAGGGGCATCGTAGCTCGCGCGGTCAGCTGCGACAGCAGCGAATCTCACGGCTGTTGGATCCGCCGGGCCATCGGGACGGGAAAAACGCGGGAAACAAGCGGGAACTGTAACGTACCTTCGGATCGCCCTCGCCGCTGACGTAGTATTTAACTTTGGCAAACAGAGCACCGTCGAACTTCAGGTCCTCGAGGCCAGCCCGTATGTCGCCCATCCTGTCGAAACCGTCCGCGATAGGTTCACGTACTCGGCATCACAATGATATCGGCGCGTACCGCGCGAAAAACCGTGGCCCCGAGATATGACTCCGCAATATTTTGATAACAAAAGTCCGTCGCGACGCCTTTTGTTATTATTGTGGTTGCAGGTTATGTCGCGAGCCTTTGCGTGGCGCTACGCTTGATCCGCGCGCCCCACGCAGTTCGCCAGTCGGCCAGTGGCGCGTGATTTGAATCCCGAAGCGCATCGTTTTACGACAAAATTTCTAACAATTGCAGGCTGTTACTGCAATGATTTACTATCAGTTTACTATTAATCCAAAAGATAAGCAAAAATAAAAATTGGAAATGACATTAAAATTACGATAACAGGTGTAAATTCGAGATAAAGTATTTTCATTACATTAAAAGTGTAGAATAATTATTTTTTATCGTTTTTGTTTTTTAAATTCATGTCTTATTTTATATGTAAATATAGAATTTTCAAATTTTTATTTTATTCATTACTCAGAAAGACTAATTTTAAATTAATTTAATTGTAAATTTTCTGATTTTTCATGAATTATTCAATAATAGAGATAATTAATAAAAAGTTAATAAATTTCAAATCTTATTTTTTATACAAAAAATAAAATATTAATATGAAAACAAAAATAATAAAAAATGATCGTTTTCAGAATTAATCGATATGATCGATATCAATATAGTCAAGTATAAGTTCAATTTAAATCTGAATAAAAATAGATATTAATTGTAATATTTTTCCATGAAGTTTCAATAAAATATATTATTTGATATTATTTAATAAACTTATTAAATTAGTATATTATTTTTGTCTAATTTTAACATAAAATACATATTTCGCGTTATTCATATATATAGATATGTTAAAAAAATTACGATAAACCAATTACGAAACAGCTGCCAAAATTATTGCTCAGGGATTAGGGTATGACAATTGCGACGTTTGAAAACATTTGCTTTATTGTATGTTCCTTTCGTCCGCATATTAGGTACATATCAGCATCTAAAATGCTTCTCTCCTTGTAATCCAGTAAAATTCATTCTTGCACTAACTTTTATATTTTGTATCTCCTACTCCCTCTCTCCACAATCTTACTCTCTTGCATTCGCTCTTCCTCTTTCGCTCATAAATAAATAAATTATCGACTAATATGTACAAGATCTTAATAATTCTCTTTTTCTTACTTTAATAATCATTTGTCGCTTAATAGACGTATCTTGTAAAGACTCTAGAAATATTGAGCTTGGTCTGGTCAGTATACGTAATATATTCTCATTAAGTTCTGTCGCTTCAAATTATATTTATATCTCTCTGTTTATATCTTTCTCTTTCCTTCTCTCTTTTTCTCTGTTTTTTTTCTAAAATTATTTATTCCTCCTCTCGCTTCATACAACCGACTAATATCTCCGTTCGTTCGTGGTGCAGCTTTTCAGGAATATGATTAAATGGATAAACCGGGAAGAGCAAAGAAGAGCGCTCAGACATTGCCAACAAAATGGCAGAAAGTTACATATATTTCTGTCAATGAGATGTAATGGTGTTTAGGTATTGTTGCGCGGCATTCTAGCCCAAGTTTCGATTTTTGCCCTAGAAAATATTCAAATTCGTTTAAGAAACTCTCTGTAAGTAGTAAATCTTGCTATTGGTATATAGCTACTCCGAGATATCTTGTACGTTCAATTATAGGATGTCTATATAATAAGAGAAGAATCCCATGTATAATATTTCCTCAGGCACACCTGTGAATATTTACAATCCAATGTACGTTTGAGAGAAAAACCAAATCATTTGAACTAGTTATATCTGCGATAAGATCGCTTTAACAGCGAAGAAGAAAAGCAGATAAGGAGAAGGCTGAGAAAGGAGACAAAAGTACTTGTTTTGTACGCGAGATAAAATATCGGCGCGATGCAAAGAGAAAATTATTACAGGGTCGCCGATCCATCGAGCTGGAGACCTATCACAGATACTCAAAACTAAATTAGATGAAACGGATGAAAAATAGGGAGAAAAAATTATTAACAACGCCCTACGAGATCGGACTACATCATAGTCTCACTGCAGCTAGTCATACTATCGAAGTCTAATAACTGTGAATATGGGCGATGATCGTGTTCGCAAAAAGCTGCACTACCGCTGGACCCAGCCAGCGGGTTGCACCATCCGTCGGAGCGTAACGTGTTCGTGAGGTAACACAGTATTTCTAGAATCTCATTAATGCGCTAGGAACCCGGGCTGGCGTTATCGCCGCTTCTTCTCCTCTTCTCGAGCTGCTTCGCCAGCAGGGCGACCTCCCAGTTGTTGTAGCCGTCTTGCCGCACAATCTTGTCATCGTCGTCCTCGTCGTCGTCGTCGTCCTCCTCTTCCTCTTCTTCCTCGTCGTTCTCCTCGTCGCCCTCATCGCTGTCACCCTTGCGACGCCCGCAGATGTCAATTTCCTCGTCCGATCTGCTGTCGCTGTTCGATTCGACGTCGATCGCAATATCCTCCCGCGGCAGTCTCTGCGGCACTATCGAGTTCGGCAGCTCCTGCAGCTCCAGGGTTTCTCTCTCCGAGTGTTCCTCCCACGATCGCCTGCTGCGCGAGCTCGAGCCGACCGACGAGGACGAATGCCGGTCACGGGACCGTATGGACCCAAGAACGGTGTCCACGGAGCTGTCACGCATGAAGGGATGATCCTCGTGATCGTCTTCGAGATCCTCCTCCATAGAAGCGTCGTGCTCGGTACTGTCCCCGCCGGAGTCGTCCGCACCCCGCAGTTTCCGTCGCTCCAGCTGCTGGATCCGCGACTGTAGCTGTGATATTATCTCGTCACGCTTGTGGACCTCCAGCTCCAGCGACGTGAACTGTCGCTCGAATTTGCTCTGCATGTCGTCCTGCAACGTCAAAAGTGGCAGTAAGATTAATCGGGACAACCGTCGTGTGTCACACGGCGTAATGGGGAACTTCTACGAGCGGAGTTGGGATAATTGATGAGCTTGATGGACGTACATCTGGCGACGATGAGTACCAAGTTGGAGACTTTGGGAAACACACTTAGAATGATGACGGGCTTAAATTCGCGGAATTACAACACGCATATGGCCTCTTTCCGCTCCACGAGAGAAGAAAAGTTAACAGCAGATTTTTAAAATAATTTAAAATTAAACATAAATATTACCGGTAAGAGAGCGATGTGGCTTGAACTTATTTCCTCCGATAGATAGATTATTTGTACTGTCAATAAATATCGATATTGAAAGTGTTGTCGAGGGCGTCTCTCGTGTCTCTAACGAGAGCGGCCCTTTGACAAAGGCACTCCCGCGTGGTGACAGGGGGCGGTACACAAAGCTTGTCCGTTGAAAGCAAGAACAAAGGAAACGGCAGGCGCGCGCGCTCTCTCTCTCTTCACTCACCAGGCCCGCCTTGATGACCTCGCCGACTCCGGAGAGCAATTCGCCCAGGCACTCCTCCTCCCGCGGCCGGGACACCGTTTGCAGGACACCACCGGCACTGCTCACAGGACGGAAACTAAATTTATTGGGCGGCAGCAGTGACGGCTGATCCTGAGTGTCGGACAGCGAGTAATTCGATGGCAGCTGCAGGGGCTGCTCGGACGGCGGGCTCTGCAGCGTGTACTTGTTGAAGGTCACGCTTTTGGACAGCTTCGAGTGCCGCGCGGCGTAACCCTCGATCGTCGGCGCTCTCATCAGCCTTCTCAGCTCGGCGGTCGCGGCCTCGCGATTCGGCGTAATCGTAGCCGCGGTCTCGGAACTGCCGGCCCTACTGCTGGCCGACAGTTTCTTCAGGATGCTCTTCAGGTTCCGCCTCTCGAGTGTCTCGTTCTCCGGCGACAGCTGTTCCGTCGCCGACGACCCCGCCGCTTGTCGATCCTGTTATAAAACGTTCTAGTTAAAGAAATTCGATATTAAACAATTGTATTGTATTTAAATTAAAGTCTTTCTCTCTTCTGCATCTATTAATGATTATTATTAAGAAATAATCAAATTAAGGAAAAACGGTCAAGACTGGATCTTGGCTGCTTATAATATTATTAGAGTGAATTTTATCTGTAATATAGCTAGAATAGCACAATCACATAATTAAAGTAAAAATCAATCAAGAGCAGTTTAATCCTGACCGTTTAATCTTGGCGTTTTCCTTAATTTGATTGTATATCATATACGATCTCTTGTATTCCAATAGTCCGCATTTCATTATTAATGATTATAAATTACTGATTATTAATTATTATCGTTATTGTCGATGCATTATCCAAACTTTACAGAAACGTTTCCATTGTATTTTAATTGTACCTACAAACAGGATATTTAATATTTTAAGCATTAATATATTGTATTAAGCAAAATCCCTCAAACAGTATATCTAGACCTCCGGAAATCGCCAAAATAGTTCTCCATTTTCCTCGAAAAATAAAGTTTGAATTAATTATATTCTACACTGTTGATTTAATTTCTTATGGAAAATTATTCTATATTTAAAAATACAATCTGTTCAAAAAGAGACCCTATATAGAATTTTTAATATGAAGGACTATATCTATTTATTCTATTTTATCATTGCCAGCACATTTATCCACATTTTTTTAAATAATAAAAAAGAAAGAGGCAATAATAAAATCCGATAATATTGAATTTTGCCTTTAAAGAATCGGATTTATATAGAAAAAAATGAAGAAATTACAATCTAATTCGTAATATCAGAATCTGATATTAATTTTTTTTTTAACTAATCGATATGTAGAAATAATAAAAATAAAATGTTTATTATGTAATGAGAATTTACTTACTAGATTAAATTTGGCCAGCTTCCTGGCATACTCAATGGCACAGGCCTCCGAGTGGCTCCTCGTAAGGTTGCTGTCGAACTCCGGCTCGGCATTCTCACCGCAATCGAGGGACGAGCTCCTGACTTCCTTCTCCAGCTCGGCCAGCTTCTGCCTCTCATTGAGAATTTTGAGCTTCTTGACAAACGGCAGACCGCAGTACTCCGGCGAGAGGTCGTCAACAGAGGCGTACATCTTGGTCTGCTGCAGCTTCCTGGCCGGCGGGCTTCTCTGCGGCGAATTGTCCTTGGCGGTTGTCAACGACGCGTTTTTCAGTGTGGTCCAGGGCTTCTTGAGCGCCTTGACCACGCGCGTTTCAACCTGCGAGGTCACGGTGGTCACGGCGGTCACGGCGACGCTCTGACGACCCGAGGACGACTGCTCGTCCGATTGCGTGCTCGTCTCCTCGGGTATGGTGTTCCTGGGCAACAGGGACTCCTTAGCGGGCATCTCCCTTTCCACTTGGGTGATCTCCTGCTCATTCTTCGTCTTCAGCAGAAGTATCCTCTGCAGGAACGGCAGGTTCGGATTCGTGGGGTTCAAGGCTTCTGAAACTGGCGGCGCGTGCGGCTCTGCCGCGTGGCTCGACGTGTCCATCAGGTTGTGCCGTTCCTCCCTCTCCTCCTTTTCCTTCAACAGCCTGAGCCTGGACAGCAGCGGAAAACCGGCGCCCAGCGGTGACACTGGCTGCTCCTGGGTATTGGGCAGCGACAGGTCCTGGCCGTCGTCGATCTTCTGCTGCCGTTTCAGAACTGGCGCCTTCGGCGCCAGTGGCTGAAGCTCCAGGCTCTCCTCCGGCCGTGTGTTACGCCTGCTCTTTCGCAGGACATTCTTTAGGCCTTTCACGTCGCTCTTCAGCTTGTCAACGATCCTCTTGCCGGTACTGTTGTCGGACGAATCGTGACCGGGGGATGTAGGCCGGCGCGATGACCGCGCTACCCTCTGCGCTTCCATCAGCCGCTTTCGGCCGAGGCTGTGGAGGATCGACTGCGCCTCCGGGTAGTCCTTCATCGCTGCCAGCACGTCCTCCCGCGAGAGGCTAAACAGCTCGGAATAACCCACCGAACGAACGTCGGCTGTGCGTCTGAAAGTTTTTGATTTTAAAAATTTTCATAATTGCAAGATTTAATTAAGAACGCACATAAAACTTTGTGGCTGCAATTTACATGAAATTTGTGAGAAGTTAATTCTTCAGAAATATTTCTCGTCACGTCTCCGAAATATCAATAAATATCTTTTTTCAGAATTTACAATTATACTTAAAGAAACGAGTCTTTTTTGCTGCTTCGTACAATTATCTCAACTCCGCGTTCCGCGAGATGAGAAGTACATCCATTATGGATAGTCTAACGCGATCACACTCCGCGAAAGGATCAGGAAAATTTTACTCACTTATTCAACCCGTCCAGGTTGAGTATACCAATCTCGCCGAAGAAGTCCCCGGCCTTCATTGTCGTGAGGACTCTGCCAGTTTCGCTGATCACCTCTAGAATACCGTCGGCTATTATGAACATTTCACGGGCGACCTCTCCCTTCCGACATATTGAATCGCCGGGGGTGAAAATGTAGGCCTTCATCTTCAGGACGAGATCGTGCAGAAATTCCGGCTGACATTCCTGCAAGATCGTACCGATGATTTGTCAGAGAGATTCGCGAAATCGATATATCGCGGTGTCTCAACAAAGTTACAAGCAAATCCTTAAAGCGCATCAAGTATAACTTGCCGAGTTCTCTTGCGATTAATACGTGTAAGAACTGAAATTACAAAAATCTTACAGTATGTACATAAATGACTTAATAATATTGATTTTATCTCTTACAATTTCTACGACATCAAATAGTTTGTTAATTGTTCTCACGATTAATATTATACGTATGTAACTCTACGCATTCGTAGATTTTATTCTTCGAAAAATTGATATCTTTACCTCCTTAGTCTTTTTCCAACGTCCTCTGAGCAATAAAAAAGAGATTTCATTTCTAATAGGGACAGCCGTCCAGATTTTATTACATTAGCTTTAAAGTTCGAGAGTGAAAATTCCGCTTAGCATTTCTAACTTCATAATCACCTTAAAATTTAAAGCTTCTACGCAGTCTCTGTAAAAAAAGAGACAATTTATGAAGACTTAACGCATATTAAACATTAGCCTCGAGCCTTTATCGTATTTTCTACCTCGCACATCCGTATAATTTTTATCTTTTCATAAACCTTCCGCGCGTTAATCATGCAAAAATCTCCTATCTCTCCTAATGAAATTAATGATGAGTAGTTCTTCCGAGAAATGTGTGTATTTGTAATACATCTATGTTTTTCTATCAGACTCCGAAACATTATCGCGTGAATTATTTAATTTTTGAAGTAGGAAATAGGTAAATGAAATTTGAGATAAAAAGAAATTGTCGACTTTAATAAAGATTTTTTTCTAATAAGAAAAAATGGGAAACTTTATTTCTTATAATTTGATTTTATATCTCGATATATTAATAAGGTATCATATCTGACACATTAACTTACGTACTACGAATGGCATTAACATCTTTTCAACTAGACGATTTAATTGATGAGACGGATCATCTACCACGCCTATTCCATGTTGTCCGAAACTCATGCCATTCATCTTATTCTTCAAGTCAAGTCGCAGATTCATGGATTTGCAGGCTTACAATTACACTCCATCGCAGTATATTTATACGTCTACTTTAATCTGATATAAACCAATATAAACTTTTATAAATGCGTACGTGACTTTTTACGGCATGCTAATTCTTCATAATGCTGTCACGCGACATATTTATATATAATTTAAGTTATAATAAATCTGAAGGGGCAAGGAGCGAAGTGAAAAGAACAAGATGGACCGACGTTTGCGAGATTACGACGGGACCTTTAGTCACATTTTGCTCTTTTGTGGCCTTTGACGGTCGCGAGACGACCGTCGTAATTCTTCGTGAGATACGATTTCTTTCCCGGCCACCTTGTCGGTCCTCGGCGACCTCTGCTAATAGAGTCGATCCAGCTCGATCTTCCACCGCGATATTTCACTCAATCGACAGCGCACCCCACCGATCCCATAGTGACGGGGGTTTTACACATCCTCGCACCGCACACTTTGATTTGTGACGAGAACACGACCGGAGGATATCTCGAGGCTCTTATTCTCGATCATCGAAACCGTCTGACTTTATTCAGCCGATCTACAATGGGCTTCGTTAAAATACGTTACCGTCAATGGGTATATTGGCGCGAGCACAACGGAAAAAAATACAGGGCGTCTGAGTTGATGGCACAGATTGGCGTATTTCTCCGGCCAGTTTTTAGTCGATTCAATCATGAGAATATTTACAATTTTTTAGTTACAAACGACGAGAACCAATGAGACATGAAAAACTTTTTCCGAGTCGGGGAGGAGTAAATAAAATGTCGTATTTTATTGATTGCCTAAGTTTTACCCCCTTAATAGAAATTTAATTTATCTTAGATAGAGAAAAATATTCGAGGACCTTTCTTGACAGTAAAATATCAAAATTTTAATTTGATATCAAAATATTTAATGCCGGAGATTAAGAATTTATAGAAAGAAGTGTACAATATCAATTTTCCATTAAGGACGTTTGCAAATTTTAATACCAATTTAAGCCCTATAGATACGTAGGAAGGATTTTTAACAGCTTGCAGTATCTATTTTTGATGATATTAACCCTTAAAAACGAATCTTTTTATTCTTTTAGATGAACTTTAAAGAAGTTTTAAATTTCGATAATAATATTCCGATTATTCAATCTAAAATGATCAAAGTCATTATTCTGTTGAGCTTTTGCGAGATTTATTAGGAAATTATGCACGTTCAAGGGCTAAAGCTCTATACATTCCCCGACGTAATATTTGATGGCCATCGTAGGAAAGCCGGGGTTGCATGTTGTCGCTACGGGTTGGTTATCATAACTTTAATAACTCGGCCGTTACGTGCACTGTGAGTGAGTATAGCGAAGTCACTCTTGCGCGAGGAGCATTTTCAGTAAGTTGTGTATGCAGTCACGGTCGCTCGTGATGGTCTTGTGAAAATGCGCTCGCCATTTCGCATCTCTCTTACTTGAAAGAAAAATGTTTTTCTGTGTATGATATATAAGATCTATCTATATTACTGCATATCATATACATATTATTGCACACTCTTACGTAAAAATGTACTTTTTCGTGTCGATAGCTTCACTGGCGAATACCATAGCCAGTAAAACTCAAAAAACTGATTAAATTGTCATTGACTTTTTGGGATACACGTATAATCATAAAGGAATATAAAAGTGTATTCACTTTTCACATCTGACATATCTATGAAGTAATTAATCAGCAGCCGTTTTTGACGCGTCCTAGGTTTGGGTGCAAATGAATCAATGAATGGTGATTACGAGGCACCGCGCCGGAGGGTAGTCCAGAAACGTTCCTGTTGAAACGAGCGTGGCCGCAATTAAAAGTGGCACATAGACTCGCCAATTACAGGCGATCGTAATGGCACCTCGCGAAAATCACCTCTCTCCCTCTCTGTCTCTCCCGCCCTCTCTGTTCGCCCCGATCGCACCGTCAATGCGCCCTTATAATTCCCTTCCCGAGGAGGTCGCGAAAGGGACGGGTAAAATAAAAGAGAAATCTAGTGGATTACGCGGACCGGATCACCTGGCCGCTTTAAGCTTGCGACTCGAGATCTCTCCGATCTAGATTCGCCGCACCGCCATACCGTGAACTTCATTATCTTCGCAGTGCGATATACATCGCATTCGCGCTCCTAACCGGAATAAATATGAGCCAGCGTGCGTATTTAGCATTGTAAAGCGACGACCGAAATGCTCGAGGAAATGAAAAAGTTGGCGGAAAAAGGAATACGAGAATTAAATCCTGTTCGTTGAGAACGTATTATTAACTTTGTGATTATGTTATATCATATTTATAATCATCTTTTCTATTACTATGTTATTACGCAAATGATACGAACGCTTAATACATATAAGTAATAAAACGTTTGATAACTGATCTAGCGCGTAAGCATCCAGAGTTTTATTTTTTCATGCCGGTGATATTTTTAATAACATTCTCAACGCGCGTTACATCGTTTGTTACTGAAAAAAAAAAACATATCACAGACGCGTAATCTAATCGGCAGAGAAAGCTGAAGTAGATTACGTCCAGTTCCAAGCTCGGAATTCCAGCTTTTTCAATCTAGATTTGGCGGCACCGAACGAAGTTCATTATCTCTATGTGGGCTTTTTCAAATGGCAACATACGATTCGAAGGTAATTCTAACGATGACGATTTCGGCCTGCATGCGGGTAACTATTTTAATTCTGACAAACCAATCCAATATCTAAATTTTTTATTCGGAGAAAGGAGCGATATTCAATTAATAATTGACGTCAAATATTGAACCGAGCTTTTACATCTGACTTTTTTTCAATCGTTTACACTGGTCTAATTTTTGGGAAAGTTAAAAAGTTATGTAGAAACCCATCACGTTCTATAATATTCCACATCCCTATTTTCCAACTTCCTAATTTATTTAATCGGCATTTCTCTCGTAAATTTCTCGTAAGACGCGATGCCCCTTTTTTCCGCTTCTTTCGGCATTTTGCACCATTCTCTCATTTTTTTTAGCTCCTATAGATTAGAAGTTAAATGGTTCATGGCGTACTTCATTAAACTTATCGCGAACTTGCCACTGTAAATTAGAAAATTGCTCGTAAAAAGCGTTTGAGGAAAATGACGAATGGTTTTCGTTTACCGTCAGCCAAATCAATATTTCCCGAGTATACCGCAAAATGACATAATTTGAGAAACTAACCAATTAGCTTTAACTTTCCTCTCTCAATTGCTACGCTAGCGCAATATTAATAAACTTTATTTGCTGTCTGTATTACACATAGATATTGTATCGTTATTTGAATTTTTAGTTTAGTTTTTTATATTTTTTTTTAATAAACAAAATTCTATACCTTAACGCTGGATAGAATCAAATCTATGATTCTATAACTCTGAATTGAGTTTTTATCAATTTCGCTTTTCGAAGATACCCTTTTTTTGAGCTGTGACTCTTTTTTCCAAGGTGCGATACTATCGTACGTATTGTTTACGGAAAGTTATTAAAAAGATCTGCTTTGATAGGGCACTTTAAGCGTGCTATTGTGAAGCAAGTTGGTTGCTTCAAATGAATGAAGGGCTCGAGCGAGAAAATGGATTGAAGGATCGGATGCAGCTGGAAATGAAATCATTTTTGTCTCCGTGTCCCAGCAACTGAACGTGGGACCAAGTAAATTTTCGATTAAAGCGACTTTCCACGCCTTCCGCCGCCGTTTTTTCCGCGCCTACCTCATCTATTTCGCGTCACGCCAGTCGTTTTGTCGAAAACATCCCCGAGGATACCCGGTTGACCCGAAAACCGCGGCCGTAATTTAGATTTCACCCGTAAAAGACGCGCGATAAGTACCTCCTCGGTTCTACCTCCTTACCTTGGAATCGACACCGGGGAAATAAAATAAATTTTATCGCTAGAAATGAAATTCTGAAGATCGGATAAAATCGCAAGCGGCTGCTTCTCGCGGCACGACTGCAATTTCAAGAGCTTCAACT